AAGGTAGACGTGACGTGATGCCATACAAGGTAGGCGACATTGTGCTTGTTAAGCGCAGCACCTTCGACAGTTCCAAGCCTGTTGGCGACGCTGCAGACATCGCCAAACTTCAGTCAGCATACTGTGGCCCATTCAAGGTTGCAAGTATTTTGTCGAATATTGACCTCAAGATTGAGTTGTCAAACAAGAAGAAGCAGCTCAGGACAGTCCATGTGGAGTCAGTCAAGCCTCTCCAGGCATCATTCGCTGGCACGGACATCACTACCGCGACAGCCATCGTCGACTCACGCAACAGAGTCTACGGCCTTGGATCACGCCTCGAGTACTTGGTACGATTCGATTTATCCTTGGGCGACGATGCCAACCGTTGGATCGATGCCAAGGTGATGCAGGCGCAACTCCCTGCTTTGGTCGCCGCTTTCAAACGTATCTCCTCATCTAGTGGTCAATAGTCGAGGGGGGATATGTAACATGAGGAACTTCCAGAGTCGAATGATTCGTTTTCCAAAGTGTTTTGATGTCGCTTCGCGCACTCAATCACTTCATTCGTTCATTCATAGACAGTGGGTCTTCAGTTACTAACTGTCATACTCTCAAGGTATGTCCTCTTGTTACACGCAATCAATCATTAATTATATAAATAAATAAGTTTATATGATTCGTTCATTCATAGACAGTGGGTCTTCAGTTACTAACTGTCATACTCTCAAGTGAACGTTCAATAATATTAAGAGTACATCTCTTTATATTAAATTTTAAAGAAAAAATAAAGATGTCGACACCTGAGAGATTCGAACTCTCGCCCCCGAAGGGAACCGCTTAGCAGGCGATCGCCTTAAAACCACTCGGCCAAGGTGTCTTGATATTTGACGAAATCTATTTGCCATGTTTTTATAAGATATTGTTGGAAAATACTAATACACTATACCCATGACACAAAGGAAACCAAAACAATCGTTTAGTTAGAGGGATAATTGACAAATAAACAGAACAACCAGCTCTCCTCCAGGTAGGACGGGAGAGGACTTTAAACAATAGAATAATAATAAAGACCAAGTCAGTTGACTCATCCAGCACAGTGTCGAAACATCCAAAGCAATCGTATAGTTTCTAGTTCCTCCAGGACGAGGGAGGGTATGCTTTAAAAAAAAGAGACAATCTAATTAGAAATTATAATAATAATAATAGTAATTTATATATTATTATACAAAAATGGTGTGACCTAAACACCATTTTGGAAGTTTATTGTTGATAGGCATTGGACTGTACAATGTAGCGTGCATTGGATTGCATAAAGGCCATTTGCTGTTGTGGCTGTGCTGACAAGTTCTCGTACTCTTTCATAAACTCGGTTGCCTTTGCAGCTCCGAACTGAGAGTTGAGCTTGGTGCGAACAGCCTCAGCACTAGTGTCGAGACGAGTGAGCTCAATCCAGTGACCGGCCGACACCACCAGGTATCCATGTGAAGGGAGAGTCTTTCCTGGGGTCTGTTCAGTGGCCCTATACTTGAGAATGGCATGTCCGACAGATCCTCGGTGGTCCTCATTGTTGAAGGTGACAACCTCGTGGCCAGCCGTCTCTGGCTGGTTGTCATGTTTGGTCATCACGGTGAGCACCTGGAGCTCATAGATGTTGTTGTCGGCATCGGCCTTGTTCACTGTGAACCTGACCGTGCCACCCATGGCATGTAGATGTGCTGAGCCCTTCTCACGGCAGAGCTCGCCGACCACCTTGAGCTGGGCGCAGGCACAACTGATAAGTGTGTCTGGGTTGAACTTTAGATCAAAGCTTGAAGAGAAGGTGCCGATCTGATTAAAGGCGCGTGGTCCAAGGAGCTCAGTGTTCCAGTCCTTGATTAATGCCTTGGTGGCAAAATCACCAAACTGGACAGTGTAGCCGCGGTTGAGGGCCTTTCTAATTAGCTTCAGGACTACGTCCTTGTTGTTGCTAAAGCCCGAGGAGTCGCTGCAGCAGCCACAGCACTCAAAGTTGATCATGATTGTGGAGGGCTCGGCACGGTTAAAGTCCTCCATAAGCTCACGGATCGATCCGTCAATGGCGCCAGTGTCCAGAGCACCGAGGATGTGGGTAAGGGCAGGAAAGTTGACCTGCCATAAACCAATAGAGACGTTGGCATTGGGTGGGGCCTGCTCAACAGATGTGTAGAGAGTGTCGTAGGAGCTGCCATCGTTGTTCACAGTGATGATCATTGAACACAGTGGCAGTTCCTTTTTGTAGGATGAGGCGTTCAGACGTCTAACAGAACCAGATGTTTGTGTAGGTAAAGCATTGTAGTAGTTGTTGTTGTTACCAAAGCTTGGCATTGGCATTTGCATTTGTTGTTGTTGTTGCATGGGCATCTGTTGTTGTTGTTGCATTGGGGTCATTTGTTGAGGGAAGGCAGAGGGCACTTGGGATGGTTGATTATTATTATTATTAAAATTGAAAGACATTGTTGAAAGTAAGTGTGTAAGTATAAAGAAGTGTAGGAGATTGCAAGCTAATATAAGTAGATAATAATGTTTATGTTGTAGTTAGTTAAGATTAATTAATCAAATATACATGTAGACTCACTCATATTTATAAGTTGAGGATGATTCATTCATCGAATCCAAAAGTCACGAATTATCTAAGGACGTGGTGCCAAGTTGACACAAAAACAAACACACCTTATCTTTCTGCTAGCTAAACCTCAACCTGCCCTTGCCCTTGCTCTTCTGGACTATTCCTTGATGTAATTACATGATTGATTTATTTATAAATACGCCGCTGCTGAAATATATACAATATGTGTGCAGTTTATGCTACAACCAAATATATATTGCTTCTGTACAAATGTTGTTATTGTTGTTTTTGTTGTTGATGGACAATGTTGATGCTGTTGTTGTTTTAGTTTCTGTTTGTTTCTCTCTCTATCTCTATCTCTTCAAATGTATATCATTTAGAAAGCAGTAGTGGGTATGTATCAAGCCAACTCTGGATAGACAAACTTCTTTAACAGTACCAATAATACTGCAAACAGTCCTCCAAACACCAAGCCAATGCCAATCGCACATATTATGAATATCTTTGTGAATCTCTCGTCCTGCTTTGGATCCAGCTCTCCATATCTGTATGAGTAGGTCAGTAAGTGAGTGAGTGAACGAACGTAGTAGGTAGAATCAAAGTGAATGAAAGTTAGTATTGTCTCACTGCCTGCGGTTAGAGGTGAACTTTCTAATCAAAGAGATCACATACCTTCGATCGTATTTATCCAAAAGACTTGATACCTTGTTTCCCATGTTGATCAAATATAATGTATCTGTATGTATTGTATGTATGTAGTGTGAGTAATTATGTTTGAATTGATGAGGTGTTGTTGTACTGCTGTTTATCTACTTTGATCACACGATGAATTCAAATAATTTTTGATCATACTGTACAGTTGTTTCGTTTGAATGGTGTGCACAAGTTGGTCCCCAACAGACCAGGTCATCATTTAATGATCTGCAAAGATGGGGATGGTAATGACAATACATAAGTGTAATAATGTAGACATCCAAAAATGTATTATTATTATTTATTTATTTAAATGGCTGGAAATTGATGCACAACATGTTATCCGCAAATCCATTACCTATTGACTATAATTTGAATGATAAAGGTATCAGTTAATATGTGAATCACTGTGATCAACAACTACATCGGTGGTGGCATACGTACGGCATGGAAATCATCAAAGTTCAACTTTCCTCTGTTCTCTCTGTCGGCCTCTTGCAGAGTCTCATCAACGATGGTTGCCAACTGCTCTTGTGTCAAGTTCTTTCCAACCATCATCATCAACACTGACTGTATCTCCTGCTTGGTGACGAATCCATCATTGTTGATATCATATACTTTAAACAATACTATAGTGTAGTGTAATGTATAATGTAAGTTGAGTGTTAGGTTCTCCAATGATAGAGAGGTATGACTATCTATCATATATATACATACACTTGATCTTATCAATCTTCTCAGCGTTTGGATGGAAGACTGATAGAGTATTTACAAACTGTGCAAAGTTGAGCTGGCCCGATCTGTTGACATCAAAGATTGATATCAATCGAGGCAACAGTGGGTTCATCGATAGCTCTGGTATCTGTGAAAAGTCCTCTACATTGATCGTTCCCTTCTCCTCTTTATCCAGTCTCTTGAATCTTTTGAACAGTCGCTTTACCTCCTTTTGTGAAACTATATTGATTGATTGAGTTTGAACATCATTATCATTGAAGTGTACAATATATGTTTGTCAGTACTTCAACTCATGTTCATTCGTTCATTCATTACATATATGTATCAAGAGATACAACTCATCGTCAGTCAATGATACATACAAACCTTTGAGGCATTCTGCAACTCTTCAATCTCTTCAGCTCTAAGTGTTGATTTAGATACGCCCATATCTATATATTGATGTGTAGTAATATGTATATATTATGTGTACAGATAATAAAGTATGTATAATATAAAGTATGAATGATGAGGTGTACAGAACAACACAGAGGGGAGATAGCTTGTTCTTTTTACAAAGTCAATGACACTGTGAACCCTCCAAAGTAGATTCAATCAATCTATTCAACTCAACTTCGCACCCTCGCCACATGGCTGACAAAAAAATCTTCTTGTTGGGAAAGTGATCGGTGACTCAATTAGGTAATAGTTGGTGGATGTCTTACAATTGTTGTTGTGACGATCGGACACCAATCCAATCCAATCCAATCCTATCATATCAAACGAACGAATCAATCACATAAATAAGAGGTTGAATTGTTTATTCATCAAAAAAAAAAGAAAACTGATTAGGAATGTACGTGTACTAGGTGAACATCTTGTTAGCTGTTATCAACTGCTGTTGTGATTATTATTATTATTGTTGTTGTTGTTGTTATTGTTGTTGTTAGAACTGTTGTTGTTAAAAATATTGTTATAGTTGTTAATGTTACTTGGTGCTGGCTGTCTACCATTGTTGTTATTGATGCCAAAGTGGAAGTTGTTGTTATTTTCATCTCTACTTGTATTGGTAGGAGTAGGATCGCGATCATGATCCTTGACCGTACCCAGATTACGTATAATGGAATCAAAAAACTCTGCTCTAGACGCTGCCAATATCTGTTGTTCAATCTCATGCTCTGTCTCTTTCCAATCCGATGAGAACATTGACTCCTCCACCAGTCTCTTCTCAACAAAGTCCATATCCGAGTTCTTTAGTACCTTTTCCAGCATTTGTTTGTCCGCCATCTAAATTGATTGATTGATTGAAATTAATGAGTGAGTTTGGTCCTCATGTATGAACTTGATGATACACCTACACCTGGATGGAAATCTGGAAAGCCAAGACCAACACCGACTGAGGGATTGTTGATGTCGGACAGAGAGTCGTAGTGATTTCCGTTCTTGTAGCTCAGTCTGAGTGGACTGTTGCCTCGATAGCCGCTGTGGAATATGTTGATTGGTTCCAGACTTCGATGATAGACCTCGATGGGTCGGTTGAACAATTCTGCCAACGCTTGCATCTCTGTATTGTTGCCGTACATCTTATCATTTCGTTTCCGGCGCAGGTAACTGTCAAAGTCCTCCGTGATGAACTGTGAGAAGTGATCACGCTCCTGTTGCATGTAGTCCATACATTTCTCACGAATGACGTTATGCATCTCTTGATCACCGTATATCTGATCGGCTGTATATATATGAATGTCAGTTCATACCTCTAGTTTGTAGTTGTTTGAACGCAGCGTCATCCTACATACCAATTGCTCTGAACAGACAGTTGCCATCCTCTTTCATCTTCCTAAGTATGAATCCCTTCTTTATCCTAATCACCTCTTCAAACAATCGTTCGTCAAACATGTTGTTGTTGTTGTTGTTGTTGTTTAGGTTGTTGTTGATATTGTTGACGCTGTTGTTGTTGTTGTTATTGATGCTACTGTTACTGTTACTACCACTGTATCCATTGTTTGAGTGATATGTACGTTTGTTCTGTGGCTCATACTCGTCAGCACTGTTATTCTCCTCATCAGAGTGATTGTGATTGGGTGGTGAATGATTGCTATACTTTGATGATGACGACGATGTCAGACTGTCTCTGTTTGACTTCTTCTTTGTCTTGTTATTGTTATTATTATTATTGTTGTTGTTACTAGAACCTCCTCCTCCACTGCTGTTTAGTCCACTACCCATATAGCCATGATTGTTGTTGTTGTTGTTGATGTTGCCGCTGCTATTGTTGTTCTTGTGTTTGTTGACGGTAGGTGTTGGTGTTGTAGGCATACCAGTAGGTGGTGGTGTCGTTGTTGATGTAGAGGTTGTAGTCGTTGTTGTCGTTGTAGGTAAATGTTGTTGTTGATTATTTACATTATTGTTGTTATTGTTGTTTGCATTATTTACATTGTTGTTGTTATTATTTACATTATTATTATTGTTATTGTTGTTATTATTGTTATTGTTGTTATTGTTGTTCACTTTTCTCTGTATAACTATTCTTGCCATTGTTGTTGTTGCTGTTGCTGTTGCTACTGCGCTAACTGCTACTGCCTTCTATATTACTTGCAAGTTCATTCAATAGACTAAAAGAAATGTAAATGTGTATTGTTTGTTTATATAAAGATAAGATATCTTTTATAGTTATAAAATTATGTCTCTATCTGTGTGTCAATGACCTTGTTATGATGATTGAAACGAGTGAGCAAGGAGTTTCCTCACTTCACCTTGACCCCCTTTATTGTAATTACAATAATCCCATTATTTTGCGAAGTTGTTTTCAATTATTATGTCTACAAGTCCATCCTGTTTCAATAGATATATTCGAAGGAAAAGGTTCAGTATTGAATATTCTGGGTCGTTGCTCTTCCACCATCCCAAATATGCCTACAACATTAATCGTCTGACACTTGGAGCGATCTAGTCGGCAACAGGCCAATGCTTTTGATAACTTTTATAAGGCTATCAAGACAAACATGATTAGTGTGAGACAGATCTATCTCAAACCCTGCAACAACAGTTGATTTGCCTGATCTTGGTGGACCTCATTCGATCCTCACTCAGGACTGCATCCTCCTGAGAATCTTTTGTCGACAAATGTTCTCCATGACGATGAAACTGGCGGAGTGGAACTGCCAGTGATCGGTGTCGACCATGACTGACGTTGTCAAAAAAGACGACGCCGCTGGATCATAAAGTAGGAGACGGGTGGCTCTCTGTAGACTCTAGTATTTAAGTGCCATGGATTCAATGAATAGTTTTGTCAAAACAATGGTGACTTTTTTGATTGAATGAATCCAACCTCTCTCGCTGTAAACAACAATGTTGTAATAATAATGTAATACAACAACAGTCATTATCTATCTCTCAATAATTATAGGTATGTAAGTAAACATAACACCCAAAAATAACATGTAACCAGAGAGTGAGAGTGAGTGAATAGGTGGGTGTGGATAAGTGAGCGAGATGCTATACCACAGAGATCCACTAAACGATCACTGCCCCCTCACCCTTCCCTTTGTGTGAGTGATTGTATTTGATAGAATGGAGGTGTATGCATTAAACGTGTATCAATATCTATTGATCTCGGCACAATCAATCAATCAATCAATCAATCCAATCAATCAACCAACCAATCCATCATTAATAATTACTCATTTATCCAATATAAAGTATTTACACACTCCTTCAATCAATCAATCAATCAAGCAATCCACCGCACCGATCCAAACTTGATTGAGTCAGTCAGGTGACTTACCTGTTGTTGTTACACACATATATAATATATCTCTAAGTGATATAAATCCATCATCTTACATCATATCCGAATACATACATACTCCGACATAGTATCTTTCTGCCTCCTCATTTGTATTTGTTGTGATCACGCGTGACACAATCCAGCTGACGACCGACTGACACTGAATACGTAGGTAAGTCTGCCTCTTGGTCACTCGTGCGAGTGAACCATCCATCCATTCATGCCCAATCCAACAACATCATGGTTGAGTACCTATCATCGTCATCACCTGGACATCATCAGCATCTCATCCAACATCACTTTGTTTGATCGGATTCATTGTAGAGAGAATGCCAACAAGTGAGTGAGTGCGGATGTGCACGCCCTCTCCCTTCCTTCTCTTCTATCACTCACTCACTCACTCTTTAGTAGTGCAGTCGGTGCACCTATACTCACACCCCCCTCATGCATCCGATCACCATCGTCTCAATCATACTCTGGTTGTCTAGAGACATTGACATTGACATTGACACTCGCTCACTCACTCACTCACTCACACTAACTCATTCACATCACTCACTCACTAATTCAATCATCATCATCATCAACAATACATTGTCGTGTTTAAGCAGCAGCCTACGGCTACAACCTCTATCAACTATATATTACTGTTGTTATTGTTTGTTTGTCTGTTTGTTTGATTGTTTATTTGACATAGATACATGGTATTAACATTAACGACATCCATACGTGTATGTCCCTTCTTCAAGATAGATTGCTGAAGCAACGATCAATCGACACAACTATATATATTGTATAGATAGATAAGATAGATAGATAGACACACAGATAATAATAATAATATCCAACAACAACAACAAACATGTCAACAAAGATGATGTTTGTAAATAAGGATGGTTCAGCACCGACCAATCCAAAGTGCGCTGGTTGTGGCGACTATTGTGAAGGTGCCACCTACGAAGCATTTGGACACTCCTATCATCCAAACTGTTTCCTATGTACAGGTTGTCGTCGTCCCTTCCCCTCTGGCAAGTACCTCAATATCAACAGGCGGCCTTACTGGTATGTTTCCAGTTTCCCATCATCAGTGATGGTTTGGAAAACACAAACTCAAAAACACGCAAACTAACTTTGGGTTTGTAATTTTTAGTGATGGATGTGGACGAGCTGCCTTTATTCAATCACAACTCAATGGAAATTCACCAGTGATGAACAGGAACAACAATGGTAGCGGTGGCAACACAATCAACAACAACAGCAATAACAACATGAGTTCGCCACCAACTCGACCAAAGCTCATTCCTCACAACTCGACATCGCCAATGATGATGAACCAGTCGACGTACTCTCCCACTCAGCAACCAATGCGTGATGAGAAACACTACTCAAAGACATCGTCAGAGCAAGAGAAACTCATCCGCGAGCAGTTGGATCGTGTCTCCAAACGCTACTCTTCCTCGTTCGAAATCGACGAGGCGGCCGACTACCACCACACCTCCTCATCCTCCTCCAACAACCGTCACACCACCAGCTTCACATCTCCGCCCCTGTCACAGTATCAACAACAGCAACAACAATCACCCATTGGCAATGTCAATCGACTGTCAAAGAGATTGGATAACTACTCGATATCGGAGCGTGAGCCATTGACCTCGTCGTCCTCGTCGCACTACAGCAGCAGCAGCAGTGGTAGCACTGGCAATGCGCCTGGTGGCAACAAGAGGAACAGCGTGGCATTGACCCTGAAGCGAGAGATCGAGGAGAGGGAACAGCGCGAACGCGAGGATAGAGAGCGAGATCGTGACCGTGACCGCGACTCTAGGAGCGTGAGCAAGTTTGAGAAGGATCGATTCAGCTTCTTGAACAACACCAACAACACATCGCCACAGAACATATCGCCATCTTCATCAATCAGCAGCTCAGACTCTCGCAACAGTCCACTCGTGTCGTACGAGACAGAGAACAGCAACAAGCGACTCAGCAGCAACTTCACTGCCGCGCTACTCAAGCAACGCGAAGAGGAGGAGCGCGAACGAGAGCGTGAGCGTGAGAGGAAGGAGCGCGACCGCAAGAGTGTTGGCAAGTTTGGCAACGACCGTTTCGACTTCCTCAAGACTGCCTCGCCTACCGCCGTGTCCATGGGCTTCAGCTACCTGGGTGGCGGCGACGGAGGCAGTCCAGTCAGCAAGCGACAGAGCATGTCCTATGTCCCCCGTGGTGACGACGACACCGAGTACAGCATCAGCATCAGCAGCAGTGGACCATCATACGAGGATGAGAGAAGAGACCGCGAGAGCTTGGAGGCCCTTCGTCTGGAAAAGGAGCGTCTTGAACTGGCGGCAAAGAATAGGAAGATCAAGGAGCGCGAAGAAGAGCTCGAGCGAAAGGAGAGGGAGACCCGCGAGAGGGAGGAAAGAGTGGAGCGCGAACGTATCCTGCTGGAGAAGGAGAGAGAGTGGGAGCGCCAGAGCAGGGAACGTGAGAGGATGGAGCGACTCGAGCGAGAGATACACAAGGAGCGTGAGAGGGAGTTCCAGACTGAGCGCGAGCTGATGCGAGAACGCGAGCTGCAGCGTGAGCGTGAAAGGGAGCGTGAGATCCAGAGAGAGCGCGAGGTGCAGCGGGAGAAGGAACGCGAGCGCGACTTGCTAAGACAAAAGGAGGAGAAGGAACGCGAGTTGGAGCGTCTGCGTCAGCTCGAGAAGGAGAGACAGCAACGCGAGAAGGAGCTAGACCGCGAGAAAGAACAACAGAGGCAGCGCGAAAAGGAGAGACGCGAGCTACAAGAGAAGGAGGAAGCCGAGAAGCGTGAATATTTAAGGATACAGGAGGATCTTAGACTGAAGAAAGAGGAGCGACAGAGGATCATTGAGCAGCAGCTCGAGGAGGAGGAGAGAGAGCGCCAGAGACGCGCCGATGAGCGACAGAGGCGAAAGGAACAACGAGAGCGTGAGTTGCGCGAAGAAGAGGAGAAGCTGGCACAAGAGCGTGAGAAGAGGAACAGAATCAAAGAGGAACGAGAGGCCAAGTACAAGCAAGAGATGTTGGAGTATGAGCGAGAGCGTGAGGAAGCCAGGAAGAAGCGCGACATGTCATCGTCTTCCTCGTCGTCGTCATCATCCAAGGTGCCACCACTGCCATCTATCAAGGTCGAGGAGCCCAGCTCCAAGTTCTCCTCGTCCACATCGACCTCGTCCAACACGTCGATGTACTACACAAGCACCTCACCAGCCATTGTCGAAGCGTACGTGAGCAATGTCAGCTCACCCAACGTCAACTCATCGACCTCGACCAGCTGCTCACTTCTATCACCACGCTTTGGCGAGCGTGTCGACTTTGACATCACCGAGGGATCGAGCAACTACAGCATGAGTCTTCAAGAGTCGCCTGCACTGGACGGTCTGCTCACGCCATCAATGGTGGATGGTGTCCTCTCACCATCGATGCTCAACGGATTGGTCATCTCACCACGCTACAGCAATGCTCAGAGTCTATTGAGCGAGGAGGACCTACTGGCAGAGTTCAAGCGCAAGGAAGAAGAGACACGTAACAAAAGATCAACAACAGTCAACATTAGCAACAGCAACACATCTGCAGATGATGATCGTAAACGACGTGAGAGAGAAAGGGAGGAGAGAAGAAGACGTGTGGAGGAGGAGGAGAGGGTGATGGAGGCAGCGCGTCGACAACGTGCAGAGGAGAGACAACGTCAACGTGACGAGATGAAGCGTGAGCTCGAGGCTGAAGAGAGAAAGATCCAACAGCAACGCGAGGACAGGTTGTCAAGACTACAAAGAGAGACCTCCTACAACTAATATTTGTATTATCCTATTATGCTACTACTATTACCAACTATCTATACATAGATATATATATATATAACTTAAACTTCACCATTAATAAATGAACCTAGCAATGTAATACCTAGGCAGTATTAATAATAATAACAAACAATGATACAAGTTCATTCATCAAGTGTTTTGAATCAGTTGATGTTCATTCATTCATTCAAACTCTCTTGTTATACATACGCATCTTTCAATAAATATTTATTGTTTATTATATATTGTTAGTAATGGAGCATGAGACTACTACTACTACTGCTACTACGACTACGGATGAACCTCAAATGATGGAGAAAGAACAACAACAACAGGATCATAGTGAACATGTTAATGATGAGGTCATTGCAAATGATCATAAGATGAATGATGTTGAACAGAGCAGTGAACAACAACAAGAACAGATGATGGTTGCAACAAACAATGTCAATGATAATGATGATGCTAATATAGAGTCAAAGACGACAACAGACAACAATGATCAACTACAACAGCAACAACAAACTACAGACACAACGACAGCAGATCATAATGTTGAAGATACATCAGATAACTACAACCCAGAGAATGCAGATATCTCATCAGTTGAAGTTACAACAGACAACAATAACAACAATAACAACAATAACAACAATGGTCACAACAATGTTGGAGATGACACGAATGCACAATCAAACAACTCCCCGAATACTTCTTATCAACAACAACAACATCAACAACAACAACAATCAACTATATCATCGGTGATGCCTGCTATTGGAAAGAGATTGAATGTACAGATAGAGAACCTAGAGTCAAGGATCACCAACGACAAGTACGACACAGAGGCATGGACCCTCCTATTGAATGAAGTACAGTCCCAACCCATCAACATTGCTCGTGATATCTACGAACGATTCTTATCCGTATTCCCAACTGCTGTATGTTTGATTGAATGATGACTTGGACGATTATGATCACAACCTAGAGCTGACACACTCTGCACATCACGACTATATAGGGTAGATACTGGAAGCTATATGTTGAACAAGAGATGGCATCAAGGAATTATGATATGGTGGAGAAGATATTCGTTAGGAGTCTTCGCAATGTTAGGAATGTTGAGCTGTGGAAGACGTACATAACATATATTAGACAGATCAAGGGCGACAGTAACAAGGACGAGGTGATCAAGGCCTTTGAGCTGGCCATCGAATTCATTGGCATGGACATCTCATCGACACCCATATGGTTGGAATACTTAAGCTTCCTCAAGGAGGAGAAGACGGCCACTCCCCAGGAGGAGGGCTCAAAGAAGACTGCGATACGCAAGCTTTATCAACGTGCGCTCGAGAATCCTATGCACGATCTCGACATCATTTGGAGGGAATACGAGGCCTACGAGCAGGCATGGAACAAGACGCTGGCCAAGGCACTGCTCACCGATTACTCGAGCAAGTACCAGCACGCCAAGCAAGTGTATCGCGATCGCAAGGGCCTTCTCGAGGGCATCCTGCGCAACATGCTGGCCAAGCCCCCACGCTCCAGCGACAAGGAAGAGCATCAGGTTAGACTGTGGCGCAAACTGATCGTCTTTGAGAAGTCCAATCCACAGCGATTCGAACCACAGCAGCTCAGACATCGAGTGACCGCCACGTACAACCAGTGTCTGCTGTGTCTCTACCACTATCCAGACATTTGGTACGAGGCCGCCATGTACCAGGTGGAGAGCGGCAACCTCGAGGCAGGCGTCAGCTTCTTTGAACGCGCCATCCAGGCGATCCCCACCAACCTCTTCCTGCACTTTAGCTACGCCGACCTGCTAGAGGTCAGCAAGAAAGTGCAGCAGGCCAAGGATATCTATGAGAGGCTGGTCGTCAGCCAGCCCGACCCACTGGTGTGGATCCAGTACATGCGCTTTGCACGACGCACTGAGCGTGTGGAAGGACCTCGCAAGATATTCAAGCGAGCCAAGTCAGCACCCGAGTGCACCTATCATGTTTACATTGCACTTGGCTTCATTGAATACTATGTCAACCAGGACACCAAGACTGCGCGCGACATCTTTGAACTTGGACTCAAGAAGTTCAGTACAGAGATACCCTATGTACACTTTTATGTAGATTTCCTTACCAACTTAAATGAAGACAACAGTATGTATAATGTCTTGCTCATTCATCCCAATCATTCATTCATTCGTTCACTAACCTTGTTGTTGTTGTTGTTTAGACACTAGAGTATTGTTTGAAAAGATATTGTCAACGATTGCAACGGACAAGTCTGAGATATTCTGGAGGAAGTACTTGGACTTTGAGTATCGACAAAATCAGGACTTGAACAGCATCATCAAGTTGGAGAAGCGATTCCAATCCCTATCACCATCATATGAGAAGATGAGCATTATGCAGATGCTCAACAGATATAAGTTCTTGAACTTGTGGCCATGTCATCCAAACGAGATTGAGATCATCAACAAGAATCTGATCGACAGTGAGCAGGATCAAGAGAACGACGAGCAAGAGCAACTATTACAACAACAACAACAACAACAGCAACATAATCATCATGATCGCAGGAAAGGAGGAGACAGAGACAGAGATAGAGGAGACAGAGATGGTAAATCACAACAAGACAAGAAGGATAGCAACGACAGACCATCATCATCCACCAAGATACCAATATCAAATTGGAAGACAACACGTCCAGACACGTCATTGATGATCCCCTATCGCAATGAGATGGGTAAGATGTCAACACCTACTCGAGGTGGCGATATGAATAGGCCAGGCAACAACATGGAGAACAGACCAGGCGGTGGTGGTGGCTGGAATGTCGACATTCCAGACTCATTGATTGGATTGCTACAGATGCTTCCTCCTGCATCCTCCTTCCAAGGTCCATGGATTGATATCGATCATCTTATGCAGTTGATCAATGATAAGCCATTGCCACAACCACCAATGAACGTACAACAACATCAACAGAATATTTTGCAACAACAACAGCAACAATCTGGCGGTGGCGGCGCTGGTGTTGGCGGTCCTGGAGCAATACCAATGAATATGGAATCAGGTGGACAACTCAACAACAAAGCTACTGGAAGCAAGGTGCCCACACCAAACAAGCCACAACAGGGACAGATCACACCAAACAAAAGGAAGTTGGAGGACGATATTGACGAACCAGGAGCACCACAACCAATGCAGTCCAATGCACCAACTTCTGGAGCTCAGCCTTCAGCCATCAACAAACCACCTGAGCATGATATTTATCGGAAGAGACAGGCATCTAAACTATCCAAGCGCACCTAATAATAAAGTTTCTTCATGTGACCTGTGCACTTACCATAGAACTAAGGATATTAAGCTCATGGAGGACATTCTTGGATGTAATATTATTATTTATTTATTATACATTGTTTGTTGTAATTCGATATCGTTGTCATTGATATTGTCGTCGTTATTACTAATTATTGATACTACTATTTTATCTGTATTATGTTGTTGTTGATTGCTCGATGCATTATTATTATTATTATTATTGTTGTTGTTGTTGTTATTGCTATCACTAGCCATTGTAACTATTATAGCTGGATGAGTATCATCTTCATCATCCGAATCGAATGTAGCATATTGAGTATAAGGCTTGCTACTCTCCATATTGCTAACTGTACTATCACCTACCACCATCATATCTGAATCTTGTCCAACAACTGCTCCACTGTCATTCTCTCGACTTGTGTCATATGATGATGCTGCCCCACTTGTCTTTTGTGCTCGCGAGCTGTTGTTCTTTGAGCGCTGTGACGCAATCGATGACTTGGTATTCCTCGTGAACATCTCTGTAGAGTTTGCGCCGTAGAGATAGATGCGCCAGAACTTTGGCGCAAACAATATGATCATTGTGACGGTCGTGATGAAGATGCCTGCCGAACAAATTATTGTGTTCTCATTACTCTGTGTGTGTGGCGACACCAGCAGTGGCACGACAACAAAGGCCGAGAACAAGATAACATAGAGCACCTTGGCAATGGGCCGGCTCTCGTTGAACTCGTCAATGTCCACGATTCTGATCTTCCACGAGACAAAAACACCCGCCAGGATCAGCAGACCAAACACGCCCAGGATGACGTAGAGAATGATGCCGCCGTGCTCGTCCATTCGGCACACCTCTTGATATTGGTAGCGCTGTAGGTAGTCGTTGGTCGTCTCGTTGGTGACGACCATGCGTAGGTTGCCCACACTAGGTGAGTGCAGCAGGGCCAGAAGCATCACCATGATTGCGACCAGGCCGCCCACCCAAGGCATTAGCTGCAGGTTGGTGATGCGGATGACGCGCAACTCTGGATTGTCAAAGATGAACCAGATCCTGATGTTCTTGACCACCAGTGATCCAATCATCAGGATGTAGCCAATGGCCAACATCCAGTACTTTGAGTTACAGATGGGATTGGTCGGCGGCAGGACGTAGAGTATCAGGCCAACATAGGTCATGATGGCGCCAAGTGAGATGGTGAGACAGAATATTGGACTGGCTGAGCGGATTGAATGAGAGTTGCGAAACACAAAGATGAGCAGCATCAAAACAATTGTGCCAACGATGAATACACCGGATGTGATTGATATGCCATAGAGTACGGATGTGTCGACTTTGACCTCTTGCAGGGGCACTTTATACTGGCCGTAGTTGGTCATTCCAGGATACGGTGTGTTCATCTTAAAGAATATCGATGAATTGATACAATTGTTGGTGGAGTTGAGCCATGGGAATATCGATGGATTGAACTCATTACACAGGAATGGTAACTTTGTCTTTGGAATTGTTCCAACTCGTTGTATCTCATTCTGTACCATTGTCCTAACTTGATCAGGTATCTAAGAAATGAATGGAGTTTGAGTGTAAGTGATTGGATCGATTGAATGAATGATTGAGTGAGTGAGGATGTTGGAGTTGATTGGAATGATTCCGGCTGTCCAAGTTGAGTGAGTGATTGGAATGATCAACTTACTTGGAAAGAAAAGGTATCCATTTGAAGGAATCCATTTGAGAAGTCACCGTTGTAGTTGCCATTTGTGGTGGATATGTTGTTTCCAGATTGGACGATTTGAGCCCAGTCCAAGAATACGTTGGTCCAATTGTGTACGATGCTCATGGCAATGTGCTCGCCATAGAGTGTACGCTGAGGGAAGCCATTCGTGCCCATTCCCAACAGACCACGCTTGATCATCTGAATGGAAGCTGACTGGTCGTCCTGACTGTTGCACAAGTAGTCGATGCCGCCGTCCACCAGCGAGTTGGTGGCGCCCACCGACACATCCACGTTGATCCACTTGCCCGTCTCGTACATATACACTTCGGTGTTGGGCTTTGCCGCACGCGCGCCAACAAACAACGCGTTGGCGTTGTAGTTGGGCAGGAGGTTGGGGCCCGGCCCGATGAAGCCGATCTTGTTGGTTTGGGTCATCAGACCGGCAAAGTAGCCGACAATGTACTGGAACAGGCCAATGTTGTAGGTGACGTAAGCAATGTTACGAGCGTTGATCAGACTGCCACGTGCCAGCCAGTAGATGTTGGGGTAGCGACGCGAGTAGTCGCGCGTCACATAGGTCATCTCGAGCGAGCCAGCAATGATGCCCTTGTAGCCATCGGCGATCAAAGAGTCGACGGTATCATTGAATATATCCATTGTGATCTTGTCCAATATGACAAACTGTGTTGACTTTAGACTGCGTTGTGTCCTCACCCAAGCATCATTGATCATAAAGTTGAAGCCTAGGTCCATTCTCGCACTTGACAATATCAGTGCAATCTTTTGATTGTCCTGAGTTTGAGTGATCTCTAACTCTGAGGCATTAGTGATTGAGTGAGTAGTGAGTGACACTACTAGTAGTAGTAGTATTATAAACAAATTATTAATCATTCCCTATCTCTATCTCTATTCTTGAACTTATTGAGGAGTGAGCTCAATCAATCAATCAATCAGATCATGTGACCAACACCAGCAGCACCAACAACAACACACATCCAGTTATCCTATCAAAGACAATGAAGAGTAATAATATCCCTTGTGTGATAGGTGGTGAATTCAAATGGATGGCCCTTTGGCGATTGACTACGAACCTGAACCAGCCCATCGTCTTCCGCGCCCATTGACCAATTTTGTACCAAAAAACAGAGTGCTCATTGCCATCAATCAATCAAGATAAAACAAAAGGGTGCGACCCCTTTGACGAGATTCAACCTACACAGGTGATCATCATGCAAACAACATCACCAATCATACTTATCTCTAAACTACTGAGATACAATATCGCTCTATTATAAGAAACTAATTGTTTGTTTGTTTGTTTGTATGATTGATTTGATTGATTTGATTGATTTGATTGATGGGATTGGTTACTTGTCATTCGATCTGATCATAACTATGGTTGTACCAGGTACCGGTAAACTATTGGCTAACCAATCTTTGGTCCTTTGATCGACCAAACCGCCCCTGTGTTCCGGGGTAATGCAGAGATTGGTCGGGCTCGCTAAACAAACCCCAACCACCTCTCCAGCACAAGCAAAGAAGAAGCAAAGATTGTTTGAGAGAATCTTCATTCTTTCATTCATCCATTCATTCATTCAATTAATTAATTAGTTATACATATAACTTGCAAGTTACATGTATACACACAGCTTGCGAGTAGTGAATGGGAAGTAATAATGGTTTGATTGTTGAAGTCATAATAGTACACTACTACTAATATATTTATATATTTAAACCATATATATATACCCTAATAATCGATGTGGGTATAAATATATATATATCAATGTCTATCTATACATCTATACTATACATCTTCACTTGTTGTCTTTGTTGTAGTGTCCTCATTATTGTTGTTGTTGTTCTCATCACTACTACTGTTACTATGATCAATCGATAGATTGTGATTGGCAACGACATCTTCGTCATCAGAGTCGAATTGAGCATGTACTACCTTGTCACCAATGGGCTTCAAACTCTCTGGTGCACAGACCACCATCTCACTCGAATCGTCTGAACTGTCCTTCGACTCATACTCAAAGGAAGCAGCATTGCCACTCTCCTTGGACTTGGCCGAGCGAGACTCGGCGATGGCACTTTTGGCGCTGGAGAACATCTCGGACGAGTTGGCACCAAACACGTAGATACGGTAGAACTTGGGGATGAACAGAATGGCCAGGGTCATGGTGGTGATGAAGAGGCCGGCTGAAGAGATAATGATTGTCTCGGAGTTCTCAGAGTGGGGCACGACCAACAGAGGCACGATCACAAAGATGGAGAATAGCGCAGCGTACAGGGAGTTGGCGATTGGCTTGCTCTCGTTGAACTCATCCAGGTCGACGATTCTGATCTTCCACGAGACAAACACACCGACCATAATCAGTGCAGCAAACACACCGAGCAAGAGGTAGAGGATCACGTGGGTCTTGTCCGAGAAGCTGCACACGTTCTGGAAGTCGTACTTCTCGAGGAAGGAAGATGGGCCGTATTGGGCCTCAACACGCAGGTTGCCCAGTTGGGGGATGGCCAGCAGGATGAGCAGTACCAGCACGATGAAGTTGATGCCGCCAACCCATGGCATCAGCTGGCTGTTGGTGATCTTGATCTTCTTGAGCTCGGGATTGTCAAAGATCAACCAGATACGGAAGTTCTTGACCACGAGTGAGCCGGCCAGGGTCGAGTAGCCGAGTGCCAGCAGCCAGTAGCGGATGTTGCAGACTGCGTCAGAGGTGGGCAGCACGTATAGGATCACGCCGGCGTAGGTCATGATGCCTCCAAAGATGATGATGATACAGAAGATGGGACTGGCTGAACGGATCGAGTGCGAGTCCTTGTAGTAGACGATGGCGCCGAGCATTACAAGACATAGAGCGATCAGCACGGCCGAGGCGGTGATCACACCGATAAGGACAGAGTTTTCAGTCTCAATCTTGCGCAGGGGAACGACGTACTCGCCGAGGTAGTCCATTCCTGGGTATGGAGTGTTCATCGAGAAGAATGTCGATGTGTTGATACAGTTGAACGTCTCATTCAAGAATGGGTAAATCATTGGATTGTACTCATTGCAGAAATATGGATGCTTGGACACAGGGATTGGTCTCAAACGATCCAACTCATCATACACAGCCTTCTTAACAGTGTCTGATACCTAATGGGTTGTTGATGAAGTAAAGTGGTTAGTGGACTGGAATGGGATTGATTGATTGATTGTAGACAAACTTACCAAGAAACTAAAGTTATCAAACTTGAGGAATCCATTGCCAAAGTCACCATAGTCCTTGCGGGATGTGGATGAGTTGGTAACGACGAGGTTGACAAAGTTGATGATCACTTGGGACCAATCATTGATGATACTGGTGCCGATTGATTGACCGTAGAGTTGAGATTGAGGGAATCCGTTGGTGCCCAGACCCATCAGGCCAGCCCTGATCATCATGATCTCAGCAGTCATATCGTCCTGGTTGTTGCCGATAAAGTCCACACCCTTGTCCAACAAGGTCTGGGTGCCTCCGGCGACGACATCCTCATCAATCCAACTGTTGGTGTTGATCGATGTCACTTTGACGGGTGGGATATCGGTACGGTTGGCGCGACGGGCTCCGACAAACAGTGCGTTGGCATTGTAGTTGGCCAACATAGGCAGGCCTGGTCCGATGTATCCGATGTTGCCAGTCTTGGTCATGAGGCCGGCGACCAGACCAACGATGTAGTACGAGATACCAATGTTGTAGGTGAAGAAGGACATGTTGGTGGTGTTGGCGAATGTACCACTGCGGGCCAGGAAACGCACCTTGGGGTACTGTCTGGCGAAGGCTCTGGTGGGTGCGGTCATCTCGATGGACGAGGCAAAGATGCCGTCGTAGCCATCGTTGATCAGACCCTCAACAGTCTGATTGAATATATCTTGTTTGATATTCTCCAACACATGGATGTTGGTCATATTGAAGTAGCGCTGAGCATTGATCACTCCATTATTGATCATATAGTTGAATCCAAAATCCAACGCCTTATCACTCAGTAGCACGGCCACCTTATGTTGTGTTTGTGATTGTACTCCATTCAATATTATAAGTTGTAGTAATATTATAAATAGTAATGATACAATATTATTATTATTTGTTGTTGCCATGATTGTGTTTGTGTGTGTGGCAGTGATGGTGGGTTTGGAATAGTTCCAGGGGGTTGATTGATTGATACAATATTGGTAATATAAATATATAAAGTAATATTACAATGAATATGATATTATTTGTAGTTGTTACAACAACATGTATCTTTAACTAAAGTGGTAGTGTGTTGGGAAGTTGACCTTGATCTAGACTTCGTATGTCCAGGATTGACTATTATTATTTGAATGCGACAGATGAGTGAGTGATTGAGTAAGTGTGGCAGTTGTCCAACAATATTTAAACCACCATACTTATATAAATATACACATATTGAATCCTAGAGTAGTAGCGGTATTTGTTGATGATGGGAGATGTGTTTGATGGTGCAATATGTGGAGAGGGGGGGGTCAGTAAGTTGGAGTGATTGAAAAGAGAGACTCATAGATTAAAGAGATTTGATCAAACAGCTTAACACCTTGTGCCAAGTTTGGAACTGTGTGTGGCCAGTTCGACAACAGAAGGACCACAATGCATACCGCCCAACCCCACTCGACCGAAGTCTATAAGGTGGGGGTGCTTTACAGTGTGATGAGAGTGTGTGTTGGGCATGCAAAAAAAAAACCGACTTATGCGCATCTAAGCCCCTTGATCACTGTCCTTTTGAAGATTCGAGATGGTGACCTTGTGCAGGATGGGTGCGCATGCTGTCAAACACCCCCATCCGCATATATGTAGTCCGCTTGTCCAATGTATCACAACACTCACCAATCAATCGTGCAAGGCAAGTCGAGTGATTGTTAGGAATGAGTGTGTGTAAGTTGTTTGATAAGTCCCCCGTCGGGATGGACCTTATCCGCTTCGTTGTATCTCAACAACATGGAGCTCAGGTTAGTCTATGGTCAAGCCATCATATAATGTATTTTTAGTAACATACTTATGGAGTGGCGGGGCAACATCTTGGGTACTAAATTCGGGACCGATCTTTTGAATCAAAACTACGATGATCGCCGACCGATCCGAATTCCATTTGCATCACCGACTAGCAAGTGTCCAGGACGGTAATGACTTGACCTGTCACGTCAAACCAGCCATAATCATTGCCATTGACGCAGGCGTGAGGGAGGTATGAATCGTCACTCTTTCACAAACTCACTTCATGATTGACTGATAAATGTCTGTTGGAATTCCAAGATGTTTGATTGAGCTACATTTGAGATAGATTAGAATGATTGAAATGGGAAGGTTTGGTGCTCGATGAGTGAATTGATCAAAAGGGTAGTTTATTATGCCATGCGCAACCTTCACTCCCCGCTCATTGTAGATTACCGTGTCCGATCACAATGTTAAAGTCACAATCAATCTGTTTCGACTACGGTTGTAATAATAGTTCGTCGTCTGCCTCTTGATTGATTGATTGATTGATTGTTTGGTTGATCGTTAATGAGCATATGAAATTACATGACTGTTTGAATCATGCATCCTTAGTAAACTGATTGATTGAATGAAGTGATTGAGCTATAACATCTATTTCTTCATCTTCTTGTTCATCTCTTTCTCCATCTCCTCTTTGAATATCTCTGAGAAACTCTTATGTTGTTGTTGTTGTTGTTGATTGTGATATTGTTGTTGTTACTGTTGTCTGTAGTTTGTATAATTAGTATTACTACTGCTACTATGATTGTTATTATTGTTATTATTATGATGATGATGATGATTATTATGATGATGAGTATTATGAGGAGTATGTGTATTATTATCCTTTATCTGAGGGAAGTTATCCTTCATGAACTGTCTTGACTTGTCCCTAAACAACAATGAGAAGTATTGAAACCTTCTGCTACTAGCTAGTTTCTCAACAACATTCTTTTCGATAAAGTTTATTGCAAAGCCTTGTAAGAATCTATTTATTATCATTCTTATATTTATATATATATTATATGTATATGTTATAAATTATATTATATTATTATTTGTATAAATATTGATTGATTGATTGAATGACGTAAAGTACGACGAAACAATTCGAGACAACTTAGTCTTCGATGTTTTCAAAACTTTGAATTTACAACTTTCAAGCAACTCGATGGAGATACTAGTAATATCTTATTATGTACACGTAATGTTGTATTTATAAAATATAGTATATATATATAATTGTAGCATGTTGCACTACAAATGAACGATTGTAAAGGTTGATTGAATGTATGGATGATATTATGATTATCATTGCTCACCATAGAATGGATTGGTACCTTGATTCGGATTGTTGGTGTATAAAGGATTGGATGAACTCACTGTCATCTTAGCCTCCTTGTTCAACTTCCAATAGTCATATCCCTTCTTGCCACCAAAGATCATCAAACTCAGTGCAACAACAGCTCCCACCACAATACCTGCAATGGCTGCAGCACCAACTGCCACACCAGCCTTGACTCCAGCAGATTCTACATTTGTGATGAACGAGTATTAGTACGCATGTATGTATGAATGAATGAATGAATGAGATACTTACGACAACGGAATGGTAGTGGATCATAGTTTCTACTCTGACACTCTTGTTTGTCAAAGTCACAGACACCCTTTTGACAATCAGAGTTGTCCGGGATACAGGTCTTGTTGTATTGGATACAACCTCCAGCACCTAGATCACATACGGCTGTGATACAGAAGTTGGGAGTGGCACATATTCTTGGCTTGACCTCACACTGACCTGTCTGGACATTGCACACACCGAGGTTGCAGGAATCCTGGTCCGAGCATACGACCGGTATGTATTGGCAGCCACCAAGGAAAGCGTCACACTTGTCGATCGTGCATGGGTTGTGATCGTCGCACACTATTGGCGTGTTGGAGCACTTGCCGTTGGCGCACGAGTCTGCTGTGCATGGGTTCAGGTCGTCACAGGACATTGTCTGCTTGGTGATGCACTGGCCCGACGTCTCATTGCACGAGGTCGAGAAACAAGTATCGTTGGACACGCATTTGGACACAAAGGTGCACTTGCCCTCGCTGTTGCACTGGTCGTCCGTGCAGGCGTTGTTGTCATTGCACAGTGGAGTGGTGATGCACTTGCCTGGATTGAGTGGGTCACACTCCACCTTGGTGCACTTGTTGGGAGGCACACAGGCAGTATCGCTGCATGGCTTGCACTCGGGGATTGGCTGGAACACGCACTGGCCGGTAGTCACGTTGCACATGTCGTTGGTGCATGGGTCGTTGTCCGTGCACACCTTTTGGATGTGCTGGCAGCCGACCTTATCGTCACACATGTCCTGCGTGCATAGGTTGCCGTCGTCACAGTTCTTGTACTCGTAGATGCATGTGGAGTTGCTGACGACGCAGCCTACCTTGGTCTTGCAGGTGGAAGGTGGGTCGCACAGGTCAACGTATTTGCATCCGTGCGCCTCCTCAGTGCATTGGCTCACTGTGCATGGTATGAAGTCGCACACCTTGGTCACGTTGACACACTCAAAGTCTTGGCTCAGCTTGTTGCACACGGCATTGGAGCAGGTCGTGCTGCCTGGACAGGTCTTCTGCTTGTGGACGCACATTGTGACCGGGTCAAACTTGGAGGCACCTGGTGGAAGCGGTGTGTTTGGTGGTGGGCAGCTATCGTCCGTGCATGGATCATTGTCATCACACATGTTGGCACTGCAACACGTGGAGCCAGTGCCCTCGCAGATTCCACAGTAGTCGAGATAGCCACACTTGAGCTCCATCGAAGTGGACACCATAATATGTGACTCGGTAGAGTGTCGCTCGCAGTAGAAGAAGTCAAACAGATGATCGACGTCCTTTCTCAGACCCAGCGAGTCCAACGAGAAGTTGCCGCTGGCGGGCAAGTGTGGGCCACCCAGATCAATGTAACGCTTGCCGTTGATGAACACCCAGACATCGTCGTCGCCGACAAAGTTGAACACTTCGCCACCCTTGTAGGTGAAGCGGGCGTGCAGCTCGAGACAGAAGTGGTAGTTCTGGACGGCGCCGCTTGTGTCCTTGTAGGCCACGTGGTTGGCCTCGGCGCCTGGCGCGTCCCAGCCCATGCCATTGATGGGGAAGAAGTGGTCGTTGCGGTAGACGTACACGTTGGGACTGGACACGTTCTGGACCAGCTCCAACTTCATCTGGATGGGTATGTTGACATTGTCCACATTGTTAAACCACGAGTTGAACGTAGTCTGATTGTGCACTGCGAACAAATCACAAGGCTTATCACCACAACAATAAACTGGTTTCCTATTATCGCCCAACAACTCCTGGACAATATTTGTGATCACTCTACTTGGTGGATCTGGTATTTCAAAGTCTGGATTTCTTTGTGGTGTATGATCTCTGATTATACATGGTAATGAAAGTATATCTGAATAGAGTTCCATTGGAAATGATTTAATAATTCCCCAAGTTAATATTATTATTAATTTATAATATATATTAATAATATTACTTACCTTGTGAATTAATGATATTAAAATTAATAATAACAATTGTTATTATTAATATAAATATTGATAATTTCATTCTTTGTATTTATATATATGTTTGGAAAAGAATAGATAGTTATACAACAACAACTATAACAATGTAATGTGATGTGATTGAATGGGTTGTGGAAGTTGATGTTATGTGTTGATGATCTTGGGCCTTGGTCATCAACAAAGTGAAGGAACACTTATAATATATCAACTTAAACGCCTAACTCTGTACATGTAGGTTAAAAGACCCTCTCCCTCAGTGATCTTGATCGATGTGTAGTGTTGACAACAAAGGCCTTTTTGATCATTCAACACACTAACACACGCCAATCAAAGTGTGATCATTCACACACACACACACATACAGACATTTCAACTGATCACATGACCTCCAGCCAGACTCAGAACCACATGTGTCTACGATGACCACTACCACATGTTCCTTTAAAGTATGCAAGCAAGTACAAGGAATAATGCGCTCTTTGATCTAGATTGACACACACACACACACACATACATCCATTCATCGCATCACAGTGTTGGTGCCAATGACAAACAACTTGGTGATTGGCCTTGGTTTGTGGTGTCGCTCCATTGTACAATGGTTGCCTGCAGGTAGCATGAGTAACTCACTGCAACACACTCAGTAGACAAAGTGATTGTCTTGTCATGGAAGATTCATAAATAGAATACTAGCTAGTCCTAACAATCTAGATGGCTTGACTGATTGGTTGTGTTGAGGAGAATGTGTTATGTGTTTGTGTGTGCCATGTTGGCGGATCATCTTTGGCTTGGCCTTACTTTAGACGCAAGACAAGATTGAGTGAGGAGATGGAGAGACATCATACCCTTCCCAATAGTTGGTTGAGGTCCTAAACACAAGTCATGACACATTTGTGGTCCACATCTAACAATGACATTAAGTTCAATGTGATGGACATCTTAAAGTATGAACGAATAAATGAATGAATGGAAGGTCACGATGTTGGGCTGCAAAGACATCACCAGTTTTGGAAATGAACTTTGGAGATGTAATCGTGACACATGATGTGATCCATCCACACTCATCTCATTCATCAGATTGATAATCAATCACACATAACAACATACCAACATAACAACAGATAACAGATATGTCAAGTACACCAACAACAACAACTCATAAAGTACTACACAATGGTGTTGAAGTCAATGGATGGTTGGTGACCACTTCAAAGAAACCAATACTAAACTCTACGGACAAAGAGAGTTGGGAGCGTGACTTGAAGATGAATGGTGTACCCGAGATGATCTTTGGTAACAACTATGTCAGTGTGGCAAAGAAGGACGGTTCAATTGCCATCACATTCAATGCACACGATGCCCTATCTCTATGCGCAAAGACAGCCGATCAAACAATCAAAGTGGCAGCTGCATCCAAATGGCAGGCAGTCAACAAGATGCACACCAACGGTGGTGCCACTGTCGAGAAGTCATTCGAATGGACCTTCACTACACCCTACACTGGCACTCTACTGAAAGACGGTCATGTCTACTTCCACCAAGCTGAGAGACCACCTGTAAAGTATCATTCGTTCATTCATTCTATCAATCAGTCTGTCGACAACCCTTGACCCTAACTAACATCATTCACTCATTCATTCATACATTCAAACATAAAGACTATATTCGAACCAACAACAGAACAGATAGATATAGAGAAGCTCAAGAGATTAGATCCAATACTATTCTATGATGATGTATCGATTTATGAAGATGAGCTGGCGGACAATGGTATATCAATGCTCAATGTCAAGGTGGTATGTTATGTCTCGTCCGTCACTCAATCATTCAATCGATCACTCACTTACTCACTCACTCATTCACTTTATGACAATAACAGAGAGCAATGACAACAGGTATCTTTGTACTTCAGCGATTCTTCTTGAGAGTGGATGATGTGTTGATTCGATGCATAGACACACGTCTCTATCATGAGTTTGAACATAGTGGCTACTGTCTGTTGGAGACCACTGTCAAGGAGGCCAGCTACGATCATCTAAGACCATTGTTTGACAAGGACCCGACATCAATCACAAACGTCAACCTCATTGTTCAACAATTGCCAACAAAGTCGACAAGACATGAGAAGATTATCTTGTAATAATAATAATAACAACATGAACTATTTATTTGAGTGATTACCAGAACATTGGTCCATGGATTCTCAGAAGCCATGTTTGGCAGCCACTTGGAAGGTGTCCATTGTTCAACCCTCTGTCTGTGATGGTGTAGGAACCAAACCATGTCAGTGTCCAGGTTTTGGAGAAATGGTCCTCATCATGGAGAAGCTGTTGGGTGAAGTGTAAAGCCGCGTCCCTCAATGCCAAGAAGTACCAATGATGTGTCAATGAGTCGGCACTGCATCTTGAGTGGCCCAAGCTCATTGAGAAGCGCCTCCAATTTCAATGGTAGTTCTTCTGACGTGGTAAAGTACTCCTCTGGCTTCAGTGGTGGTGAATCCCAGAAGGGAAGCGAGATTATAACCTGCTCTCTTTGCTTCATGCAGAGATCACCAGTGATCTCAAGAGTGAATGATGATGAATCGGTTCGCAGGATGACCCGATCAGAAAGCCAGGCTTGATTGTGAAGGAGTAACCACAACTTAGGTCGAGATGAGTGACTGATTGTGGAATAACGCCAGGTTTGATTGGTCTGTCGTATGCACCAAAGTGATTGAGTCCAGATAGAAGATGGCTTGCCTCTATTCTTCCTTCGAAGCCTGGACCAAGAGTGAGGCTGGAAGGAAGCCATCACTCAGATATTTCAAACAACCGTCGGAACAGAATGATATGAGTCCTTGCACCAAAGTTGAGAGTTGTGATCCCAGAATGAAGATCTCCAACTTTGAGTTTTTGTTTGAAGGCCATTCCAAAAGTGAGAGTTGTCAATGAGTCTGGAAGGAATCCAGGGCTGAGAGGCTGATTGAAGTTGTACGAGAGTGTCAGAGTTGTCAATGAGCTTGGCAGGCTTCCGGACACCAATGGTTGGTCAAATAGAGAGAGCTCAGGAAAGATGATTGTTGTGATGCCATTGGGCAGCTGTCCAGGATGGAATGGCTGGTTGTAGTCGTATCCGAATTGGAGTGTCATCAGTCCTTGAGGCAGGACCCCAGGTTCCAATGATTGATCGAATGAGTCGCCAAAGGAGATTGAAGTCAATTCATGTGGAAAGCTGAATCCGAATTGCGCGAGCGGTTGATTGAATGCCTCGCCAAAGGTCAGTGTATTGAGTCTTGGAGGAAAGTGTTCAGCATCCAATGGTTGGTTGAATTCATCGCCAAAGGTGAGTGCTGTCGCCTCTTGAGACACGCTCCCAGCCTGCAGCGGCACATTGGAGTTGTGGAATGCCATTGTTGTTTTGGGTTTAACTTTGACTCTTGCAAGCATCTTTGTTGATGAATGCAAGAGACACCATATATCGATGTCATTGAGGAATGAGAGGATGGTTCGGAATGGTATCTCTGGCAAGTTGATGAAGGTCGTGCTGGGTAGTGTTAGCGATTGAGTTGTTGTATTGTAATGGTGGAAAGAGTCGATGGCACTTTACTCCTGGGCAACATCATCTTTAAAGAGACACTGCTCCTTGAGATGATTGAAGACTATTTCAATGTTGTCACTGTCCACCATTATCTCGACAATCTGTGCCTTTCGCAGATTAAATACCAGACGAATGCCGAGTAATGAAGCAATGGACCTCATCTTGGCCACTGTCATTGAAAAGAGACAGAGTGAGGCTACTTCTTGCTTTAGTGCTATTACTTGTAAGACCATTGGTGGTGACTACGTTATTGTTGTAGCAAAAGAACAAATGGTGAGTGGTGGTGATCATGATCACTCGTGACTTCATGAGTTAATTTCAAGTTTACATTAAAGATGATAGAGATAATATGAATCATATAATACATGAGATAATGTTGTTGTTATTCATCACTGCATTATTATATGTTTATTAAACTACTAGATCACACAAGTCAATCACTAAATCAAATAGCAACCCAAGCAGCTTAGTAGGATGGATCGTTTATCAACACTCATTCTCCAGAAGATAGCATCCCATTTGGAGGAGCTTGATGGGCTGTGTTTTAGCTTGTCTTGCAAGTATGTGCTCAGTAGGACATCATGTCAACTATTAAGATCTCGAACGGACATCTGTTGGAATGGAGGGGAGCTTCCATCATTGTTGCCGTCGTCAATCTCAACAATCATGCTTGGTGATACCTTCCAACAAACAATCATGCCTGGCCAATTGCCAAATACTATCACTTCGTTGACATTCCCCTGTTACTACGACAAGAGCTTCCCCGTCAATGCCCTACCAAGCTCACTGCTTGAACTATCGCTTCCGTCAACATACACAAGTCCAATCACTTCTCTACCCTCATCTCTGACAAAACTATCCTTTGTCGACTATTTCGCCGATGTTGGGTGATCCGTGCGTCGACGACACGTTGCTCCTTGCCTTGCCTCCTTCACTGCGGAGCTTGAAACTTGGATCCAATCTTGCAAAGAACCAAATTGTTCCTGGATACTTTCCCTCGTCTCTCACAAATCTTTCTTTCAATAGCATGCTGGATGACCCACTGCCGCTGGTACTGCTGACATCCCTACAAAAACTATCGATCGGTTGCTACCGAGTATGCTGCTCCCTTCCAACCTCAATCACTAGATTGAATCTGTTCACCAATCAAAAGATACCACCTGGGTCACTCCCCTTGTCATTGGTGTCACTGTGTCTACATTACGACTCTGATGAGGCGATAGAGAGTGGCACATTCCCATCATCTCTCATCAACCTTTCGTTTACATCTGGATTCATGGCATCTCCAAAGTTTCGGTAGTGTCTTGCCTGCATCCCTAATCAAGTTGGTTCTGAATGACCGAATCACTGGCCCAATTCGGCCGTGGCTGTCATCACCTCTCCAGTACTTGACATGTAAATTGTTTGAACAAGAGGTGCTAGAGAATGGAGATCTTCCAATATCACTCACTGTGTTGAAGATCTACCCGGTCGATGTGACACATTTCAGCTTCAACGAAGGGTCACTACCTGACTCTCTTACTCACCTGAAGCTTGGTAGAGTTGGTAGGGGCTATTACGTAAATCTCGCATGCCCTCTGCCCCAACGAACCAAGAAGCTGGCATTCGAAACATCACCAAGCAACGAGATTACGCCAGGTATGCTGCCACCAACTTTGACGTCTCTTACGCTGGCATCCAAATACAATCTGCCCATCATACAAGGTGCTCTGCCTCCAACATTGATGGCCATCGTCTTTGGAGATAGATTCAACCAGGCATTGCCAACGGGCGTGCTGCCATCGTCACTCAAGAGTCTCACACTTGGGGAAGACTACCAACAAAACAAGAATCAGCTCCAGCTCCCACTTGGTCTCTCAACATTGAAGCTGGCGCATATCACTCAACTGATCCATGTTGAGTCATATCAGCATCCACTTGATCTCATGATAGCAGAGAGCATGAGTAATTGGAAGGATCGGTCGACGTCCAAGGATCCAATCATAAACCTTGACCACACAATGGCATCGCTTCATGTTTCCAGTCTTGGTGGGTCTTCATACCTGTTTGATTATCCCAACGAAGAGAGGTCGGAGAGAACTGGAGTTGAACAAATGATGCAACTGGTCAAGCTTGTTCATGGAAATGTGATCACCTACGTTATGAAACACCTTGGATACGTCCAACTGGTACTTCGCAGGATTCCGTCTACGACTGGAGAGTCTCTCACTATCTGTGTAATCAGAGAGATTCAACGAAATCCCTTTGGTCCAGCGAGGAGACTGACTCCTCACATATTCTTTATCCGACCAAAGTCAGAGGAATCCCCAGAGATTGTTGGAAATAAATAATTTCAATGTGGTCCTTATTATCTTCCCTCCATTCCCATCAGCTCTAATGTTCCTTTCCAAGTTCAGTAAGTGATTAGGCATGTTAGAGGGTTGATCAACACTCAACCCAGTGGTTAAGATCTTCGATAATACTCACATTCTCACTCACTCAATCACTCAATCACCACTCACACTCACCTTGAGTTAGTGATTGCTAAATGAACAAACAAACAACAAACAAACAAACAAAGGACATGGATAGAGAGATTAAATGGATTTCCATATATGGATCATAACCAAAGTTCTTCACTGAATTATGGTCCGGTGTATCCTTTCATTAAGGAATATCATTCCTCTCCTCCAATCCGAGAATTAATTCATTCGGTTTCCAGTTCGGTGCTTTGGACAGCTTGGATTACTTCTACAGCTATCTCAGTGGCAAGGAATGTACCATCAATAGCTTGTCAATAATAATACCACCCGACGATTTCATCGCACTAGATATGTTGGTAATTGTTGAGGAGAAAGAGATTGAAATATTGGAAGTCTCGTTCCTTGGAGAGTTTAAGGTTCAAGATCTGACAATCGTGCTGGTCGCCGGTGTGTCTCCTTGTCATGATCGCCACGCTGCTACGATGTAGACCGTGTTATCCATGGAATAACTAGTTATCTTTAAATCGAACATCTTGACCAGGGGTATATCACAGCAGTGTCCGACTACAAAACCAGCGTTTATGGCGGTCTTGAAGCCGTTGTGTTGTCATCGTGGTCATAGTCGTCATGTTCACGGTCATGCATGATCCAAGTACCTGAAACGAATGAAATGATTGATAGTTGCCAACTAGCAAGGTGTCATCCACTCATTTTTTTGTTGGTGTTTACCAAGATGACAAGGTAATACAAATAGTATGATCACACAGCTCTGTCTTCATCGTCTTCATCGTCTTCATCGTCTTCATCGTCTTCATCGTCAAACAAGTCCCAGTTGACTTGGTATGGGGCGAGTGACTGCCTCACCAACTGCTTGAAATCTTGGAGCTCGTGGATGTCGTGCTCAAAGTCGTTACATCTGTTGGTGTGGCACCTCATCGAGTCTTGCCATGACCATCCCAACTTGTCTGGGAGAACGTCAGGAAACAGACGATTGATGTGCAGAACCTTGAACGGCCTGCCACAAGGCACGATGATGCGCGAGTTGATTCGCAGCCGATCGATCCGGTGCTCACTCGACTGGAGCAGGAACTGTATCACAGGATAGCCAAGCACGCCGATGCAGTAAGACTCCATTCGCAGGCGATTCAGCGCCTGGTGCTGTTTGAGGAAGGTCAACATGTTGACATAGACATCTGGTTGGCCATTGTTGGGTTGCTCATCCCTGGGCACTTGATCATCGATCATGGGCGATCCACTCATCGACGAGTTGATCAGCGACAGACTCTGCAGATTGACCAGACGACCGAGGAGAACGTCCACAAAGAAGAGTCGTGAGTTGCAAACGATGTACTCCATCAGCAGAGGCGCGACCTCGATGTCGCCATCGGCCAGCTTGAGTGAGACAATGTTGGCTCCGAGATAGTGGCTGGACTGCAGAATTCGGTCGACTTGTGGATGGACGTTGTACATCAAGTTGCCCAAGATTGCCACTGACGAGGGCTGATGAGTGGTGCCCTGATCGAGCAGTGCCAGAGTGTTTGTGAGGGGAGGGTCATGATGATTATCCAAGATGATGCGATGCCTGGTCGCTGTGACCTCATAGACGCGCTCAAGAAGGAGGATGAAAGAGAGGGGTGCTGTGATCTCTTGCAGGTTGCAAAGCAACTCCTTGACACGAGCGATGAAGTAGCCGGCGTCGACAGAATTAGCTTCTAGGGCGGGCCATTTATGAGTGTATTGAGCATAAGTGGAAATGTACAGATGGGTTATGTTGTTGATCAGGAACAGTGTGCTGCTGATGGCTATGCCAGGCTTTGTTCTGATGATGTAGTCAGTGAGATCCTTGGGCAGCATCCTGATGCGAGTGTTGAGTGATGCAATGATGCGGAGGAACAGACGGCAGACCAAGGACAGTGACAGCTTCCACTTGAAGTGATCGTCCTCCCATGAGGTAACTGCCCAATAGACGCTTCTGTCACCAAAGTTATCTGAGTCCTCTAGCTTCTCCAAGGAGGAGAACCTGGGCTCTATCCACAGCATTCTGATGATATGGTGGAGTGCTGTTGGATGAAAAGCTGCCATATCAATCGCGGATTTGTATGTACTGCTACTGTTTCTCTATCTGACTTTCTCTTGCTCGGGTGACCATTGGAGAATGAGGCTGTTTCACAGATTTAGAATGCACAAAACCCCTCCCTCACCTCTCAAACACTGGCGATGTCGCGTGGACTCAGGTTGATTTGGTGGTTCATGATCAGAGAACAGGGCCCTATAAACGAGGCATCAAAGTTCATGTCGTGATAGAGATCGTTGTTGCGATTGAATTGAATTGGTTAAGACAAGTCAGATATATATCATGATGGTCGCTACCGTGTACAGTCGCCAGGGTCTCCTTTGTCATTTTGGCCACGACTGCCACACGACTGCCACCAGTATGCCGAGGAAATTATTGTTGATGATGGGGTAATTGATTATGGCCCATTGTCTGTTGTAGTTGAATGTGGGGTCCGCGACCATGGAGCATTTTGCTCCAAGTCAGTGATCAATCATCAGTCTGTTTACTAACCAAACATTAAATATTCGAACAGTTCTTTGTTATATACTCTAGTCACGATGTTGGACGAAAGTACAATTCGTATCATACAAAGAGAATGTATTGGTCTTTATGATAGAGCCCTTGCATTTCTTAGACCAACGAACAAGGCTTTCGATCCAGAGTGCAGCACTGGGATAGCATATGATCAAGCATATGAAGTGCTCAAACGACGTGTTGGCTTGCGGTTCAAGGTTGCCTTCAAGCAACTGAACATCATCAAGAGCTTTGCATTGGTTTGCTGGCAATGGTTCCACGTGGTCTCCAAACACTACATGCGACACATCACCATGCTTCCTGGAGGATTCACACCCTTTGTGTTGGTGGATAGTCTGCCCGCACTGCTGCTTGACTTTGGCAGCGAACTGGGTCTTGTCCTCAAAGAATGGGATTACACATCCAACGGAAGCTTCAAACTCGAATACTCAAGCTTCTCATTCATCCAAACTCAGCACATCGAGAGACTGGCATTTGTTCACCACTTTGAACATCACTTCATGGAGATACTCGATCAATTCCCAAGCCTCAAACAAGTGGACCTTCTATCTTACTATTACGATGGCGAGATTATCCATGAGGCACCGCAGCACATTCAATTCACACTCTCATTATACCATAATCCCAAGTTTCCTGTCAACTATGAGTGGACTTCAAATGGATGTCGAGATATCCATTTGTTCTTGGCAGGGGTCGATTTCGAAATAGACATCATTCGTCAAGCAAGGCCTACTGCTATAACAATTGTTAATATGGAGCATTTATCCTCTGACCAAACTTTGGACCTACGCCAATTGGTCTCACTCCCCTCTCTCAAGCACATCGACCTGAGCCATTGGAATCACCTTTTGACAATTTCTTTCTTAACCCACATCCTCTATGCCAAGCAACGAGACTCTCAACTTCAATCAGCTCTGCCTGGACTACGACCATCCATCTTAGCCTTTACACCTCATCGAAGCAATCAGGTCAAGCACTTCACTCACAAGCTTGACGATCAACAACCAGATGTACAATCGCACACTGGATAGAGTTGCAAAGGAATTCGTAGTTCACCTTGTCGACACAAAGACCCTGCCCCAGGAGAAAATCAGCTTTGGAATTCCAAACACTTTAGAGTACTTCTATCTTGACAGTCTCTACTTGGACATCTCATTCTTTAACACATTGGAACGCAACCATTCTCTCAAACACCTACATCTCACCTACGGGTGTCTAATGGACAGCACCTCAACAAAGGCACTCCGCAAGATGCTTTGCGTCAATCACACAATCACAAGCCTCTCTCTGCGAGGCAACATGCTCTTCACCAATGACCATGTGGTGGAAGAAGTAGTCTTGTTGTTAGGCGGGCTGCAGGCGCCTCTTACCAATCTGGACATTGCCGCCAACGGCGCAAAAAACCTCGAAAGAATCTTCAATGCTTTGCTCACTAGCGATGTCATTGAGAATCTGGTCATCGACTGCAGAATGGAGAATGACGCTGGGCATTACACATCACGGTCAAACATTCTCGTCTCTATCGAGATCGTTGATGAAGATTTACAATGATCAACAATCCAACTCATCTAATTGAAAATAAAGGAAAATGGATTCACAGCGTCCTCCTCATACTTGGGTATACTAGCAAGATTGAGATACCAAACCTAGTTCTCAAAGTACACCATCTCTCTTTTGATCGTTGCCTTCATGGAAATCAACAGTGTCTCCACTGAGGAACCATTCAGACAGGCTGAATACATTCTGATCGTGAAATGGTTCATTGAACCAATACGCGGACGATCCTGTCGTGGAGACTCGACAATGTCTTAATGAAGGTTGAGTAATCATATTTGTGGGGAAGGACGGGATCGATCATTCATTCAACACGGGATCAAAAATGATTAGATAAGCGCATGATGGTTGATATGTCAATGAATCCACAGTTAGTCAGGTCATCCCCTTGAGCAAAGAACAACGTCTTTGATATTCGCACCAGCTTGGCACACCTGCCCAGTTTTCCTCCTCGGGTGCCAAGTGTCAGCCACATGATGGACTGTGCCAGTTGATCCAAACGACACCTGATGCCAGGCAGAGGCTTCATTTGGCAATCTGGTGTAATCTGTGCTAAACCAAGCGATCGCAGTCCTGCTGGCAGCGTGTTGCACTCAATCCGATGTTTGATATTGTATATTCCAAGGGATGTGACTGACAAAGGTATTTGTTGGTCGAGAACTGGGTGCATGTATCTATTCAAGAAGAACGTCGTGAGGGACAATGGCAGCGGTGAATCGACCAAGTTGAAGGCATCCTTAAAGGCACATTCAAGAGTGAGATCCTCAATCCCGTGAAGTCCAAACGTTGTTGGTCGATCTACATGGATTGTCAGGTTGCGCAGCGTCGATGGGAGCGAGGAAAGATCCAAGCGTGCGACTTGCGCCTCCCCACTATAGTCGACCGCGCCGGCCATACAGAGTCTTTGAAGCTTAGGAAATGTGGCCGATGTGATCCACATAAGTTCTAGATGATGCAGATAACGTTTGATGTTCAACTCAAGAAGATGAGAGAATGGAGACATGGTAGGGTCACACTGCAGCCACTGACTTGGATGTGTTTGGTCCGATGAATATAAATATAGCCTGTCGAGCTTGAGCTCAGTGAGGCTCGGAGGGAAGTTGATCGGAAAGGGGGGAAGGCCGTCCATCGTCAGCTTGGTGAGGGATTGCGGCAAGCACGTCCCATCCAACTGCCGGCCGAATTGGGATCCAAACTCCAGAGTCTTGATAGATGACGGGAGTGGACTCCACGGGATCGATTGGTTGATACTGCTCCCAATGCACAGGGTCTCAAGGTGCGGGGGTAGCAATGACCCTAGGTTGATGTTTAGGTTGGCATCGTCTTCCTCCGAATAGAACATTGAGAGCATCTTCAAACCAGCAGGAAGCACTCCTTGGTCAAGCGTGCCTTCCAAGGCCATGCTTGAGATTGAGAGCCAGGTCAATGTAGCAGGGAGCATGTTTGGCGCAAGGCGCCACCACACTTTGTGAGGGACGGCCAGGATGCGCATGGTTGTCAGGGGAATATCTGGAAGTGGCTCTGGTCGGACTAGCCTCTCGTACTCCAAGGGAACCGATCGATCGGCCAGCTCTTGAAGCATTGGCTTCATCCTGTCCCAGCAATCGCGACTGAAAGGATGTTTCTTGCTCTCGGCAAACTGGACCTTGGCGATGTTTGGTATGGCCAACACTGCTTGAAACAACTTGTTGATGCTGTCGACAGAATGGTCCGTGTCCAAATCTGACGTGTGCGCATGGTATAGGTTCGTTAGCTTCTCGATGCGAACCAACGAGATGGGCAGCGGCAACAGGCATACCAGCAAAGAAATAGAAACAGTCGGGCGGTTGGAATCGGGTGTAGGTCGAGTGAACTCGCACCGTGTACATCTTGGCGTTGACGATATGCTGGTCGATGATGCCTCTGTACGAACCAAGCATTGTGCCATGTTGGCGGTAGGCGTATGTGCCAGGCAGTGCGTCCGCGTTCAATCTGAGATAGCTCTCTCGGTGGTCAAAGAATCGCTTGCATACTATAGTGAGGAGCACTCTATCTGCATTGCTCTCCAAGCATGACGCTATTCGTCCAACTATGCTCAGTGGCAGTGACTCCATCTTTGATTGAAGGGAGTAGATATGAAAATGAAGGTGTTCAGACTAAAACAGAGTTCAACTTTTATGGTCCGATGAGTCAAAAAGAAATGTAGTGGGAAGCCAGCTTCTCTTGTCTCAACTTGGTCCTCAAGCCTTGTTGTTGCTGTTGCTGCTTGGCTAATGCTATTATAGCACGCTCCATTTATTGTCGATCCAAACGTAGTTGTTGAACCTTATCAATGACACCATGTTTGGTTTACCTATCTGGAATGGTGACTGCAGATTCTGAACGGTGTTGCTGATGGCCAGCGCGTTGTAGACTTGATCACGTTCTCCATTGAACGGCACGCCAAAGGGCGAGAACGTGCAATCAGAGAGATCAAGATGGACGATGCTTGTGTTGGTGGCGATGGCCGATGCGATCGGTGCATGCTCTCCAAGATCATTTCCCTTGAGCGAGAGCGCAGTGATTGTTTTGTTGGCCCTGAGCATGTCGGACACAGCGCCCTGCCGCACCGACTCCTGGAGGAACAGACACACAATCGATGTGTTGGTTTCCATCGCCTTCAAGAAGGGTGCCGAGACAAAGGGGAGCCGGCAGAGATTGAGATGGGTGAGGCTGGGCATGCCAAGCAGCAACAGAAGACTGGACTCCATCAGCTCCAATTGGTTGGAGTTGACATCAGGCCAGGAAAATAGCATCGCACTCGGTTGGGCGCCGTCAGTGCGCACACCAATCAATGTCATTGATTCCATCGACTGGGAGGTGGCCACTGCAACGCAGAACTGGTGAAACACATCGACATTGTCGTCGATGTCGGCGACGAACTGCTGATCAATCTTTAGCCGGCATGTGATGGATTGCAGGTGCGGCAGCCGTTGGATCGTTTGGCTGATTTGGCCCATCGACAGGCTGACACTGCCAAAGTCAACGGATTGTAGAGTGGATATGTCAATGATGTCGGTGATCAGATTGAGGCCGTGGGTTCGCTCGTCGCCATCGCCATAAGTAATGTGGGGCTCGGGCACAAAGGTATGTTGTTCGTCATAGTCAAAGATAGTGAATTGCGACGGTTTGAGCGACTTGATGAATGGAGGCACACGGTAGAAGCAGCTCGGGTACATGTAGCTCACCCTGTCGTATTTGTGAACGAGTGCTGTGCAAGGGATGCGCCTGAGGTCGCTGAGGGTACCCAACCCGTGGTTGAATCTGTGGAAGAGTGTGAGATTGATCGAGCATGCTGGAGTGTGTTGCAACAAGTGACCAGTGAGCTCGTCGACTCGCCGGCAGAGGTTGTGGCTAGCATGGATATCCAACGTGCTCAGCCTTGGAAAGTTGGGCGCGCTGATCATGTTGGCCAATGGTGGGATGTCCTCCCCATGAAGTATGAGCAGAGAGAGCCGAGCAATGTTTGTCACCTGGAAGAGAGAGAACCTGCTGTTTAATAGATGCACATTGGCCGAGAGGCATGATCCCGGATACAAGATGTCGCAGATTGTTGTCTTTGAGAGTGGCCTGCCTGCTGAAGAGGAGAAGGCTTTGACGAAGCCATCGGCATCGGTGAACAGCGCCAGATGGCTGCAGTAGTGCCTCGAGATAAAGTGGAACCATTGCCAACACACCTGCGACAGTGAGTACACTACCTTTAGCAGAATTGCTTCGGACGCCCTCTCGTTGTGGTTGTAGGCGCACGGCTCTGCATTGTCAAAGACACCAAACGTATTGGGGGCATACGAGTCGATGACAGTCTTGATCACATGAGTATAGAGGATGAACTCTGTATCCATTGTTTGTAGTCGAGACTGCATGCAGTGATAGGGTAAGGGTGTCAAAATGATGAGGTCATGTATGTACTGCTTGAGTTGGTTGTATCATATCTATATGAGCATTGGAAAAGACGTGTGTGTTTAAATCAATCGATCAGTCAATAAATCAATCAATCATCATTATAAGCGTATGTAATCATATATTTTGAGACATTTCAAATATAATTATTTATCTCTTGCTTGTTTATAACTAGGATTGGAACAAATAATGTAAAGGGGTGTTTGTGATGTGTATGCATGAAATCCTACATGGGACACTTTGTTCAAGTGCTTATTTCTTTCATTCATTAAACAAGTCCGTTCATCAATTTTCCTTTTAAGGTGTTTTTATCTGTAAAACATATACATCGAGAAATCGTGAAGACCTTGGATACATATCATATGTACAAGATTCTGTCGGAAGATATGTCTTCGTTACGATCGAATGCATGAGTGGTCACAATCGTCTTCATCGTCATTGTAGTCAAACAAGTCCCAGCCGACTTGGTATGGGGCGAGTGACTGCCTCACCAACTGCTTGAACTCTTGGAGCTCGTGGATGTCGTGCTCGCAGTCGTTACTGCTATTGGTGTGGCAACTCAACGAGTCGTGCCATGACCATCTCCACTTGACATCTGAAAGAACGTCAGGAAACATACGATTGATGTGCAACACTTTGAACGGCCGGCCACAGGGCACGATGATGCGCGAGTTGATTCGCAGCCGATCGATCCGGTGCTCACTCGACTGGAGCAGGAACTGTATCACAGGATAGCCAAGCACGCCGATGCAGTAAGACTCCATTCGCAGGCGATTCAGCGCCTGGTGCTGTTTGAGGAAGGTCAGCATGTTGACATAGACATCTGGTTGGCCATTGTTGGGCTGCTCAATGTCGAGGGAACCGACCCTGGGCGCATGATCATCGATCATGGATGATCCACTGCACGACGAATTGATCAGCGACAGACTCTGCAGATTGACCAGACGACCGAGGAGAACGTCCACAAAGAAGAGTTGTGAGTTGAGAACGATGTACTCCATCAGCAGAGGCGCGACCTCGATGTCGCCATCGGCCAACTTGAGTGAGACAATGTTGGAACCGAGATAGTGGCTGCACTGCAGGATACGGTCGACTTGGGGATGGATGTTGTACATCAGATGGCCCAAGATTGCCACTGACGAGGGCTGATGAGTGGTGCCCTGATCGAGCAGTGCCAGAGTGTTTGTGAGGGGAGGGTCATGATGATTATCCAAGATGATGCGATGCCTGTTCGCTGTGACCTCATAGACACGCTCAAGAAGGAGGATGAAGGATAGGGGTGCTGTGATCTCTTGCAGGTTGAACAGCAACTTCTTGACATGAGCGATGAAGCAGCTGGCGTCGACAGAGTTGGCCTCTAGGTTTGGCCACTTCTGAGTGCCTCGAGCAAAAGTGGAAATGTAGAGATGCGTTATGTTGTTGATCAAGAACAGTGTTGTGTCAGACTTTGTTCTGATGATGTAGTCAGTGAGATCTTTGGACCCCATCCTGATGCGAGTGTTGAGTGATGCAACGATTCGGAGGAACAGACGGCAGACCAAGGACAGTGACAGCTTCCACTTGAAGTGATCGTCCTCCCATGAGGTCCAAAAGACGCTTCTGTCACATTGGTTTTCTAAGAAAGAGGACTTCTTGTCCTTGGAGAACCATAGCACGTTGATGATATGCCGGAGCAATGTTGGATGAAGAGTTGCCATATCAATCACCGTTTGTATGTTCTGGACAACCTCCTGTTTCTCTTTCATAGGTTGTAGAGATCATTTAACTTTCTTTGAAGATAAGTTTAATTTGAATTGCAACCTAAATTAACCAAGAACTGTCTATATCTATTATTATATGTCTCTAACTTTATATCTCTCAATGTGTCTCACTACATACTACCCTTGGTTTGATGAATGAAATTAACAGTACTTCTCAAAAAAACCTCATTCACTCCATTTTGTTGTTCATAGTACCCATTCTCCATTGTGAAGAACAAGTACAAGTTAGGTGTTTATTCAATAACAATATCATACTTACATACATTTAGACTAATTATATCTATAAAGTTAATACTATGTTATATCCTAACTTACGTACTAGTACAACCAGAGACCAGTGTGAGCTTGGTGAGAGCGTGCATTTGAGACAGGTCGATTGAAATGTTGTAGTATGGAGCGTGACGATGCGAACCCGGTGACCGACAATCAAAGACGCCGAGCTTTAGCTCAAGTAGTGTGCGGTTGATAATGATAGAGTCTGCATTACTGTAGTCTATGTGGTCAGGGCCAGCTGGAGAAGAAGAGAACACTTCGAGAGATTGGACCGCAGGCGAAAGGCACTGGAGATGGGATGACAAATTTGGGAAGTGGGTGTGTGGAGTTGTTTGGACTTAGTTCACTAATCTCACACAATCATTCTATTAATATCATGTCGCTCACACTCATTTTAACCCACAAGCAACACAAAGGAGATAATAACATACAGATAATTCGCCGAACTACACGTTGTTGACAATGGCGACCGCACTAGAGAGACTTGTGCTTCAAGCTCTGATCGAGCCATCACATCCGTGTCTGAGCCTCGCCGTGCTCAAAGAGGTCTTTGCTGTGCACAGAGAGAGCATTTATCACCACACTGTTGCGTCACTGATGTCGAAAGAGCTAGGATACTCGCAAGAGTTCTACCAGCTGCTGGGCTCGCTGTCATTGGTGTGTTGGAAATGGTTCCGCTACATTACGAAGCGCTTCTTCACGCATCTCTCGCTAGATCTCAGCCACGGTTGGGAGCCCCAGTGGCGGTGTGCGCTGCCCGAGACGCCGCTCTCTTTTATCATGGTCACCAACATCTTTCTCTACAACAGGCCACAATACTATGGGATGCCTCCCATAGTCTACAGCGGAAGCAAGTGCACACTACTCGCGCCACACAACATACTTCGACTCTCTGTCCATGTCACCGACCAAGAGAGCGATGCGGCCATCACAGTCGATATGGTCAGACTTTGCACCAATCTACAGACTGTCGATCTCTATGCCCAGCTGCATCAATCTGCCAAAGTGGACAATATTGCCAAGACACTCCAGTCAATCAATCCACTCTTGGCGATATCGCTCACGGTAGCACATGCAGGCCTTTGCAACCCTCGTGCCGATGACACTGGCCTCTGGCATCCAGCCTTTACAAACTACCAATCAGTCCATTACTTGGCTCCTACATGCTTTGTTGAACTTCCTCTCATCATTAGACCTTGGACACCCAACCGATTCACCTTTGTCAATGTGTGCCAGTCCTGGATTGGCTACGACCACGATCTCATTGGCGATCGAGAGCACACTCGTCTTCTCATCGCGCATATCCTCCAGACTGCACCGTCCCTGGCCGAGGTTGACTTTGGAACGATCCCCATTGAGCTGGAGGAGCTCACTCAGACAGTGTCAATGGCCAATATTCGCTCTGTTACCTGTCGACTCGAATTAGCCAACAACCTCTTTGCAAAGGAGAGCTGGCACGATGGATACAATGCATTGGTGGACGCGAACCCTGGAAAGACCAGCTTGACCCCAGACGACGCTTGCTCCCTGGACGCAAATGTGATCTTGTCCGAGCTGCGCCACTTTGACGTGCTGTGCAAAAGCCTGTCAACTTCATCCATTGAGCGACTGACCTGCATCAATAACTGGCCCGAGTACAACCACTGTGGCTCCAAGATCGAGTCGGTTGCCCTTTTCTTCATGCAGTTCTGGTTGGCCAATGTAATTGGCGAGAGCAGGTTATCCCATCTCCACCTCTGCGGCCTTCCTCTGGTCAGTGATCGATTCTTTGACAATATTCAAGGCTCTGCACTACTCAGTCTGTTTCTAACACATGGCGCGATGCTCGACAACTACATCGATTCTCTCAACGATGCTATCAGTATGAACAAATCCATCCCAATTATCTCGCTCCAGTGCAACCATATCGGTCTTGACTTTGATTGACACCATGGTGACCGAGACCATAACTGTGTCCACGTTCCAACAGCAACTGGTTACCTCTACTGCCTCTGCCATCGTCCACCACACTGCGTGACCTGGTGTGCGGCCTCGCGGAGTGCAGCACGGCGACGACATATGTCGGCTGCATACTGGCCAACGTGATCGATGATATTCGCCAGACCAAAAGCAACATAAACAATATACATATGTGTAATCTTAGTGTCTCACGTCGAATAGACCAAGTCCAGTTCACGTAACAACTCAGTTGTCTATGTTTATTCATCAGCCCAAGCATCGGCTGGAGTCATATGCGGAGGTAGGAGGCAGGTCCAATCGATACCAGTGAGAGCAGTGACCAGTTGAGATGACGCACTTTCCAGTAGCGACCATCACGATGAACACTATGACCTCGTCCATGACGACCACATCAACGACAACCTCACTCCAACATCAACAGTGACATAGTTTCCTTGACATATTGGATTGTATCAACACCAATACCCTGACTGTTGTTGTGGCGATGGATAACATGGTTCTTGATCGTAGCAGTTGTGGCAGTCATGAACACGACGATCACGACCAGATCATGACAAACACAACTACCACAATGATTGATTGACCATTAATCTGCAATATAATATAAACTCTTCATACTTTCATTCAATCAAACAATTACTTAAGTGCATCCATCGCTGAGAGACCTCGATGTGGGTCAAGTTGGGAGGTTATTGAATACGCCTCTCTTGAAGACTTGTCGCAGCGAGATGAAACCGCCAGAGGGGAAATGGACGTTTTCAAATAGCAACAACACTTTGTCAGTGTCGTTGTCAATGAAACTTATAGAGAACATGACTGGTCTTTCGATGTCATCAAAGAATGAGACGTTCTTTCTATGCTTCAAAAGGTGGTTCAGCACCGGTGAATTTGGTGTCTTGAATGCCATTATATCTAGCCGGAAGGTAACGTATGTGGACTCAGGGATGGCTGGGATGCTTTTAACAGTGGACGCGTGCGGACCACAGATAGAAAGAGTCTTGAGACTGTTGGGTAGTTGGCCAGGACGCAGTGTATAGTCGCTCCATTGTACCAACTCGAGGTGTTCAACATGTTCTGGGATTGCGAGATTTTCTGAGTTGGGAACCATGTAGAGAGTCAGGCGGGTGACACTCCTGGGAATGACTGTCTCTGCATCCATATCGATGCCATGAATAGACAGTTTTGTGATTGTTGTCGAGTTAATGCTGCCGTTTCGCAGAGGGAAATCACTCTCTGGACCGAGTGAGAGGGACAAGAGGCCTGGTGGAAGAGGTGAGCCAGGTGTGTACCCGTGCCTGAAATGGAGGGCTGTGACAGAGCATGGGAGCGGCATATCGTCGGCCATTTGGAAAAATCCACTAATCGTGAGGAGCGAGGAGGGGAGCACTCCTTGGCTTATGGAGGGTAGCCACCCCGTCATGACCGTAAGACTCTGGAGATGGTCAGGAAGCGATCCTGGCAGCAGAGGTATGTCGAACGATCCCTCTAATGTAAGATGTAGCAATGATCGTGGCAAAGTTCCAGGAGTGATATGAGAGCACTCGATAGTGAGGTGACAGACTCTGGGATTGTTCCAACTTGAAGTGGAAAGCGGTAGTGCTTGCCGAGTGTTACATCCACGATGCTGCACGGGATGGTGTTGGGCGGAATCACTTGCTCGTAGTATTCGAGCATCAAGACATGAACAGTGGGCGGGATCTGCATAAAGTTGAATGATATCCTTGGTGTATTCTTTGAGGCAATGTCGTGACTCAGTTCAAGGACCTGGATGTCATCGTCAAACTCGTACTCGTCATCATCTTCGCAGTCTTCAGCCAGATAGAGGGACTCTTCGCGGCCATATGTTGCCTTGGCAATGCGAAGAGTATCCAGCATCTGCTGACGGAACGAGTTCATTGAGAATCGCTCGCCACTCTCCACCCTGGAGCATAGTTCTTTGAGGTCTCTTCGCTCATCATTTAATGGTGCTCTCATCCTAAACAATAGCAGCTTGTCGCGATTCTCAAAGAACTTATTGCAAGTCAGCAGCAGACAAAGGCGGTCGATGTTTGACTCGACATGAGAGACAATCTTTTGAACAAGTAATAGGGGAATATGATTAATAGACATTTGATTTGGAGGAGGAGGGAAGGAAGGCAAGACCTCATATGATAGGGATTGGATAGGTTACCATCTCTTTAATGCTCATGACCATGACCAATTTGAATCACATTATCTGATTAAGCTGATCACTCACATCTTGAGACTGATCATTGGTGATGGTGTTTGTTGGAATCAGGGAGAGGGGGTGAATGTGTGAGTGATTGATCAAACACAACTGCCCAACAGTGTGTGTGGTTAATGCCAAAGGGGCTCACTTTATCATTCCTTGGTATTTGTGATAAATGAATGAATGATTGAGTGGGTAGGTTAGTGTATGATGTCAGCACCAAGAGGGTAGGTATATCATTGATTGATTGATTGATTCAAACTTACACTCCTTATCTACCCTCTTGGGAGTAATAGTATTGGTGGCACCGATGATTACATACACAAGGCCTCCAATCAATCAATCAAGATTGGTAGTAGAGGGGTATGTTTGTGTTTGTGTCGGTACAGCCTCCAGGTTTATATCATTCCTGACAACTTTCCAAAGTCATTAATTTAGTAATCAAAGTATACTATTATTATTCCAATCAATAATTTAATTCTCCAACCAATTCTATATTCTATATTAATACTATTCATAATACAAATATTTATATATGATGATGGAACAAGTTGAGGAACAAATAATATATGCTGCTGAACTGGATGCAGAGTTGGAGCAACCAAAGATAATTGAACATGAATTCAACGAGGATGAAGTTTTTCAACAACATCAACAACAACCTGCTGATGCGCCACAAATAGAGAATGAGCTCAAGGAGCAAGTGGAAGTGGATGAGGAGGAAGAGGAAGAAGAAGAGGAAGAGGATGAACAACCAGAAGTACAACAGCAACAACAATCTGATAAAGTTGATATTGTCAAGGAGATTGAAGATGTGATAGTGGAAGAACATGTTCAAGATATTGTTGTTGATGAGTGTCACTCAAAGAAACGTGCATTGGATGTTGTTGAGGAGGCGGAGGATGATGATGTCGAGGTTGAAGACAAAGATGAGTTGGAATTGAAGAAGCGTAGATACACCAATGGTGAAGCTTCAAGTGGAGACAACATCATCAACAACAGTTCTGTTTCAATCCAAGTGGATCAATCAATTTAACTAAATAAATTATTTATATTAATTCGATCGAGTTTGGTTGATTGATTGAGTAAGTGATCACTCTTTGTTTGTTGCTTATGCACAAGAATGTGGTTAAATGTTGTTGAGTGATTGGAACTGAACTGAATGTTTGATTGAATGAATGAAGGGTGCAAGCCCAACCCATCCAAGCAATGTTTTTTGTTTTTTTTTGATTGTTTGGGTCTTTTTGGGGATGAATGGTGCTTTTTTGGTTTCGTGTCCAAAGACATGGTTGGATTCTTCAACGACCCGGGTCGGGTGGTGGATTCGACCCAATGCCAATCTACTTACTTACTTATAATTAAATAATTAATCTACATTCTACATTCTCCATATACACTAATATCTCTATCTTTATCTCTTTCAATAGAGATAAAAACAAAGGATATATATACATATATATCTTTGTTTGTTGTAATAATAGTAATAATAATATAATACTTATATCATGAGTAACTTACAGGCAAAGGAGAGGATAGATCTGACTCCTCGAACTTTGACATTGACCAGGTATGATGAACACGACACTCTTTCCCTCAGATCAGATGACAATGACTAACAAACATAATGATTGATTGATTGAATGTAGCGTCGATGACAAGGTGTGGCTGGGCATACCAGAGGAGAACTTGTTTAATGACTCGTTCACTATTGAGAAGTATTATATGTTGCAGAGTAAACCATTCTCGAACTTTAGGGATGCAGATCACTTCAAGGCTATTGAACAGATTGAACAGTCATTCTTCCCATCCTACAAGGATAGGTTCGAGTCATCTGATCAATCAGATGACTCTGACTCTGGTACAGATCAATCGACAACAACATCAACAACAACATCAAAGGCAACAACAAGTAGTAGTAGTAGTGGTGCAACGGGTACAGTCGGTCAGACATCCACATCATCACAGTCATCACCAACATCAACAACATCAACAACATCAACAGGTGGTGGCGCTGTTAACACAAGCAACAATAACAATGTAACAACATCATCTTCAACATCGGGCAACAGCACACCTCCACGAAGCCAAGCATCTAGATCGGTTGCAACAAACCAAAACAGAGCCAGCGGTGGACTTAACAGCAACAACAACAGTAGTAGCAACAACAACAACAACAATAACAACAACAACAACATTGGCACAAGCGGAAGGAACTCTGCTCAACTACAACAACCAGCAACAGGCAAGCGTAAGAGCAATACTGTTCGCTCCTCAACAGAGATAGCTTCATCATCAAGTGGAGGTGTCAGCAGTGGCACCACGAGCAAACCTCCAGCACAGTCATCATCGACATCGGCTCAACAATCAGCGAATGCTTCATCGACAACACAACAAACAGCGACACAGTCCTCCTCCGCAAACAATTCGACCGCACAGTCAGTGTCTGGCGGCGGTCAAACTGCACAGTCAATAGGCAGCAACCCATTCCACGAGGAGTCTAGGAACCGCCAGAACATCCCCGTGTATCTGATCGATGAGGACCCCTTTCACACGCATCAGATCACATCCACGCTCATCCTCGAGGATCTCTACTCACAATCAAACGTCAACACTGCCTACTACTCCACATTGCTTCAGAAGCGTCTGTGTATCCTCAAGCGAATCCATCTTGCATTGAAGCGTGAGATTGCAAGGAAGAAGGTAAGTTCCTCACTCACTCAATCAACCATCATGTGATCGATCACTCACTGACCCTCCCCACTTGACTAGCTGTTCGACTCTGTCTATCACTCAAAGGCAAAGACTAGGACAAAGAAGGTGCACACGCCACCAATCTCGATAAGGATAGCATGTAGATTATTCATTACGACGCTGCAGGAGCAGGTGTTTGAGCAGCGTATCTCGCTACCAACGCTAAAGTCATTCAACTTGATGATCCAGGAACTGCCGCCACTGTCACTGGCAGGCGAGCCACAGGACTGCATCGATAGTTTGACCAGCTGGTTGCTGTCCGCAATCAGCACCAACATCGTCCACATCAAGCGCGAGGCCATGGAGGCGCTCATTTCACTTACCCTGAGTCAGGGCTCCCTCAACTCTATTTTGTTTGCACTGTCATTGATCATCATGCCCGATCGGCTGCAACAACATCTCCAAGGAGGATCAAAGTCGTCAGCGTCCGTCGCTGCAGCGGCAACAGCATCAGCCACCACCGGTGCCGCCAGTCCCCCTCATCAATCATCCAACACTGGCAGTGGGGAGTCTTTCAGTCCCAATGCATCGGCACTGTGGAAGGCCAACAACAACGAACCACTTACTCTTCGATTGATCCCCATCATTCGCCAACTCGAACAATGGAAGGTTGACCTGCCCCTCAGTCCTCTAACGCGTGACCTTCTGTTTGGTAAGTAACGGCCGTTACTCATGTTCATTCACTCATTCACTGACCCTCAATCGATCAATCAAACATAATAGCAACATGGCCAATGCTTTGGAATGACAATGCATCGCAGGATTCTTTGGCATTCTTGTCGTCTCCCAATCCAAACATCGCGACAATCACTTCGGATGGTGATTATATATACATTCACGACAATTGTGGACTTGCAAAGATTGGCACTGGATACTCTGGTACACATCAGGGCAGGATATACGCGAGGAATGGCCATTGGTTCCCCAAGGAGAAGGGCTGGCTAGTGTCGATCGACGGATATCTATACTATAGGTCACCTTCCACCGACCAAGCATCATTGATCGTCATTGACCCGGTCACACTACAAGAGGTGGGCCGCATCAATCAGGACGGCTCGGGCTCGCTGCCCACCACCAACAATCTCACACTGCCATTTGGCCCCGAGACCACGCAGTCGTCATCGCTCGAGGACGAGTCGATGGTGCTGGCCACATCGGCCTTCCACCTCACCACACGCTCGCCAATGTTTACGGACGGTCGCTACCTCTACATTCTGTCACTTCAACGCTTCCATCACTACAAGAACAACAAGCAGTTTATCGTTGATATGTACGACCCGTTCCACTCTTTCAAACACATCAAACGTATCGAACTGCGATATCCCGACTCGGACGTCAACGAGGAGGTCGTGCTGAACCCGGTCGTGCTTGAGCTGGGCTCATTCTACACCAATGGACAGTATCTGATGGTGGTCCTGCCGCCACCCCTGGGCAGCGATTACAATGCCGATGCCAAGAGCTACCTGTGCCGCGCATTCAGTCTCACAGACGGCTCGCTTATAGGCAACTACTGTCTGGAGAGCCAGCCTATAGGCTTGGCGTCCACCTATGACTACGTGAACAATGTCATCTGGAACTATTCAAGCATCCAGAGTGAGGTCGGTCGCTATGGAAACGAAGGCTTTGGACCCAAGCACACATTCCCCACCGGTCTGCCATTGCGCGAGAGTCAATCACCTGATCACACGTCAGTCTCCCCCTCAGCCACCTCCGCAACGACTTCAACATCATCAACAACAACTCACACATTCATGCCACTTACCGAGTCGACCTCGAGTGATATGCTTGGTTTGGAGCCTAAGCAGATCGTGTCCACGGTGTTGGGCATGCTGAGTCGTTTGTCCATCGACTACATGCCATCGATATCGGACAACAACACCATCCATCACCTCTACAAGCTCAACGAGCCGTACAGCGTGGAGGTGACGTACAGCACCTTCTCGCAGCTCTACTCCATCCTCAAGCACTACCAGGCACAGATTCGCGTCGATGCCTCTATCGGCTCACCCAAGAACCTGGACATACTGCGATGTATAATATATTCGTTGCGATTGCTCAAGGTCAATCTGTTCCGCCTGACCTCAAACATACGCAGTCTTGAGCGCAGCCAGCAGCACTACCAAGACTCCTCGCGCGACTCACTACTCAAGTGCGTCGATCAGACGTTCCTTTACCATCTTCGCGACCTCTTACTGGGCTTCATCATCGAGGGCATCTCTGGCTCTTCGTCTTCGGGCTCATCGTCGCCGCCAAACAATCTCCCTCCCCTGCCCAAGCACACATTCACAACCACAACCACCCAACAAGAGTTGCCCGAGTTCAACTCAATCATTGAAGAGTCATGCGAAGTGTTGACGATTGGACTGGACCTCTTCTATCCCACCTCGTTGGACAAGGCCAACTTTGTCAAGATGTTGCTGGAGGAGGTGATGAACCATCGAAAGGCGCTCGCCTCATCATTGTCCAAGCAATCGAACAAGCACCAAAAGGAGAAGGGCTACTCAATGTTGCTCAACTCTGTGCTCTCACTGCTGGCCAATCATCCCAATGCATCATTCTTTGCCCTGCCCCCACTGCTCTCGGAGATCCCCTCACCATTCAGTGTGTTTAGCACGTTTGGTGCAGAGTATCCCTCGGACAAGCCATTCGATCCAATGAATCTCTTTGTGCCAATAATCAAACACCTGCTGGTCGAGGCGCAGGCCACTATCCCCAAGCAATCACTGGAGCCACAGCGACAGGACCCAAACAATCAGAACCTTGGCTTCTCATTCTTCTCGTCGGCGCCGCCCCCACCTCTTGCCTCATCATCTCCCGCCATGCGACTCCTGCTCGCTGTCCAAAAGGACTTGGTGCTTCGCGTGGAGAACTCTGTCGTGGGCACGGACGCACCATCGCAGGCCCTCGTGGCCTACTCTCGTCTGCTCATGGACAAGTGCAAGGAGCTACTTTTGGGCGTGCTCGACTCGGAGACACCGCAGCGAAGTCAATCAATCCTTCTCATGGACTTCAAATCATCAGTCGTTGGCGCACTGCTGCCCACACTCATACACTCATTGTTCCTGTTCTCGCATCACATTTGGCTGGCCAAGGAGATGCTCCCCTCGCTCGTGCCATTGATCGGCGTTGTGGATCGCATCAACAGACGTCTACCCAAGCTTCTCAACCGGCCAGAACTCGGACGCCAGCCCCTCCAAAAGCGCAGTAGCTTTGTTGAGGGACCCAGCAGGATATCCGAGTCGCCACATCCCTATCACCCGTTCATGAACACGCGCCAGGTCGTCTCGATCCCCGGTTCGGTGTTTTTGTCGCTGGTGTTTGACGAGCGGTCAATGACCAGCACAGCGGACGACGTACTTCAGATCTATGAGTCGGCCGACTCCAAGGAGCCCATGGACAAGTTCTCATTGTCGCAGTGGCCCAAGCGACGTTTCTTGATCCCTGGCGACACGGTCGTCTTCCAGTTCGTCACTGGCTCGGCCAGCGGCATCACAAACCCCTACGCCTTCTGGGGCTATCGTTGCAACATCATTGGACATATGCCCAACTCGGACAAGACCTCGCTACCCTGGTCATCGCACCTGGAGAAGACCATGTGCTGTCTAGCTGGCCGCTTCTCCGCGTCGTTGATATGTGGTGACACATTCACCGACCTCGAGTATGAACACCGCCAGACACTTGAGTCGCCGTTGTTCCAAGGCAGCATCGAAGAGGAGTACGTCTCACAGGTGTTGTTTGGTCCCGAGAGCAATCTGGTGGCGTCTCCACACCCCAACCCCAAGCCTCAACCCTGCCCCATCGATGTGATGTCCACTCCACAGGCATCCCAATCATCACAATGGCAGGCCATCCAGAGATTCTGTGTCTCATTGGCCAAGCGCAACAACGAAGTCTACTCACAGTCCCTGTCAGACTTTATGTGGCACTACATCACGGGTGAGCCCCTCAAGGGCAAGGGCAGCATCAAGACCGCGCAACAGGCAACAATCGCAGCTCTGATCAAACATCTCGGACTGAGCGAGCTGGCCATGAACTTTGCACTTGAGATCATACAGTTTCGCTGCAAGGAGATGGTTGAGGGCAAGGCCGAGTCGGGAATCATGCACCAGCTCAAGCCGCCCCAGCAGTTGGTCGATGTTTGGAAGTCTGTCGGCCACATGCGCCACATAATCATTCAGCGCCACCAGGAGAACCTCAACAACAATCTTGGCAACAACACAACTTCCACCACAGGCTCTGTGAGCAACGAGGACGAGTCGGCCAATCGACGCAGCGTCCACGCCACCCTGCGCGAGACCATCTACAAGGACGTCACCGACAAGATCGTTGATCGTGCAATGTTCCTCATGCAGCTGCAGTCATGCAACAACAGTGACGAGCCCAACAAGAGCAAGGAGGCGCAACAACAAGTTTGGAGTGACATTACCAGCTCAGTCATCAACTTCTCTCTCTCAAACATCTCACTGGACGTCATCAAGATGATACTGGCGACGAGAAGATCACGAGCCTACACTCGTGGGCTTGGCCTGCAGGCCATGATTGACATCCTGCGCTGCACATCCGACCACACAATGAAGCATGAGGTGTTGTGCTACATTGGCCCAGCGCTGCGTAACAGTGGCTTTGTCAAACAACGCTCGCCTCCCTTCCACTACCTTGATCATCTGCGTGGCTGTGGCAGTCGACTGCTGCTCGACATCAAGAAGACATTTCGTCTGCTCATGGAGGACATTGCCGCATTGCTCCAAGACCCCAACAGCGACTCGACATTGCGCGTCTACGCGCTGGACGCCTTCACTCTGAACTTCACTAGCGAGGACGCTGACCTGCTGACCTCGGTCGACATCTTTAACAAGATACACAATCTGATGACCAACGAGTCGGTGTGGGGTGGACTGTGGACCTCGGGTAGCGTGCCTGCCGCTCAAGGTCAGAGCCCGATCAACAACATGTTACTGCACACGCTTGGCTCTAGCTCGTCGGGCGGCACACATACAGGTAGTCTATTCTCAAACAGTGGCGGCAACAATAACTTCTCCTCAGTTGGCACATTCATTGATGAGGAGCGACAGGAGAAAGAACGACTCAAGAAGAATGCCAAGGCGCTCTTTAGATTCCTCGGTCTGATCTGTGTTGGTGCGCCAAACAACAGCAGCTCCAACAAGCCACAGACGAGTAAGGACGCCGCGTCCATGAGCAAGTCACTCGAGACTCTACGCGATACATTCTTCCAACTCGTCGAGACGCAACTGGACTCCTCATTGGCGTACCTTCAGGAGCAGAACAAGACTTACTGGCTTGGTTCCTACTTACCAATGGCTGGCACTACCCCACCCATTACAGGCAAGGGTCGACGCATTCTACGTGGCGAGCGATCATTCAACAATGACTTCAACGACACCCTTTCGCTACTCTACATCCTGTCGGCATTCAACTCGGTAAAGTCGCGACTGACCGCGCCGTCCTTTTTGCAGATCTTCCATTGCATCTTGCAGGTGGGCGATGAGACACATCGCAAGCTGACCCTTCGTATCTTCCGAAGGATTTTGCCATACGTCTCGCCCGAGAGCCTCGTGGTGCCGACGGGCAAGAGCAAGCACTCATCATCATCGATACCACCAACATCTGCGGCGCACTCATTCTCAACACCACAGCCGCCACAACCAACATCAGGCGCACACAAGAGCCTGTTCACATTGCTCCTGGACATTGTTGGCGCGATTAGCTATTGGGGCTGCACGTCGGACCTGCTCGAGACCGCCAAGTACATCGATCCTCGCTTCTTCATCACGGCCTCCAACTACAACCTGTTCTTCAGTAGCAACTACAGCACCAAGATCGACTCGTCGCCCTCATTCTTCTCGATCTTTGACAAGAACACAGTGCTACCCACGTGCTGGGACACCAGCACCGTTCAAGGCGTGCGATTCTCCAACGATGCCAAGATGGCCACATTCTCATCGATGATGGGCGACACCGTGTCAGGCATCATTCGCTCGGACAACGTGATCCCAGAGTCGATCCCCCTGTTCTACTTTGAGCTCAAGATCGAGAACGACCTCAGCGCATCGGACAATGTAAATGCCCCCGTCAACTGTGTCATTGGCCTCGTGGCCATGAGCCACGTGTCGCAACTACGCACCTTGCGGGACTGGAAGTATGGCTACGGTTTCTCTGGCAAGGACGGCCACAAGGCATGCCACCGTGTCAACTCTAGTCGCTCGCGCAAATACGCCGCATCATTCACACGCAACGATGTCGTGGGCTGTGGCTGGAACCGCAAGGAGGGCAAGGTGTTCTTCACAAAGAACGGCAAGTACCTCGGCACGGCCTTCAAGAACGTGTTTGGCGACTACTACCCCGCCGTGCAGCTCGGCTCCAACGTGTCACTCTCTGTCAACTTTGGCGCGTCTCCCTTTCTCTATGACGTCACGCCGCTCACCTCCTCACACCTCGAGCAAACCATCTCGGAGAAGAACATGCCCTCCATGTCCCTATCCTACGTCTCGGAGGTCATATCACTCCTGCGCATTCTCCTACGCGCACCCCTTTGGAAGCCACACATGCAGCGATACATTGAGGAGGGCTTGAACCTCCTGCCCTCGACCATCGTGCAAGACACACTGCGACCCATGTCCCCACCCGCGACAAAATCCTTGCTGCAGGTCTTCTCAACAATCACAATGCTGGCCGGTCATCTAGATGGCATTTGGAATGGTGCGAGGGTACAGGTCGACCTTGGTTCAGGGCGTCATGAGAAGGGTACGGTCATTGAGTACTCGCCCCTGAGCAACCTTTGTCGCGTACTGCTCGATAGCAACATACCCAAGCTCTACCGCACGGTGCATCACCGACGCAATCTCAAGCCAATCACAGAGATCGCAATCGACTTTGGCCAGTTCCTCCCATCGTCCTCATCCATCCTACCCAGTCTCTCGGTGTTCCTGCGCCCCACATCAATCCCCACGGCCATGCCATCAATGTTGTTGACGCCACCATCATCGACCAGCGACTCACAATCATCCAAGCATCAATCGATGACCTTCAGGACAGAGCAGCGCAACATCTATCTCTTTGTCAAGTCGCGTGTGATGAAGGTGCTCGGCTACATGTTCAAGCATCCCGAGTGCGCCAAGTACTCACTCGAGGAGATACTCGTGCCAATCCTGGTCGAGTTTGCCCTGGGCCGTCCCATCCAATTCATTGACGAGCCCAAGATTGAGAAGATGGAGCGACTATCATTCTTGATCAAGGAGCGCATCTATGACTCATCGTTCAAGTTGTTCATCACGGCTGGAGGCGATACTTCTGGCCCATCCATTCCTGCCGGCGGCGGTGGCAACAACAAGGAACCCGAGGACCTGGGCACGATCACAGATATCAACGACCTCGACGACGAAGACAATGAGATGCTCGAGGAGATTGAAGAGTTTGATGATATGGGCGTCATTGATCTGGAGGGCGACGATTCGCTCGACAGCAATCGACCCAACAATGGTGACCCAGGCTCCAGGGGTGACTCTGGTCCGCGCAGCCATCGCAAGAAGGGCAGTGGCGACGGCAGTGGACTTCATGTCAAGTCCCGCCACAACTCCACCAACAACAACAACAGCAACAATCCAGAGTTGGACGAGGTGGACAGCCAGAACGTGGCCAACGACGACGATGAGAACTTGACAGAGGACGATATACCCGAGGAGGGCATCCCAGGCAAGCGCATCTCATGGGGCGACATCCAACCGGGCATGTCCGTGATGATCAGTCGTCGCGAGAAACTCGTGTTATGTCGCAGCAATTGGGTGCTGGACATGGATCGCATCATTGGCGCGGTGGGCATCGTCAAGAGCATCGACAAGAAGCACAAGCAGGTGCTGGTGACAGTGTTGGACGAGGACACATTCTCGCTCGTCGACTGGTGGCTGTGCTACGAGGTGCTGATCCACCCGCCCAGTCCGGACAAGTCCACCAAGAACCCCCTGCAGTCGATCGACAAGTACTCGCACTCACAGCTTGTGCAACTGGACGCGTCGTCCGAGCTGGCGCTCTCAATTCTCTTTGCGCGCCAGGCACTCATCTCATTGCTGGTGTCATTGCCAAACAACATCCGCGTGGCCTACACATCATTTGGTGGCGCCAAGAACCTGATCTACATTCTCAAGCTCACGCTACAGACCTCACTGCTCAACAGCTTTGGCGGCAAGAAGACGTTCAACAACAACAGCAGCATCACAAAGCTGTTCAGCAGCATCAGCAGCAACGCCTACATGCACAAGGACCTCCAAAACCTCAAGATGCTTCAGTCCAAGCTCACTTATCTCATTCGACAGGAGACCCAGCTGCACCCGCCAGTCTTCTCCGATGTCATCATTGGACAGCCCGCCACGCACTCCAACGGCACACACCATCGCAAGCAGTCTACGCCAGTCTCGCTATCGACAGGTTCATTCAGCGAGCGATTGGAGAAGCAACTGTCATTCAATGAGAAATCGCTTGCTGCGCTCTCATCCTCACTGGGCCCATCACTTGGTGCGTCACTCGCATCATCGCTTGAGCAGCTCAGCAGCACGCCAGCCAACAGTGGCAGCGGTGTTAGCACTGGAAGCAGCTCACCTGGAGATGGTCCCAAGTGGCGCAGCTACAAGCCGCCAATGACCCCACCAATAGGCGCACTGGCTGGAAACAGTTTGGGCGAGCCACTCAAGTCTGGCAATCTGATGAAGCAACAAAAGATCATCAAGTTGTGGAAGCGAGTCTTTGTTGTGTTGTCAAGCGAGACGCTGTATTACTACAAATCGTCGCAAGGCCAGACCCAGCAGACAACAGCCACTCTCACGCCCACAGTGATCAACTCATTCTCAAAGGAGACATCGACGCTTGCGCCCATCGGCTCGATCGACTTGCGTGACATTGTGTCCGTGACCCAGGTATCCATACCAAAGCAGAGCAAACTGTTCAACAAGAAGGACTACTGCTTCCAGGTGACGGTAGCCTCGAACAAGACGCACTTGTTCCAGACCTCGACACAAGAGGAACTCAACGACTGGCTGCAGATCATCAACACGGCCTACAACTCCAGTCCGTCCGTGCGCTCCAAGGCCAATACGCTGACGTCCAACTCTCTGGTCGACGTACTCGTCAAGGAGTGCGCGCTGCAACTCAAGGACACGGCGCACAAGCCTCTGCCGCAGCTAGTCGACGAGTCGCCCCATCCATACCCCGCCAACTACAAGTGCAAGAAGATCATTCGTATCGAAGGCGCTCTCTCACTGCTCATTGTCTTTGACTCGCGCACATCGACCGAGCCGGGCTACGGCATGTTGAAGCTCTACTATGACCCGTGCTGCACGGACCACATCGCGTCGTTCAGTGGAAACGTCGCCTCGTTCCCGCCAACACTGGTGCACGCCGGTCAATGCTGGATGATCTTCAACGCCGACTCTCCCAACTCGGACTGGGGATACAAGTTCACGGTCACACCGATACGCATGCGCACCAGCGATGTCAGTCTGCTGCCCAACCCCAACTTTGAGTTTGCCTGCTTCCTCGTCGACTGGATCCTTCAGCTGGAGATGCATCACTTCACCACCAAGTACCCCAACTACTTTAGCAACGACCTGGTCGAGCTGCTGCTCCAACATCTCGAGGTGTCACAGCCGCTCGATCGCAAGCTCAAGGTGATCAACTTTTTGGCACGCATACTCCAGAAGCAAAGCGAGTCCAACTCATTCACGAGCAAGCTGGATCACCTCAAGGAGGAGATGTTCAAGCTCTACAAGTTTGAGCGTCAGATCAACCCCTCGGGCGGCGGCAACACACTGCTCTCGCAGTATCTCCAACGACTCATCGAGCTCTGCGTCCATGTGGACATCAACAAGACGCAGTTGGGCCTCGATATTCATGCCTCATCGCCCTCGTCCAGCGGCATCCTCAATAGTGGCGGCGGTAACAACAGGAACCAACAGCATGCAGCATTGTCGCCAGACCAGGACTATCGCGCATGGTACTACCGCACGCTCAAGACCTACAAGGTGCTGGACAACCTGTTCAAGGGCAAGGGATTCAATCGCGAGTTCATCAAGGAGTCGTTTGTGGGCACGAGACACAAGCAGGTGGTGGACAGTCCGCACCCCTATCCACAGGGTGTGCGCGTCACCGCCAACATCCTTATACCCAACGCCATCTCGCTCAAAGTTGAGTTTGATCCCAAGTCCAAGACGCAGACCTACGTCGACTATCTGATGTTCTCAAAGAGCACGCCTGGTGGCGATGATCTTGGATTCTTCACTGGCGACTTCCCCACACAGCAGCCCATCCTCATCGCAGGCGACCGATTCATTTGGTCATTCTACTCTGACTCGACCGAGTCAGAGTGGGGCTTCCGCTTCACCGTGACTCCAATCTTCCCCGATGACATCCAAAAGGAACACGAGTTGCAGTACGACCGAGAGATCGAGTATCTCTTCTCCAAGCCCTGGAATCATTCCCTCGATCAGGAGCTCGTCAAGTTTGTCAACACAGTCTGTGAGAAACAAAAGAAGACTCCATCACAACTTATGTAAGTCATTTGGAATCATCCCCTTCCCTTCATCACCTAACATCCCAACCCCTCTCATTAGCTTCGATCAATGCCTCACAACAGAGTACTTGATGCTGTTCCCTCAGCTCTTTGGCGTGAACGACCCAATGGTGCTGCAGCTGCGCTTCATCATTTTGAAGCACTTCAACACATGTTGCCAGAGCTTCCTGCAGTACATTGATCTGCGTGGCGCCAGTGAGGACTGGTCGATCGCCTACCGTCTGTGCAGTCTACGTGGTTTACTCTTCTACGACATCAAGCTCGAGGTGCTGGGCAGCTCTTTGCAGAGCACCCGATTCTTTGGTCGACGCCCAATGCTCTACCTCAATCGCAATGGCACACTCTTTAGCTCGTCATCATCGAGTGCAGCATCGTCAGCCGCTGGCAACACATTGTCTGGTGCATTTGGACACACACACAACCTTCGCCAGAGTCACTATCTCAACTCCAATGACTATCTGCTCATCCATCAACAGCCATCACAGATCCTACAACAGCAACAGCAACAACACGCCCCCAAGAACATGCTGTCTCCACCCCATGGCGCGCAGCAGAGTGAGTCACTCTTCTTCCAAGCCTTCCGCCAGATTGGCATGATGGACCCATCGCGACTCAGACACAATGATCGCGCTTGGGAGGTGAAGCTCGAGAGAGAGGGCGCCCGCGACGCAGGAGGCCCCTATCGCGAGTCAATCACTCAAATCATCAGCGACTTGCAGAGCGTCGACTTGAACCTCTTCCTCCCATGTCACAATGCCCAAGGTGATGTGGCATTCAACCGCGATAAGCTCGTGCCAAACTCGAGCGCCAACTCTCCATTCTCACTGCAACTCTTTGAGTTTGTTGGTCGCCTCATTGGCATTGCGATCAGGACCAAGAACTGTATCGAAGTGTCCTTCCCCTCGATCTTTTGGAAGGCACTGGTGTGTGCCCGCGTCGACCGTCTAGATCTGGAGGCCATCGACAAGTACTGCACAAACATGCTCGAGATGATGCGCTCTCCAATGGACAAGGACGTCTTCAACGACCTCATCTTCCAGACGTTCACATCGCGCTCCATTGACAATAGCACAGTGGAGTTGGTACAGGATGGCAAGAGTCGCGAGGTCATCTGGGAAAATCGACTAGAGTACGCCAGGATGCTCGAGATGTACAAGCTCAACGAGTTCAAGTTGCAGATCGATGCCATTGCCAAGGGTGTGGCATCCATCGTGCCCCTGCACCTGCTCAACATCTACACCTGGCAGGAGCTTCAACTTCGCGTCTGTGGAATGCCAGGCCTCGACATCAAACTGCTCAAACGACACACACGATACATTGGCCTGCACCCCAACGAGCCCCGCGTCGTATGGTTCTGGCGCATTCTCGAGACATTCTCATCTGAGGAGCAGACCCTACTCCTGCGCTTCGTGTGGGGCAGATCACGTCTGCCCTCATCGCACGAGTTCACCTTCCAATTCCAACTTCAGGTGTTCATTCGCAACGACTCCACACTCTACGACGACGACTATGAGACAGGCATTGGTGGACACACCAGTCGCATGTCCATCGATGAGAACCAGGACGAGTACCTGCCAGAGGCCAAGACCTGTTTCTTCACTCTTTCGCTGCCCAACTACAGTTCACAGGATGTGATGCGAGAGAAGTTGTTGTACGCCATCACCACATGTCGGGAGATTGATGCTGACTTTATTATCCCCGACGACAGTTCTTTGCCAGCGTTAATATCATCTACCGCAAGCATCGTTGGAGGTTTGGAATAAAGATCATTACGCCAAGTTTGTTGATAGTCAAATTGGCTCCACTTATACCTGGGTCATGATTGGAATCGTATCCACCCATGCTCCACACTCAATTGATAATACAATTGAATACTCCTAATATTGTTGACAATTGTCTTTGGATGAACCTTATTAATCACCTAATATTGACTATTAAATATAGTTCTATAAGTATTCTAGTATATTTTAATTATACTTTTTGAGGAGACTATCTTCCACTTCTGAATACTAGGTAGTTGATGATCAACTAGTCACCATCGGTCAGAAATAAGGTTACAAATACTATTAATAATCAAGTTTTTAAAACACTTAAATAGGAATATTAAGTTTCAGTGGTGGAATGCGCGTTATTGTGACAAACTCCCAGAAAAAGAATTTCCAAACCCAGACTAATATAATAAAAAAAAATACTACCAGTACCAAAGAGAATTCTCTCTAAGTTATTATTTTTTGTTTATCCTTCTAAAAAAATATAATATATATAATAATAATAAATGGATACAAACTTTGATAATAATATTAACTATCCTTTCATATTTATAGACTGGTCAACAAGCTCTCAATCAAACCATAATAATATTGATAATTCCTCCCAATAATTTCCGGTACAATATTAACTTCCTCATCAAATTCTCCTCCTAACAGCCCTTATGGGTCGTCCCCGTCAAAAATTACTACAACATCCACTACTAATATTATAATACCTGAGAAATTAAAATATGGAATGATGCCCAAAGAACAAGAATCCTGGATTGAGATAAGAGATATTAGTTTAGAGATTTCTAAAATAGCCAAGACAACTTTAACAAATGGTATTACAGAGCATACACTAAACAAATTAAATTCAATATGTACACAACTTGTAAATATGATTGAGGATGCGACGAAGAAAGAAACGAGTGAAAGGTCCCAAACTGATGAAAGAAGAGTAGTTGTGCCTCTTACCAGACCCAGGAGATTCAGAAAGAAGAAGAAACTATCGAGTCAAACTCCCAACAATGATGATCCAGCCACTCCAACCTCACCAGTATCCTCACAAAGATCAGACCTATTTTGTACATCATGTGGAACAACACAAACGCCAGAGTGGAGGAAGGGTCCTGCAGGTGGTAAGTCGTATGTATATCTATCATGGATCGCATAAGTTCGTCAAATATTGAACTAACCAATTACATCAAGGTTATGTAATGCTTGTGGTCTTCATTATTCTAAATTGATGAAAAGAGAATCCTCGGTAAAGGTTGAAACTTTCGAGAAACCATTATCATCATTGGGCAACAAACATTCAGTCAACTCCTCAATGAATGTCATTAATCTACTAAACTAAGTATAATATTTATATATAAATATAAATTTCTTTGTATTGTATATTTACAAAATGTCGGGTGGATGGATATTTAAGTTGAAATAATATGTGATACTGCTTCCGACACCTCTTTGCAATGTGATATTACATCGGACATGACCTCTGTGACTGCCACACTGCTCCTCTGTATCAGTTCCACTTCGTTTGTTGTATGTGATAACAGTTGTATAACCTGTTTCTCTGACATGCCTGGTGACAGTTGTTGTTGTTGTTGTTGTTGTTGTTGTTGAGTCGTATTGATGTTGTTGATGTTAATGTTGTTTGATGATGGGTCCATCTTCTTGAGGTACTGTTGTGTATCAGCATTGACTATTGGTGGTACATCACTGCTAAGTTGCTCGACTCGTGCTACGACTGCACCCAGGTCATTGGTGAGCAATTGACAATTGGCCAAGAGTGATTGATCTACGTGTTGCTCCTCGTACAACTTGATCCTATCGAGTTGTGTCTGTTGTGTCGGCGCAACGACATCTACAGAGTTCCTATATTCCTCAAACAATGAATGTTTGAATGATTCGAGATAGTTGACAAGTTGTTGATCGGATATCTGTGTCTGTGTCTGTGACTGTGTAGTTGTAGATGTAGTTGTAGTTGTAGTTGTAGTTGTTGGCAACTCTCCAGATTGTTTCATCTTCTCCAATATATCATTTGCAACTCTATCCCATAACAACTCAATCTGATTATAATATGATTGAGTTACCTGTTTCTTTGTTATTGTTGTAGTCGTTGACATGTTTGTTGTATATTTATGTGTACGTGTATATGTATATTTGTATCTATTATTAATAAATGACTATCTTTGATTGAGAACAGGTCAATACTTTTGAAAATGGCGCCAATTTTCAAATTTTAAGTTAAAGCTTCAATCTCCATGGATGATCTCTGATTCAAATATGATCCAACCCATGGGTTGTTTGTTGTTGTCAGTGTCATTACATTAGCTTATTTATTAAGTTTGGAAATGATATATTTCTTTTGCTCTGGCGACAAGGTGTCTAGAAGTTGTAGCACTCCATCCATGGCGGCATCAGAGTCTTGTTGGGCGTAGTAGATGATTTGGGATTGTACATATGATTTCCTCATGTCGTTGATCTTGTCCATCAGTTGCGTACATGAGTTATTGCTGAGGAAGTTGGCGCGCCACTCGTTGCTCTCGAAGCCATTGGGCAGCACACCCAGGTTGTTAGTGGTGGCCAGCTCGCGCACCCACTTCTCCAGCAGCTCCCTGCGCTCGAATCGGTTCAGGGCAGGGTTGACGCGCTCCATCAGTCGCAGATGCTGCTCCTCTAGCAGTCTTCTCTTTAGACGGTAGTAGAAGTAGCGACGGGCCGACTTCCATGGCACCACCTCGCTGATCACTCCCTTGGCCTTCATGCGGCCTGGCGTGTCGTGGAGGTCGGCGAACTTGATAGCGACCTGCTGATACATGCCCAGGAGCTCCTTCTCGCGTGTCTGTATCTGTGTCTTCAACTGCTTCTGCTGAGTCTCGTCGGTGGCTGATGCCAGCTCTTGGTCCATCGCGATGATCTTGTCGTCCAGTCTATGCATCGTCCTGATCAGGTCCGGATCACGATACTTGATCTCACAGATTCCGTTGGGCTCGAGCACTCCTCCTCTGGACGTCTCTGACGCGTACATCTCCATCATGTCAAGGTTGATGGTGGAGTCCAGCACGACCCAGGCACCTCCACGCAGCTCTCCCTCGGGTGGGATGTACACCATGACTGGCTGGCGGTAGGTCCTCAGGTTGTCGACTATCATCGATCCAAACTTGAGTATCTCGTCAAACATGTCGCGCATTCCACCACTGAATCCTCTCCAGTTGGCCAGGATCATCAGTGGCAGCTCCTCTCCCTTGTTAAAGTCGGCGATGGCCTGCGCGGTCTTGAATGATGAGTCGGGGTACCAGACCTGGGCGGCTTGTGGGATGACAGCCTCCTGTGACAGTGGGTTGGCGGGGTCGGCTGGCACAACCTTCTCGATGGTACGTGTCTCGACAGCGATCACACCGAGTGGGATACCTCCTAGACGTGCACGACCACACACAACGGTCTTGGCCCAGCCGCCCAGCGTCTCGATGAAGGAGTCCTTGTCAAACAAACCGCTGATCCATTGCTTGTTCTTGATGTCTGAGTGGTGTCCTTGGATGAGGTCGCGAATGTCGTACTTGGAGTTGAGTGATGGGTCAAAGGCAATGTCTCTGGTTGGGGAGTCGACCGGCGCCACAATTGGCACCAGCTCGCCCTTGGACTTTGGCACAAAGGCGATCCACTGCAATATCGATCGGATGCCGTGTAGCTCGTCATTGACAGAAATGTGAGACACACCGTTGGGATACATGATCTGTGCACCACCCAGTTGCTGGTTGGACTCGTAGACATCCTTGCCCAGCACCTTGTTGAGCGCGCCGGCACCCGTAAGGATGATGGGCGCGTCGTTCTGAATGGTACGCTGTCCAAGACGCACAAGATAGGCACCGATACCCACCGATCGTCCGGTGGCCAGTGTAATTGTAAAGATGTCCTCGTAGGCGCGTGAAGTCTCTCCGGCAATGAAACCGGACCAGCTGAGGTTCTCCACACCAATTCCACTCTTTTGACCAATGATGTCGCTGATGATCCAGCGTCCCTCTGTGTCCTTCTCGGCCAGCACAGAGTTTGTCTCCTTCAGCTTCTTGTAGTCGGCGTCCTCCAGGTACAGCGCCTTGGCACCCTTGCCCACGTCCTTTGGATTGTTCCAAAGCACCTTGAACTTGGACTTGATCTCGTCGGCCAGACCAATCCTGGCGCCTGAGTTGGCAGACAGGTAGATTCTGGGCAGCTGCTCCTTGCGCGCCAGCTCACTCGCCAGCTGGAACAGCAGGTCCTCTTGTGGACCAAACGAACCGATCTGATGGGTGATGTCGTTGGCGATCACAATCACGTGGCGACCCTGTGGATACTCTGGTGTGTAGAGCAACATCTTCCATGCGACCATACCAATGTCGTTGTAGCCAATGGGGCGGTAGGTCTCCTCGATGGTTGGACGACCATTCTGTGGCAGCTGGTCGTAGGGAACGCGAGGTGGGAAGTCGGTCGAGCTGATGCCCGGTGTGATGATGAGCTCGACAGCGTCGACGACGGGGCGCGAGGGCAGACTGACTCGCTGTGGGTTCTCCTTGTTCTTCTCCATGTACTCGAGCCACAGCGTCTGCAGCGCCTCGGTGAACAGGTCGGGATAGTCGTAGACGTAGCTGGTGTCGAGACGCTGAGCCTTGAAACGGTTGCGCTGCACGGCGTCCATGACGGGGTAGGGAGTGTCGACGGGCAGGCCGTCCCAGATGCCACGCGCACTGCCTGGCACCACGGTGAACACCTGCTGGCCGCCAGAGTTGATCTGCTCGTAATAGCAGTACACCTGGAATGCATAACCAGTTGGGTTTTGAACAAAGAAGCGCACGGGTATCAGGGTGTTCTCCTTGCGCAGATTACCCTTGACCTCGACCTGGCCGACGCGCATCTTCCACATACGCTTGCCAAGACGGTCGCCAATCTGTTGAACAAAGAAACCAATCATGCGCTCGTCAAACATGACCTCGGGAAGGATGTTGAGGAAGATGTTGTGGTTCTGGGCGGTGGAGTACTTCTTGTTGGAGGCAATGGCCATCTCGAGTGCCTCGAGTGACTCGCTCAGAAGAGCCTCGACCTGCGAGATGATAATGTCGATAGTCTTGGCGTTCTCCGTGCTGGTCAGGTCGCCAAAGCGGATGACTGAACGCACAAAGAAGCAGCGGTCGGCGTCGGGATCAGTCTCCTTCTTGTTCTTCTCCTGGCCATAGTAGAGATGCAGACGTTGTGATTGAGTGGGCACGTGCGAGATGTCAAAGTTGCTCAGCTTGCGCACCTCAAGATGGTAGGCCATCGCTGGTTCAATGTGACGGAAGATTGGGTCCTCCATGTAGCCGTGACGCTCACGGAACGTGAAGTACTTGGGCTGCTGGCCGATCTTGCCATTGCAGACAAAGGTCACACGTCGCACACGCAGCTGGTTGAGGTCGCGGTGGTTGGCCTGTAGGATGGCGGACAGTCGCTTTATGGTGGCGCTCTCCTCGACGATCGTCTCTGGGTACACTGATAGCACGACCGAGAGAATGTCAGTCGACTCGCCAAAGGTCTTGGTGCGCATCAGGTTGAAGTCGTCCTCGATGTTGTAGTTCTTCAGGATCACTGGCAGCATCTGTTCGAAGCGCTGCTCGCTCTCAAAGAACACCATCATGCCGTATCGCAGCGCGGTCTGGTCCTCCATCGCCTGGAACGAATCGGTCGAATCAGTGCGCAGGTTGGACAGTCCGTTCATGATTGAGCGGCCTGAGCCCAGAAGGCCAGAGGGACGCGCACCCACAGACATGAGCATGGGGCTGCTGCCTGGCGAGCCAGGTAGTGTGATGTAGAAGTGCCATTCGGCGCAGTCAAAGCCGCGCTTCTCGTTGGCGCCATCCTCGAGGGTGACACGGATGTCCTCGATAAAGTATGATCGGAATGAGTGACGCACGTACGCCTCCATGGAGACGCGACGCACCATGTCGTCGGACGACTGGAAGTTGGGGATGAGCACGTCGAGCAGATCGACAGTCTGACGCGAGATGCTCTGGATCAGCTTGGTGCGCTCCTCGTCGATGTCCTGCGCCAGGATCTCCTTGATCGTGCGGTCGACATCGCTAACACGCTGCTCGTTCGATGGCAGTTGCGAGTTGACTACGATCTCCTTGGACTTGAGCGAGATGTCCATGTTCTTGCCAGACATCTTGGAGATCTGTTGCAGCTGGTCGGTGTACTCGGCGACGGTGTGAGTCTGGTCGATCTTTTTGAGCAATGCCAGCATCAGCTGGTGCTTCTTGGACTGTGGGTGGATGGCCTGCGCAAGCTCCATGATCTTGGGTATGTTGTCCTTGAATGTCTGTCGCAGCAGCTTGAGTGACGCCTGTACAGTGCGGCCTTGCAGCAGCTTCTCCACGTTGAAGAACTCCTCCAACAGTGAGCGGATGACGATTGTGCGCGCGCCACTGATGCCCTGAGCATACTTCTGGACGAGGTCGGCGGCAGGCTTGAACGTGGCCGTCACAGTCTTGGCCAGTGCCTCACTCTCCACAGTCAGCTTGCTAAAGTATTGTGCCAGTTGGTGTGCCAACTGCTCGCTTGTGAATGACTGTGACGCCTCGTGTTGGGAGCGTGCCAGCTCCTCAGCGACAAGTGCAGCCAATGGTTGTGGGATACGACTGTTGATCACGCTCATGCACTCGTTGAACTCGCAGAATGGCAGACGTGGGTCGTTGATCTGTGTGAAGAGGTCCTCGATCAGGTTGGCTACCTGGTTGTTCTCGTAGCCACTGAGCACGGCGCGTACATTGAGCAATGTGTTGTTGAGCAGCTGATGTGGCTGCGAGCCAATGAGCGTAGGTGGCTCCATCCTGGGCATCTTGCCGGCAAACTTGGTCGACTTTTGGATCGAGCTGCAGTCCTCCAGGTCGAGATTGGCAATGATTGCGCCGGCAGCCATCACGCTGCCTTCGGGCAGCACAAACTTGATCTTGCCGCTCTCTGGCGCCACCACTGGCATGTACATCTTCATCACTTCGATCTCGGCGTAGGATGCGCCCTTCTTGACAAAGGCACCGTCGTCCACCAGGTAGCGAACAAGCTTGCCTGGCGACGAGGTACGCAGCACCGACGGGTCGTACTCCTGGCTGAACACACAGGTCTTGCTGTCGATCACAAGGCGCAGGCCGGTCACCTCCTCCTTTCCGTAGCACACGTGTGTGCATCCGTCCAGCATTATGAGAAGGCCGCCATCAGACATGAGCACGATGTTGCTCTCGGCGTAGTTGGTTCGGTCGCTCTGTAGAGAGACCATGAAGCGCGACGCGCTCTTCCTGCTGACCTCGAACGTGTACTTGACGTTGTTGTAGATGAGCTCGATGGGCACTACGTTGGACAGCAGCTCCATGCCTGGCAGCTGGCCCACAGTGATCTGCTGGGCAAACTCTTGAGCGCGGGTGTTATACAGCGAGAACGCCTTGAACAGGGCGCCGCACAGCACGACGAGCATGGCGTCGGGCTTGGGTGTAACGATCTTCTCGGCGATCAACACGTCGAGCCAACCAGTGTGGATGTTGTTATTGCGGAAGGCCTCGGTGCCTAGCAGATGGATGATGTACTCCACGGGTGTGCGAATGTCGCCACGGATCGATATCTCCTTGAGGGCCATGACCATGGCCTTGCGGGCCTCCTCGCGAGTCACACCGTTGGCAAAGATGTGACCAAACTGTGAGTCAGCGTACTCGTGCAGGCCTCCGTGTGCGCCAACACTGAAGTAGCCCCATACGTTGGGGTTGCTACGGAAGGTCAGGTCGATGATCTTGCCCGACGTGGGTTTGAAGCCTTCGTCTGGGTTCTCTCCTGTTATTCTAACGGCGATGCAGTGTCCCTTTGCCGGCAGACGCTGTGTAAAATCCTGTAAATCAATCTTTGAGTCTTCCAAAGGTTGTTGGTTGTAAAGCTTTCTAATGTCTGGTATTCTATATGATCGTAATTGATTGATTGTTAGGATATCTGTCATCACTCGTCCACGCTCATTCAATCATTCAATCAAAGTTGATACCATACCTGTACAATGGGATACCCATGGCGATTTGAACTTGGGTCGCTGGAAGGTTGACGCCAGTGATCTGCTCGGTGACTGGATGTTCCACTTGGAGACGAGGATTGAGTTCCAGGAAGTAGTAGTTGCCATCAAAGAGGTACTCGACTGTGCCTGCACCAACGTATCCAACCTCTTTGACGAGACGCACGGCAGCGCGCTCCATCTCTAGCCACACCTCGGGCGTGGGTGCCAGGGGCGGACCCTCCTCAATGATCTTTTGATGACGACGCTGCACGGAGCAGTCACGTCCATTGAGTGAGATGGCCTCGCCGTACTGATCTCCAATGATCTGTACCTCAAGATGTCTGGCGTTTGGAACGAGCTTCATGTAGAAGATGGGTGAGCCTGGTACCTCGGACTGCACCTGGCGGAAGCTGGCCGGCAGCTCGTCCATGCACATGACCTTTCTGATACCCTTGCCACCACCTCCCTCAGACGCCTTGATCATAGCGGGGAATCCAACCTTCTCGGCGACGATCTTGGCCTCCTCCACGGTGGCGATGGTCGCCTGGCGACAGGCCTCCTCAGTGACACCGGTCTTGGCGTACTCCACGGTGAGGCCGCTGCCACTCCAGGGCACACAGGCGACGCGGGCCGACTGGGCTACGATTGTTGAGGCGATCTTGTCTCCAAGGTCGCGCATGGCGCCGGCGGGCGGTCCAATGAATGCGATCTTGGTCTTGGTCTTGGACAGCAGGTCTGGGAGACGTGGGTTCTCTGAGGCGTGGCCCCAGCCCGCCCACACGGCCTGCACGTCGGCACGCTCCGCCAAATCGATGATCGTGTCGACATTGGCATAGTTGTAGTTGTTGGAGCCACCTGGCACATCGATCACCTGGTCCGCCAGACGGATGTATTCGGCATGTGCCTTCATGTCCTCGGGCGTGGCCATTACAACGAATTTGATTGCGCGTTCGTCGCCCAACGTTGTAAAGGCCCATTTACGCACGGATCTAATGGCCTTGGCTGCAGCCAGACCATTGTTGGCGATCAATATCTTGCGGATCACCTTATTACCTCCACAAAACTTGATATACTCTTCCAAAGAGTCCATTATATATTATGTGTAGTGTCTATGTATGTATGTATTTATATATATTATATATGTAATGTAATGTCCTTTAACTTATCTGTTTGTATCATGTATTAGCATCTTGTACTTTGTACTTTGAACATATCTTTGAACTTAACTGAACTTACAATTGATGAACAAAAGGATATGTGTGTATCTATATCATTGAGTCCTGAATGAAGGCGCTGCTAATGAATGTAGTGAACTGAATGTAATGTGTAAGTCTTATATGATCTCTATCTCTGTCTCTATCTCAAATGGTCATGCTTGGGGATGAATGACTGACTATGCAACAAAGGGTTGTTTGATCGATCGAAGGGGCAAGAAGGTGAAGAGAGAGATCTTGGTTGTGTTGGTCGAGTTGGTGGGGGTTGGATGTTTGAGTGTGTTATGAATCGGTGTGAATATGATGATGTGATTGATTGAATGAGTGAGTGAGTTAGATGTGTCGATGAATGATTATATCAACTGAATGAATTAATGAACAAATGAAATGATTGACCAGTTGATGTGTCTGATTATTGAAGTTACTGACTGACTGCCTGACTGACTATCTGAATCGTTATTGTTGTTGTTGTGGGAATATTATCAACAGACAAACAGACTGAGAACTGACTGACTGACTGACTGTCCAAGTAATGAATGAAGTAGTAATATAGTTTGAATTTGTACAACAACGACACACACACTCACTGACAACAGTTAATGAATCAAATTAAGATTGGCACACTGACACACCTTCGTTTGGGTCCTTTGAAAGCCTCAAACCCCACACCACAACCACACCCACCATAGTTGAGCTCAACGAGTGGTCGTGTGGGGTTAACACACACAAAACACCAAAAACAACAACATGACCAAATCACTCAACAATGATGCACACACACAAACACTCTGTGATTGATTGGTCTCATTCATGATGATGACGACGATGGTGAATACGCATGAAAAATTTATGAAAGACACACAAATGATGCCAATCAAATTCGTTGCATTCATTTCTATCTCTCTTCTCTCTTCTCTCTCTCTCTTTGTCTCTCTCTACATTGGTGTGATGTGATGTGATTGATGGGTCATTCGCCGCATTTAAGTAATATCGTCGATCATCATTGTGTATTGGCTGAATGGCTCACTCTGACTGTTCACCATCGCTCACCTTTGTTGGAGTCATCGTTGGGTGGTGGAATGGCATCGAGGCTGGTGTGTATGTATTGTGGATGGGGCGTATGTTGTGGTGTGATGTGTGATTGTGATCCATTGGGTAATGTCATGAATGTTTACCTTTTGCTTCTTCTTCTTCTTCTGAATCAATACAATCTGTGTTGCTAATACTGTTGTTGTTGTTGATGTTGTGTCTGTTTACTTCTTTCGTTTGATTGAATGAATGAATGAATGAACCTGGAATGACTGAATGAATGACTGAATGACTGACCTATACCATGCAAGGTATTAACATGATAAGTTCATTTAGAAGTTGCTACACAGCAGGCAATTCAATCCACTTGCATTAGAGTGTATTTGTGAGAGAGGTACTATGCAAGGAGAGGTAATGGGGACCTCTTAAATACCTGACTACCCCCAGCGAAGGTGATAATCACGCACGACACGACGTCGTTTTGAGTTTCTCAGAGTCTCTTTTTTTTTCCGAACCAAAGTCCCAATGGGACTGGAGCCTTGGAACCAGCAGTTCCCAATCACACTCACACACACATCACACATCAAACTATGAGGCAGACGACCATCGTCAAGGTTTAGGTGATTGGTCAATCACACACATAATGTCTGTCGTCTGGTATCCATGAGGCACAACAACAAGCAACATCAAACAACCTGGAAACATCTAGAGAACTGTCTTTGTTTGTTTACAACTATTTGAATGAATGTGTGAATGAATGAATGGATTGATGAATGATCAATGTCGTGATTGAGTCAATGGATGGGATTCTTGTGGGACTTGGCAACTCAACAGTCCATCACATGTGATGTTGGATGTAATTTGACAAATTGCTCATCACTGATCAGAGCTCTCTTCTTCTTTATAATTATTCTTGTTTGTGTATCTATGATGGATGATGATGATGATGATGATGGTGATGATGATGTGGCGATCGTTATCTGTTATATAAATATTGTCGGTGATTGTCGTGTTGTCATTATTGTTATCTTTTGTTATCGCTGCATCGCTGCTTGCTTGCTTGATTGGTTGTTATTCCTAAAATACAATGTTGTTTGGCATAGTAATAATAAATAACTCTTGTTTGTCATGTTCCCAATGTCCATGTCAATGTCAATGTCCAAGATCCCGGTCAAATCAATCCTTTAGGAAGTTGATGGGAGTTGGTCCACGTTGCATCAATGGTATGATTTTGGGTGGTGCCACACTGGCCTGATTGTTGATGGCAATGTATGTCTTGAACTCGCTAAGTGATGGTGCCACATAGTTTGTAAGACGTGGATCATGGAACTTGAGCTCTGGTGCCCTGAACTGATCAGACACATTCTTGATGTACAATTCAAATCTTCTTAAACAACTCCCTGATTGTGTGTGTTAGTTAATTGATTGGATGGATGGATTGATGGATGGATGGTACTTACAGATCGATCTTTTTCAGGTCGTTCAACAACTCCTTGTCACTGGTATACTCTCCAATTGGTGTGATATTGAACTCCTTCTCTTCCTCCAATGACACCATAGTATTGTTGTTGTTGGTGTTGGTAACTGTGATGTTTGTGGAAGTGGATGTTGGTGGTGATGAAGTGGTAGTGGAGGTGGAAGTGGAAGTGGAAGTAGATGGAGAGGATGGGGAGGATGGGGAGGATGTTGTTGAGGTCTCTTCGAGTAGCTCATCGATTGTAGAGTCATCAAGACATTCGGATTGATCATCGGGTATGGAGGTGGTTGGTGGACTGCTGGCCGCCATTCTTGGTGGGACGGGAGGTGGCTTCTTCTTGGCGGGGATGGGTGGTAGTGGCGTAGTAGGTATTTGTCTTGGTTTGGATACAGAGATGGATGATGTCGATGATGTCAATCTGGATGAACTGCTATACGTGTTGCCATTGGCGTTTCCTGAACCTGTACTAGCATTGCCACTATCCTTCTCCGTTGGATATTTTGCAGGCGACAGACTCTTGGTCGTTGTGATCGAGTTGCTATGCGTCAACTTGCTATACTCTGACAGGGAGAATCCACTTTGACTTAACAAGTATCTATTGATTCTGACCATCTTAGAATAGATTGTGATAGATTGAATGATTGAGTTAGTGAGTGTGATTGAGTGAGTGAGTTAGTGATCCACACATACTCTATACAGGAGTAGATGATGGTAGGCATTGCGGACGGGTTGATCCCAGTGCAGGAACAGTGTGTAGAAGTATTTGTGTAGGAGAAGGTCGCAGTAGAGCGCCATTCTGTTTGGACCTTGAAATGAATCAGAGGTGTTGTAGATGAGGTTGAGTGCGCGGATGACCACCTGATGATGATCGGCCGCAATGATGTTGTCAATGCCTTCGCAAAAGAAGTGGATGTCAAATGTGTCGGGCAGGCGGCCAAACTCCTTGAACCACAGCTCGACGATGCCCAGCGTCGACGAGATGCCCGCCAGATCAAAGACGCACGTCTTTAAGAAGATGATCTTTATCAGGCCGTCCAGGATCTGCGAGTCGTTCCTCGTGGCGCCAATCAGTGCGTAGTGTGCTTCGATCGATGGTGTTGGTCGCACTGGTGGTATAGGTTGATCGCGTGTCTTTATCTCGTGCATCAAAGCGTAGGCCAGTGTAAAGAATCCTGGTATCGTCTTCATGTCCACATTCTCTCCCATTACACTCTTGCACACTGTTATCCACTCCTTGAAGAATATGAAGAATATAGTCTCCTTGCGAGCAACATTGTCCACCCATCTATACATGAGAGGTTAGTGACAGTTGATTGATTGATTGAGTGTGTGAACATACCCTTGTGGGATACCATCCAACTCCTTCTCGCTGGCTGGATCACTTTGCATTAGAAGTGCATGGAATGGTAGCTTATCAGGTCGATCACCAACAATGTTTAGATGTTGCACTATGATGGTCATGTGTCAGTTAGTCATGTGATTGAGTGATTGATTGAGTCAATCATGTGATTGAATGGACTTACAATGTGGAGGACATGGATAATATGTGATTATATCTGTTATCTCTGTCTCCGGAGGTACCAATGCATCGATCAACTGCTTGGCAACTCTTGGTATCCTGTAGAATGCTATCACAATGAACTGAGGCGGATGGAAGATGTCAGTCAACACGTCATGTGATTAAAGCCACACTCAATCAATCAAACATACCTTTGCACAGAACTGTGATAGGATCATACTGAGGTAGGGCGTAGTGGAGACTAGGTTGGCAATGAAGGAGAAGGTCTTGTAGAGTTTGACACGATACTTGGAGAGTATGTCATTGTTCCATGGCTTGTATGTTTGTGGGTCGTAGGTTGATGTGGCCGAGTCATATTCTCGACGACGGGCAATCATCAACATTGTCTTGTACATTGGTGTGAAGTCCTTCTCCAGCGTGTAGTTCTTCTCGATGAATGCCTGCAGAGCGGCCCACAGCGCGAGCATTGTGTCGCGACAAGTGACCGCCACGACCTTGGTCGACTTTTGGCTCGATCCGCCGCCGCCGCCATTCTCCTTGTCGCGCTCCCTGATCATGTTGAACGTGCTGATCAGTCCATTGGTGCTGTTATCCGGCGTCTTGCCGATGGGAGGGGATGTGTTGCCAGGTGAGAGGGTGAGCGGCGTGCCGTCCGAGGCGGTCGACGGCGAGCTGCGTGGAGACGAGGGCGAGTATGAGTGTGCAGAGCCGGGCGAGGACAGGTCGTCGCCAGACGGGCTGACCGGATCGAGATTGTTCTTGCTGCTGGGCTTGTAGACGGTGATGTCGAGCAGCGCCACGACCTCGACCAGCATGGCATTGACCTTGTTCAGTGCATTGATCGACTTGTCGCGCTTCTTCTCATCGCAAGATCCAATGGCATCCAGTTGAGGCAGCATTGTAATCACTCCATTTGCCTTCTTCTCCATCTGAACGCACCAATTCTTATACTTTAACTTTGGTCTATTGATTGATTGTGGTGTACCTGGTGCATTATTATTGTTTGATGATGGTGATGATGTAACTGATGATTGATTTCCATTCTGATTTAAACGTTGCTGTTGCTGTTGGTGCTGTTGCTGTGATTGTTGATGTTGTTGTTGTTGTGATTGTTGTTGTTGTGTATATGATTGTTCATTCTGATTTGAATGATCAATGAGTTTATTAAAGAACAAGTTTACCTTGTTCGTTAACTCATTCATTGTATATATATATATATGTATCTTTCAAGACTCCTTGATTGATTGATGTGATTGATTGATTGGTTGTTTGTTTGTTTGTTTGTATGTTTGTGTTTGATTGAGATGATGAATGATGATGTTCTAAGTGACAGTCACATGTGACTTATGTTATCATAGATATATTAGATGTAAATAGTGAATAAGTCTGAAGAAGTAAGTAAGGGGACAGAAAGACAGACAGACAGGTCATCAGCACTAACTCTCTGTCACACTGATTAACACACATTCACTTTAATCATCTCCATCCAGGCTTTGCACCACACTCAAAACTGCACCTTTCAACCAAAATATCAATCGATGGATGGATGTAGAACTGGACGAAATTTCAATGTCGTTCTATTTACTTGATCATCAATGAAAATAAATTTAAAATATCATTTATTATTGTATACACCAAATAATTAAGAACACAAGTAGATGGATAAATCTTAATAATAAGATATTAATAAATACACCATTGTATAATTAAATTTAAAAATAAATAAATATAAAGTTGACTGAGACGACTTGATGTTTGAAGGCGCGCCACTCCTACATTGTTTTTGTTTTTTTTTTTCAAAACACACACATAACACGCACGTACTCTCTTTCTCTCTTTATCTCTCTCTTTCTCTTTCCTCACTCACTCACTCATTCATTCACTCAACTCATTCACTATCTATCTATCTAGCAAAGTGTAGAGTTAGAGCAGGGTCGTCATCAATATATATTATTATTTATTATTATATATATATATATATTTATAGAGACTCAAATATCAATTGTATCACATCAATCAATCAATCAATCATCTCTTTTTTGAAGAAAAAAGAGAAAGAAGAAGAAGGAAGTAGTAGAACTTGGAGTTGATATAAATATATAATATTATAGGTTCAAAAATACATGGACAAGAAATATAATAATATGGCCAATCATAGAGAGTCATCGTCAGAGGAGGACGAATCACCACAGGAGGACGAGATCGCTTGGATACCCTGGTACTGCAACCTCAAGGGCAACGAATTCTTTGCAACCATCGAGGAGGATTACATACAGGACGACTTTAATCTGACAGGACTCAGCTCGATCGTACCGCACTACGAGAATGCGCTGGGCATCATCCTCGACTCGGACCCCGAGGACCAGCTGAGCGAGGACCAGCAGGAGAGCATCGAGCGCTCGGCCGACATCCTCTACGGACTGATTCACGCGCGATACATCCTCACGTCAAAGGGTCTGGCACACATGAACGAGAAGTTCAAGCGAGCAGAGTTTGGTCGCTGTCCTCGCGTGTTTTGTCAGAACCAGCCGGTGCTCCCCGTTGGTCTGTCCGACATGCAAGGCGTAGACACTGTTAAGGTCTACTGTCCACGCTGTAACGATATATTCAATCCAAAATATAGAAGACACTCTCGTATGTACATCCGTCATCATTCATTCAATCATCCAGGCCTTATTCACTGACTCATTCATTCATTCGATCGATCAATCAATCAACTAATCAATCAACCAATCAATGTAGACATCGACGGTGCTTACTTTGGCACTACTTTCCCTCACCTGTTACTGATCACCTATCCAGAGTTGGCGCCACCAAAGCCACACCAGACATACGTACCAAAGATATACGGATTCAAGATACACAAGACTGCCAGAGAGCGCACACTCCAACATCAACAAAAAGTTAGAGGATACAACAATAAATAAATCAATATAATACTCGGCCAGTCAAGTCAAGTCAGTCAAGTCAGTCTCTTTTACCATTGTGACCATTGGAGTAGGTCGTCAACTGATGCGTTAGGTTCCAGAAACTTGTTGGAAACTAAAGTTTGGGTGTACGCGTGATTGATTGATTGAGTGGACTAGTGCATGATCACATGATCAATCAACCAAAATATATATAGATGATGGATACATTACCAATAGTTGTATTACAAGTTATAGTATATCATTCAGATCCATTGGATAGGGTGTGCTTGTTGTTGACATGCCAGAGATTCAAGACAACGTTGTTGTCTAGGAAGTTGAATGAATGGTCATCGGCGGATGACAGTAAGATATACCTGTCTGGTGAGTCTACTGATCGTAGATCACTGTTTGCCAGAGGTGACGATATGGACTTTGGTCTCGAGACCCTACCGCCATCCATCACCAGTCTAACTTCGGTCTTTCACCGTGATCAGATCGATGACTATGAACAGATGGCGATTGACGATGTTCTACCACCATCACTCACCTACCTATCGTTCAGTAACAAGTTCGACCGAACCATTCCACCTGGCCTGCTCCCATCATCAATCACATCACTCTCCTTTGGCAGCCAATACAATCGTGTGATCAATGTTGGGGTGTTGCCAGCGTCGCTCAAAGTGCTCTCATTTGGAAGTTGGTTCAATCGCCCAATCATACCCGGGTCGCTACCAGACTCGTTGACAGTGCTCTCCTTGCAAGGCTTTAGGTACAACAAGCCATTTGACAGTCCTGGAATCATCCCTCGCTCACTGATCACACTCAAACTTGGTTCAAGTTTCAATCATAGTCTGTTTGGGATACTTCCATCGACACTCAGGACATTGGGACTGGGCTACAGCTTTGATCAAGAGCTCAGTTGTGATTGGCTGCCAGACTCTTTGACCGAGTTGTGTTGGGACCCCAACGCCCACCTGCCCTCATTCTCTAATCAACTTCCAACCTCAATCAAGTCGCTAAAGTTTGGAGCAATGTATAATAGAGTGTTGATACCTGGATCCTTGCCACGCGCATTGGAATCTCTCCACTTTGAGCGAGACTACAATCAAGTGATCAGTACAGGTCTCCTGCCCTCGACCCTCACCTCACTCCACTTTGGAATGGATTTCAATCAGGTGATCACTGAGGGCATGTTACCAGAATCATTGATCGACATCCAGTTTGGATATGACTTTGATCAAGTGATCAATCATAACACATTGCCATCGACCAATCTACAATCATTATCATTTGGAAAGGGATACAAGAAGCCAATCTCACCATACACGCTTCCTGTATCACTCACATCACTCGCTCTGCACAATCCAAAGTATCAAGAGGACATTGGACCCAACGTGCTTCCACGATCATTGGTCAAGTTGGACGTTGGATCAGTGATGATCAAGAATATATCATTTCCACCAGCATTGAGGATATTGAATCTGAGTCGTGGATGGGACAAGTCACTGATGACTCCAATCCCATCATCAGTGGACACGATGTGGATTGTGGGCGGGATGGACAATCAAGACATACCATATCTTCCATCACTTTGTCTAAATGTACTTCGAGTACATCTAGTGTCATCAAACAGTCGTAGTGGATCACTTAGAACAAAGATCTTACTCGATCTAATTCCAAATGTTCAAACATACATCATAACATTCAGTTATGATTGGACCATCCAAGAAATGATCATTCGTCGCATCAGTCCCAAATCAGCAATAACTCTAACTACATACGAGGAATTACCATCAGAGCATATACTAAATATACTATCACTATGACAGTGAATAAATCGATTTGATTGATTGATTGTGGTCAGCGGACCAGTTTTTGTGTGTGATCGAAAAACGCGAAACGTGTGGGCGATCTTTGTGTACGATCAGCTTTGTTTCGAAACAAAGGGGGACGCTGTTTGGCCCCTTCAAAGTGGAGGCCTCAATCTTAGGTCAATCATATCCAATGTACAGTCGTACTCCCTGTGGTACACAATCATTCATTCAATCAATCAATCAATCACACTCATACATCACTCATACTCATACTCATACTCATACTCAATCATATATATATAATATAATATGACAACAAATTATAGACAATCAACAGTTATAAGCCCATTGCCTGATCCAAAGGTAGAGGGATTGTCAATGTATACAGATATAATGTGTGCACCATTCGTTGCACCATATTGTATACCACTACATCTATCAGAGCCATTCAACGTCGATGTTGAATACGGTCGTATATCAACTACATTACAAGAATTAGAGTTACTCAATGCCAAACATCAATTGATTGAGAAGGGTATGTCTGTCCATCGATCATTCAATCGATCAATCACATTCACACTCACACTCACTCACACTCAATCAATCAATTAGTCAAAGTGATGCAAATAGTATCAGTGGACATGCCTGCTTTGGCAACGAATGGATCGCCACATGGATCACCTCACTCACCTAGATTTATGAATAAGACACCGATGGCCTCGATGGCCGCGACAGAGGACTCACACTCACCGGTGATGGCCTCACCCCCACCATCAACAAAGTCAAAGGCCAGCAGTTTGTTGGGTATCGATCAGGACTCACCAACGTCCACTCCTATAAAGTCATCAAAGGCCAGTATGTTATTGGGTCTGGACGAGGGCGGAAGTTCGCCATCATCATCACCCAAGGACAAGAAGCAGTTGTTGTCGCCAGCGCCAGCAAACTCGCCAAAGTTTGGTCTGTTGGCGAGATCAGCCAGCAACAATCTACTGAGGGACAAAGAGACCAGTGGCGGTGGCGGTGCTGGCAGCGGCGGCAGCGGGTCATTCCTGGGGGCGTCGAGCCAGTCGCCTCTAGCGCAGTCGATCGCCATAAATAGTTCGACTGGCACACTGGGCATGTCACCGCGCGAGGACACACCAGGGTTCAACCTGTCGGGCATCTCGCCATTGCACTACCAACACATCTTTACCGTATCCACCAAGACACAGAACTATTCATTCAATGCCCGAGACCGCGATGAGAGCAGCCAGTTTGTCGACGCCATCAAGCTGATATCCCTGGGCAAGGCCTTCCATCCCGAGTCACAGACCACTCTCGACTACCTAACCGAGGCACTCGAACTGACGCTCAAGTGTCGTGCCCCTCCCGTGCCATCACTGCCCGCCTCGCCTCCACCCCCACCTCCCCATCTCAAGGCCTGAGCGAAGACCGACCAAGACTATGTTTGAATGATCGATCAATCAATTCAACATCACTCGATTAAATGTCCCTAAATGTAGTATTATTGTACACTGATCAAACATTGCTGTTGTGTTCATGACTTGTTCCATTCGATCGTCATCAATCAGTTCTTCGTTTGCTTTGATTGCCCTGCATGAGTGTTCTCTTATCTTCTTTGGGGCTTGGCAGTGTTGGCATCCTCAAGTCTGTCATTGATGCTCTTTGACATGTTGTTGAGATAATAGATGATACCAATTGAGAAGAGGATGCTTGTAGTTCCTGACACTCTGTGCACAGATGTGCTGACCAAATATGTAATGAACAGACCAATCAATGTCTCTACCCACTTGATCTCCTTCTTAAGGTTACCAATGAACTATTATTGATTGATTGATTGATTGATGGTTAGAATGAGCGATTGATCATGTGATGTGTTCGTGATGATGACACATACAGTGATGAAGAAGAAGAATAGGAATGAACCTAGGAATCCACCGAGGATGGTGTATGGTGGAGATGACCTGAAGAATGCAGCATTGAGTTGGAGTGCTCCAAACACAATGATCCATGACAGTGCAGCCAACACAAGTGAGCTAGATGTTGATGGTTGTTCTAAAATTGATTGATTGATCACGTATTAGATATGATTTGATGATTGATTGATGTGATGGTTGTTGTTATGAGCTGTTCATACCAAATATCTTTGCCATTGTTATATCTTGTTATATATGTAAATATTATCTTGTTAAGTTCAACAACAACGCCTGTTCATTAATTCATTCATTTGATTGATGATCCTGATTGCAGGTTCACACGTGGGTCATGAGGCACACTTTGAAAAAAGCTTTGACTTTGAAGAACTTCATGGATTCAAGTGATGTCATTCATTCATCACCTTCACTCCATTTGCTCAGTCAATCAATCAATCAAACAAATACATAATATAATATACAATGTCACAATCTACATCATTGATGGTTGATAAGAGTGATGGTACACCATCATCACCAAAGCCTTCATCTTCATCATCATTGACAAACAATAATAGCAATAACAATAATCAGAGTTCAACATCATCAAATCAATCACCATTAGCAAGTTCAGAGTCAGGAGGCAGTCACTGGAGAACATCAAGTAGTAACGTTCATAATAGACCACCTCCTCCATTACCACCATACTATGGTGGAGGTGGCAGCAACAGCAGTAACAACAATAACAATGGCTACAATGGAACTGGCATTGGCAATAGTAACAACAACAATAACAATAACAACAGTGGAGTATATGGATACTTGAGCGATAAAGATGACATGAATACACAGAGCCTACCACTCAAGAACAGATTGATGCGATCACTCAACTTTTATGTACTACGACCTTTCCTGATCGGTGTCTCTGGTTCCTTTGGATTAAGTGTTGGTATGTAGACACGCATGTGACATGTACGGACGTATCCACATGTCTCATGTCACATATCATTCATCATATCATTCAATCAATCAATCATCCAAACACACACTCACAACCCAGGGTCGCCCGCCAACCGACCGACCGACTTCCACCATCATCCTCATTTGATTGAAAGTAGTATACTACACTTGTTATTACTCTATACCCATTGTCAACAACATCCACTCCACATTATAATACGCGGGTACCATCCACCCATCATTCAATCAATCAATTATTCGTCACATGTCCAATCAATCAATCCACATTCGATCTCGATCCAGACAGGCCAACTCTTAAAGCTTGGACGACGAACCAATCTACCATCACCCACATCACTCATTCATTCATTCATTCATTCATTCATTCATTTCATTCATTCATTCAGCTAACTGATTGCATTGACAACAACACCTGCCATTCCAATGTCCTACCAATGTCAACTTCCAATCACACACCTTATAACTACCATCACACTCACTTCACTTCACTCTCTTTCATACCCACTGCTAACACAAACGACATGGCGCCACTCATTAACTCACTCACTTTATCAATCCAATCACTTTAGGGTATCTCCTGTTCGACATTGCATGCAATAAGCTGAGCAAACTAAAGTAGTACTATGCCACTGATTGTACATTTACACATACATACACACACGACATTATTCTAAACACAACCCTAGTGCAGCGATCGCTGTTGTTGTAATCATGCACATTTATAAACTTAAATGTCTTATAGTGGTCTGACCATGTGATGGTGTGTGTAAGTGTAAGTGTGGGAGTGTGTGATTGTATATCTTGATCAGAGATATACATCACACCTACCACCACTCACACAACATACACATTCGGGTGTGTCCAACCAATCACACATTCACTTTCCAACTAAAGTAATCCGCAAATCTTGTTGGGTGAGCATGGTTGATCATGGATCGACAGAAGGTCGGTGCGCTTCTTCATCACGTGATGATAATCAACATCATCATCATTACTCACTAAATCACTCAATCAATCACACATGTATGAATGAATGTATGAATATGGATAGATGTATGAATGAATACTTTGGTGGGTGACATGTGGAAACAATGACGCCCGAGACAACAACAACAACTAAACCCTGATGATCACCAACAGCCATCCAGCCATCCAGCAATCCATCAATCCAGGAGCATCAATAACCAACAGCCTGTATTATAACACCACGTTGTTGGTCCGTTAATATTATTATTATTATTATTCCATTTATCAATTGCTTGCTTGTTGTTTGTTTGTTTGTTTGTTATTGGGAAGACAAGATAGAGACATAAGATAGACATTAGAGAGATAGATAGAGAGAGTATAGAGTTGGGTTAGTGATTGGACCATCCATAATCAATCATCATCATCATCATCAATCATTCATTCATTAGTTAGTGTGTTACTGCCTATCAACAACCATAATCAATCAATCACATCCATCTCCACAATCAATCTCATTCATCTACAACCAATCTTAAATCAAATACAAAAGTATGAGATATTTATTATCACTTATAGCTTTGATCCTGGTTTATGAAGCACTGACAATCAGTGGACAAGGTATGTTCATCACCCATCCAAACAATATTATTAATTCCCAAGATCATCCACTAACTCAATCACTCACTCCAATCACTCAATCACTCAACCACTCAATCACTCGGTCACTCAATCACTGGAATAATTCCAAACACACTCCAATAACTCACTCAATCAATTTCTGGAATACTTCCAAACTCACTCCAATCACTCGATCAATCACTGGAATAATTCCAACCATCAATCACATTCTTTAATCAAACAATCACAGCACAATTGACACTGCCATGTATTATAAGAGACTTGACACCACAGAAGAACCCGGACTTTGAAGTGGACAATCCTAATATTGTAATTCCAAGCTTGGTAAAGAGATTGCTAGGCAACAATAGGAAACCGGTATATTGTTGCGACGATCAACTGTCGGCCTATGGTGTGATCCACAATCAAACGACGTTTGGCTCATGGTTCAACAATGTGCAGAACGTCAACATACCAATCCAGATGAAGCTCAACCTCACCCAGAACCTGACCGACCCCAACATCTACAACTTCCGCGATGACCACTTCTTCCCGATCAACGGCCTGGGCTGGGACGCGCCAGGCGCTGACCCCAACCACGTCTTTTACAAGGACGCCGACGGGGCCGTCCAGAACTTCCATTTCTGTCTCGAGCTTCACGCCCGTTTCACCTACAAGGGTGGCGAGATATTCAGATTCATTGGCGACGACGATGTATGGTTGTACATTGACGGCAACTTGGTGCTGGACCTTGGTGGCCCTCATCTTCCGGCCGAAGGCCTCGTGTCCCTGGACAATATCACTGGACTGACCGTGGGCCAGGACCACTCATTCGACTTCTTTTACTGCGAGCGACACACCACCCAATCACACATGATGATCTCGACCTCGATGGAACTCAAGTGTGGCTACACCGACTACTGTGGCATTTGCGAGGGCAATGGATCGTACTGCTGCAATGACTACATTTGTAATGACAACAACCCGTGCACGATCGACATGTGTCCGCCACCCAACACGCCACTCCCACCCGGCGCCACCGAGTTCCAAAAGAGCATGTGTATCCACAAGCCCAAGGAGTGTGCTGGCGGCTCAGCCTGTGTCGAGTCCATCTGTAACATATACTCGCCCACGGGTGAGTGTTTCCAGGAGCCCAAGGTGTGCATCAAGCCATGTATGCAGGGCCAGTGTACGGAGGGTGCAGGTGGGTGCACTTTCATCGACCTGTGTCCAAACTCAACGTGTAAGACCAAGATTGGCTGCTCCATCTCTAATAACAGCTGTATCTATGAGGCGCGCGACTGTGACGACGCCAACGCCTGTACTCAAGACCTGTGTGATGATAGTGTCGGCTGTCGCCACATTCAGAAGCGCTGCGTGGACGGCGATCCGTGCACCAACGACCTGTGTGACGTCAAGACTGGCGACTGCGTTTTTGAGCCAATCCCACTGTGCAAGCCTTGTGGCAACTCATCGAGTTGCGTAGCCAAAGACCTATGTACCAAAGTGGAATGCGATCCAAACAATGCCGACAAGTGTATCGAGTCCAAGTTGTGTGACGACCACAACTCGTGTACGGAGGACTCGTGTGACGCCAACGGCAACTGCACATTCATCCCGAAATGCTCGTCCACCGATCCTTGTTTCTCGACCACGTGCAATGAGACTGTTGGCGAGTGTGTGACCATCGCGCTCATGTCCTGTGACGACCAGAACCCGTGCACGGCCGATACCTGCTCCAAGGGCGTCTGCGCCAATACTCCAATCGACTGTGACGACAACAATCCATGTACTGTTGACAAGTGTGATGCGGCCCGCGGTGGATGCCAACACGTCGAGATCGTCTGTGAAGACAAGGACGCATGTAATCTTGGCAAGTGTAATGTACAGACTGGCACTTGTGAGACACAACCACTCAACTGCACCACGCCCAACTTCTGTATCACTGCCGTCTGTGATGTTGGCGCCGGAGGATGTATCCAATACAACAAGACCTGTGTGCCCGACAACCCCAGCTGCCAGAAGTCCGTCTGTAACTTTGACAAACAAGAGTGCCAGTCCAGTGACTACGATCCACTGCCGTTCAAGTGTCGTAAGTATCACATTCACTCACTCATTCCATCACGTATGGAATCATTCCACTCCCACTCAATCTTACTAACATTGATCAATCAATCAATCAATCAAACAAATAGAACCTGCGGCAGTCAAGGCTGGAGTGGCAGTTGGCGCAGCGGCAATTGCAGGAATAGTGATTGGATGTATAGCAGCACTTGCATTGGCAGCATTTGGTGGAGTTAAGGGATATGATGCATGGAAACAGAGTCAACAGAATAAGATGTCAGTGTCATCTGACAATCCACTCTATCAACCCAATCCCAATCAAGGAACCAATCCACTCTATACTGGTGGAGGACCAAATTAATATAATAATAGTAATAATATATATATATCATATCCTTTGGACAATTTCGACATAATAAACGAACAAATACTAAATATTATCTTTAAAGGTTCACATTATCATTGAATTCTGGATTGACAATGTAACCTAAAGGTGGGTTTTGTTGTGTCAGAGAAAGAATGAGTATTTGATCCTTTGGAGTGCTGGGTATTCTCCTTTGTTTGGAATGGAGTCAGATACGTTGGGTCTGGATCCGCAATGTAGGTAATGAATATGTTCATTTGGCGTTGCCGGGTTTTCAAGTAGATGGCCATACGAGAAGTACAAGTGGTCGATAGAGTTGCCATTGGACAACGCTGAGACAATGACATCTTTGATCGTCCAAGGATCCACAATGGCCAATGTGTGCAAGGTCTGTGTGGACGATAGCAGGTCGGCAAACTGGTTCCAATTTATGGAACCATCGATTGAGTTCTCGAGCAGGAGAGTACGGATTGACGACTTATTTCCCTGCTCCAACATCCGACTAAAGAAGCGTGAATCTACCAATGGGAGCTGGTACAGGTGTAAATAGGATAGACTCGCATTGTCCAATGCCATGACAAACATTGATTGAAACTTGTTAAAGTCGTGAGGCAGCACGATGTCTTGTGTATAATAGTCTTTTTGACTCCGCAAAGTCAACTTCTTAAGTCGAGGTGAGGTCATAATGGCCATACACAGAGCTTCATATTCGAGTTGACGATCAGGTCTTTCAATGTTGGTCTCGCCATCAATTCCAGAATGGCTTGTGCTCTGACCAAAGTCCAACATGGCAACTATCGATTTGATATTGGTACTTTGTCTAACGATGTTGGTTAGTGTCGGTGGGTCGACAGAGTGCTTACCCAGGTCGATTGCCTCGAGACTATTGCCAATACTAATAATGTCAGCATGCAGACTGGGGTAGTGAAAGGGTGTGAACTCTTGATACATCTGGCAGTAATCATAGTCCATTAGTGTGATTGAGAGCTTCTGTGCTGAATTGAATGCTCATGATGAGCATGATGAGCATAGGCTGGAATGTATGGACAACAACTCGGAAGAACGAGGTGTGCACTGTGATAAAGATATGAGGTGGTGGGGGATATGCTGTCTCCACGTTGTTGTAGAAACAGCCTTTGTTGTTGGACTAGCTGTTGGGGAGTTTGTTTCCTACACTCACCCAGAAACTCGACCTGATCATTCCAGTCAAAGAAGGTAGTGAGTGTTGCCACTGCCTCGAGATTCAATGTCTTGAACTGTATAACGTACTTGCTAACACTGTCGATGCAAGAGTAGTTGGTGTAGACATCCAGCCTCTCAACTGATGGGAAGAAACTGATGATACGGTCTATATCATCGTGATACTTCTTCAGAACCAAGCTGATACGTCTAGTTGAGGTAGGCTGGAGCAGGCTATATCTCCCCGGTGCGACCCTGCCATCGGTCGATAACACTGATGATGGTATGACGAACGACTCCGGTGCACTACCAAAGTAGACCATCGAGTGAAAGATTTGCGGTCGTTTGAAAGGTGTGAGAGGGACATGTAGCAGATATCGTTCGACACTGTGATGGCGATGTGATTGCTAAAGAAGCGCGACACCAGACGGAGCCAGCGCCATGACACCAGAGATAGGCGGAGCATTGCATTGAACAATGTATGATAAGAAGCCAGGACGGAGCACATTAGTTCCCCGACATAAACAGTCCTCTCGACATTATAGTTTGCACTTTCAAACCTGACCAAGTTGTTCGAGAAGTATGGATGCAGAAGTCTCTCGATGATGATCGCATGTATATATATATCTGTCATGGTTTGGTGGAATTCATATGATAGATTCTGTATATGTTCAATACAATCAGATTGCTGTTGGAGAGGTGTATTGGGGTAATGCCAGGGAATGATTGGCTGTTGCTATGTTGTCTGTTGCTGTTTCTGAGCATACTTATAATATCGAAGTTGGAATTTAACTTTGTAAAATTTGGTACGAATTTCCAAAGCATCGAATCATTCGTCACTTTCATTGTCATAATCAATCAATCAACCAATCATACTTATAAAGATATAGTATAGTATAGTATAATATAAGATGTCATACTACTATGTATTACTCGGCTTCTTGTCTGGTATAATATTCTCTACAGTATCAATATTATATGTTATGTTTAGATTGTTGTCTAAACGAGTCGATCCTGCAAAGGTACAAAAGAAGAGACAACAACAACAACAACAAAAGATGCAACAACAACAGCAGCAACAATTACAGCATTCGATGGGACAGAAGAAGAAGAACTCATTGTTGTTTGCATCGTCTGCGCCCACCCTTGAGCCACTCGACTTCTCCATTGGCAAGGACACTCCACCCACCTCCATCGAGACATGCAAGTGGATCAACTTCATCACCAAGCGACTGCTCCAAGAGGTCAACCACTCACAGCGCTTCACTCACTCACTTTACACCTTCCTCAACAACCTTGCCGAGGATGAGTCAAAGCCTGACTTTATTGTAAGTCATTCGTTCATTCATATGATTGATTGATCGTGACTCTCTAACGCACGCATTATAGGGAAACTTATCATTCTCGGATGTAAATATCGGATCGACAACACCAGAGATTGGTACAGTCAAGTTGATATCACCAGTCAATGCATCAGTCAATGTGTTTGAGTTTGACCTCATCTACTCTGGCGACGCATCAGTAACAGCATCATCTGAACTCTGGCTCAATTGGCCACAGAAGCACATGGCCTGTCTACCAGTCAAGACCAAGATATCAATCAAACAGTTCACAGGCAATGTATGTTGTCACTCAATCATTCGATCAATCAATCATACTCACTCATTCAATCATTTAGTTCGTTCTATACATCCCTAATCATACCAATCCACAATGCTCAGTGTACTTGAAGGAATCACCAACACTTACATTGAGAATGGTTACAAAGATGGGTCACGAGACAGTGTTGAAGGAGCCTGGCAAGTTGGGACAATTCCTGCAGAATCTGATCGTCAAGACGTTGAACCAGAAGTTGGTCACACCAAACAGGATACAATTCCCATTGTTCTCATTCCTGCATCCAGCCGTATCAAACTCCACTCTGTATCAATCGCCAAACATGTCTCATCAGCAACAGCAACAGCAACAACATCAGATAACAGGTGGTGGATCATCATCACCTTTAATGCCATTGTTATCATCGAGTTCGCCAACATTGCAAAGTAGTCAACATAAGCAACAACAACAGGGTAAACCTATCAAGAGAAGAACAACAACAAAGCAACAGCAACAACAACAGCAACATCAACAACAATCATTATCATCACATTCATCATTGTCATCAAGTCCCTTGACATCCCCATCCCTCTCCTCACAACCTTCCACACTATCATCACCATCGACAACACTCAGCAGCAGCAACAGTATTTCAGAGTCATTGAACAGTCATTGATTCAATAATAATAAATGACGACGACGTCAATCATTTACGAATGAATTGTCATTGGTACAATATCTTGGGGTTAAATATTGCAATACAAATATTATCTAAGATACCCTGTCTATCTACATGTACATAACACCTATTCATTAACAATGACAACTACCATCATAGGTCCCCTAGATACTACTGATAGTGAGTTCTTGGAGATTCTACAGAACTATCAAGGACCAAAGAAACTAGAGCTAATCGGAAACATTGTTAAAGGAAGAAAGACATCGGTTTATCAAGCATTTGTAATCTCTGAGTTAACTCATGCGATTCAAACTTGGAACAAAACTATCCCATTGGCCAATAGAGGAATGGTCATCATTTCAGAGTGTAAGTATCTCATCCTACAACGAATATACCTCTACTAATCAAACAAACAAACAAATATATATTCAGTTAGATTGCATACACAAGATGGAATACGAGGTACTGATCTTGGATATGCACCTCATGAGATTATACAACCTCTCTTGCCATTGCCAGTATTCCCAACGATACCTTTACCATTTATTGTTGAGGTTGTTCAATTCACAAGGAAAGGGGACAAAGCTAAACAAAAGTTCATAGATGCCTGGATTCCCAATGGATGTAAATATGGACTGGTATTTGATAGTGAGTCTAGAACATATATCAAGTATACCAACAATATTTGGGAGACTCATATAGAGTGGCAAGGTGAACTCAACATTCCAACTTGTCCTGGATTATCATTCAATCTTCAACAAATGCGACAGGAATATCTTCAAATGTTCTAGAGAAAAGATTGAAGGTCCTAGACCACCCCCCTTACCAGCAACGTTCCCAGGTATTGTTCTTTGGATCCTCAACATTATCCTACCTCAACACATTGACATCTCGGAAATATCCATCTTGTTGACGCGTCACCATTGATTGAGGGAAGCAAAACTAATAAAAACTTGAACAGTCATCTTCAACTTTGTCAATGAATCATCACATATATGTTTTTTAAAAAGATAGATAGAGATAGAGGATGAAGGGATTAATACTATTGATAATACTTGTATTGTTATCATTACACTTAAGTGTGTCTGTGATAGCAACAACAACTACAACTACAACAACAGAGGAAGATGTGTTGGTGGAGACAAGTACCATCAATACATTGACGAACAAGAATGATATAGATAATGTTATACAAAACAAAGATAACGTGAAAGATAATGATGTAAATGGTGTCAAGGAGAAGGACAAAGAGAAAGAGAAGGAGTTGGATAAACAGCAACATCAACAACAACAACATAGAGTACATGATGAGACTGAAGTAGTAACAACATCAGACACAGAGAGTGATAATGATAATGATGATCACGGTGAATTTATACACATAGATGTCAAGGATGTCAAGGATGCTGATAAACATGAACATGTAGTACTTGAGGGAGAGCATCAACATCAACACACAAAGACAAGTACAGTCCAACCACAGCCACAGCCACATGTTGACAATCAATCAGATAACATTGGTGATAAACAAGACAACAACAACAACAACAACAACATCACTCAAGTAGATAAGGAGCCAGCACTGGGGAGCAATCATTCTCACAATGAATCTGACGATATTCCAGTGGTAGACAAGACTGCACAAACAACAGAGACACCAATTGTTCAACTTCCAAGCAACAACAACAGCGACAACAGCAATGAGGAGGCATCTGGCGAGCAACAACAACAACAATGTACAAATGACACAAACAAAGATGATCAAACATGTCAAGTGAGTCCTGGTGCACCAGGTGAAGAATCAAATGAAACCAATGAGCTTCATGATATTGGATTGATACCACCAATAATGGAATCTACATCGAGTTCAACTTCAGCAGTCATCGATGTTGTCAGCACTGGTCCCACGAACATCAATGGCAGTTCTAACACCACTCATGACCAACACAACTCGTCGACCCAACACCAGACAGAAGATAGACAACCCGTTGTTGTTGATATTGATCCTCAAGTGATCACCGACAAAGACAAGGACAAGCCAGTGGAGAAGGAAAAGGAGATTGTAGTCGAGGTACCTCATGAGACAAAGTTGGCACATGTATTGGAGACTTTACACAAAGATGCTGATCAAGTCCTCACACAGAGGGAGAAGGAAAGGGAGATGCAACAACTATTGGACATCAAGAGAGAGAAGGAGCTCATCGATAAGGGCAATGATCAAAAGTGTAACTATCCAATCTTGATTGATTGATTGATCGGATTACTAATCAGACGATCACGATACACAGTGGAACCACTTAACAAGTTCACGGAAAAGGTGATACTATCATTGGCAGACAGTGAAGCTGCATCTTTAGCAGCGAACAACATCAACAATACTGCCACCAACGTCACTGGAGGCATGTCCAACAACAACAACAACAACATGACAGTGACCATACTCACACCAAAAGACCTACCCGACAAGTTTAACTATGCCAGTGCCGAGTGTGGCGCCACAGTGCTTGCGACGAATGCCGAGGCCAAGGAGGTGAGCAGCATTCTACACTCATCCAAAGATCGCTACATGTTGAATGAGTGCAGCACCAACCAATGGTTCGTGATTGAGCTGTGCGAGGAGATTGGCATCCAGATCATCGAGATGGCCAACTACGAGTTCTTCTCATCGATGTTTAAAGACTTTGTCGTTATGGGCATACACAAGTATCCGAGCAGCACATGGCACTACCTTGGCAACTTCACCGCAGAGAATGTTCGCAAGCCACAATTCTTTGTACTCAAAGAGAAGTCATGGTACAAATATCTCAAAGTCAAGATCTTAACTCATTATGGTGATCAGATGTATTGTCCATTGTCAGACATCAAGGTATATGGATCGACAATGATTGATGATCTAAAGAATCGTATGTTATATCAAATGGTCTTGCTGGTCATACACATACTCACTTTGACTCACTGATCATCAAACATAAAGAGGTGGCTACAAGTTCCAAAGAGGTAGAGAATATTGTTAACAAGATGAGCAATAATATATCATTTGGATCATTGAACAAAGCAAAGACAAAGAAGGATAATACTACAACAATATCATGGGAGTCACTCAAACAGGTATCATTGAATCTTACATCAATCCCAACAAGGGATTCACCATTCTCTTCTTCTTCATTATCTTCAACAACATCTTCAACAACATCTTCAACAACATCTACAACAACACAAGACAATCAATCACAAGAAGAACCAAATGTTGAGGAACAAACAATACAACACGAATCAGCTACAAGTCCACAGAGTATATTCAAGACATTGGCCAACAGAGTTAAATCATTGGAGATCAATCAATCGATTTCAAACAAGTACTTGGAGAAATTGGAAGAGTACTACTCAGAGTTGGTCAGGTCAATGACGGAGGACCTCGTCAAGATGCAGATTGGATTCGAGGGCATTGCAGAGTTGGGATCGGATCTCGAGAGAAGGGTCACACAGGAGAGACTGTTGATGGAGAAGAAGGTCACGCAGGACTTTGCCAAGGAGCTAAGCAGCATGAAGGAGAAGATCAACAAGTTGGAACAGAAGCACGAGGAGGACAAGAACTATTATATCTCATTGTTGATGGCATCATTCCTACTATCAATCATTCTTTCATATTTGATGGTAATCAAGGATAGTCATGGTCTGTCATCTTCATCCAGTGGTGGAGATTCATCATTGGTGGATGGACATATGATGATCAAGCAACAACAACAACAACATTTGAAAAGAAGGAATTCTCATCCAATATTGAATGAGCTTGGTAATAATACTGCTACCAACACATCATCATCCACTGGTAGCAGCACATTCCAACAACAACAGAACATTAATATTTATAACATCCTCAATGATAGCAATGAGTTTGGATACAATGGTAACAAACAGAACAAGGTACCAGACAGTGCATTGACACAATCTCCACCCATCGTTGTCAACGAAGTGTACAAGACTCAAAAGAAAAAGAAGAAGAAGCAACTATGATAAATAATAATTATTATTACCTTTATTTACTTTTTGTTTAAAGCCGCCTCTCGTCCGACCTGGAAGAGAGACGCGGTGTTCAGTTTATTTATCCCGATAACTATACAATTGTTTTGGTTGTTTGGACACTGTTCTGGTCGAGTCCACTGACAGGCCTTTGTGTCGTCAGCTGGTGGTATGAGCATTGGTTTGGATTGTTGCCATCGCGTGCTCACGCGTTGACTTCCGTGGTTATATACAATGAATCGAGTTATAGTAGGTAACAGTTGAGTGGTGGCAGATTGTAAAGGGTCTGGTGTCCCCAGTGTTGGTTCAGTTGGGTAGTTGATTGGGTGATGCGCCCTGGTATTGCGTGCTTCGCTTCTGTGTTTGTGGTGTTGATTCCTTTGGTGAAGAGTCTCTGGCTTGTGTTCTTAGCACGAGTCCACCCGGCCTTGATCAGAGTCTTGGTCTTGAAGAGGATGAGGTGCTTGGAGAACTGAAAATTACCTTTATTTACCAATTACTTGGTAAATTTATTGGTAGTGGGTTTGGTCTTAAGTGTTTAATTGGTTTGTTTTTTGTTTGCGGTTGAAAATGCCTCTTAAACTGATGAAAAATTTTGGAAGTCATCGAAGGCTCCATAGTTGAATGGTACAATACTACCTTTGGGTGGTAGTGGTCTGGGTTCGATTCCCGGTGGAGCCCATCTTTTTGTTATTCTTTGTTGTTCTTTGTTGTTCTTTGTTATTCTTTGTTGTTCTTTGTTGTTCTTTGTTGTTCTTTGTTGTTCTTTGTTGTTCTTTGATTTGAGGATGCAACTCTTCAATGACGCTAAAACTAAACTTCCACTCTAGTCAAAAAAAAAAAAAAAAAAAGGATGCATTAGGTCCGTTGAAGCCTTTTTGATTGCCCTTGGTCCTTAAATTAAGTTCTATTTATTGATCCCATATCAATTCTCTCTTCATCATTGAATCAAAACATACAGGTTGTGATTAGTTTAGACTACATAGATTTTGAAGCCATTGGGTTGGTAGTCTACGGGTGGCTTGAATATAGCCATGTAGTCGGGTTGACTTTCCTCAACCTTGTAGATCACAAGGATAGTTGGACGGTATACTGGAACTGGTCTCACAATCTTTTATGTTACGATATCCAGGGCTGTGACCTGTGAGGCATATTGGTGGATATTGTTCTGGAAATTGGGATACCTTTCAGTTTATTTGGTTAGTTAAATAAAGTGGCCTTCTTGGAAGTACTTCTCCCAGTATTCTTGAATACGGTCAAAGTGTCCATTTGAATTTGGTGTTTGTTTAAGATAAAACTCCTTTCTTCTTTTAATGTACAAGACCATTTCGTCAAGCATCGTAGCTAACAATAGTTGACATGACAAATTACATTTGTTACCAAGAGGAGGGGTATCGACAATTAGAATCTCGAACCTGTCTTTCAAGACTGCATTAGAAATTCTGAGATGATCAGCACAAGGAGTATTCATTAGGTAAGTGGTGTTATCTTATCTAAAAGTGATGTACAATGAAAAACCAACTCGTCGTACTGAGCAACTTTGAAAGTAGAGTTGTGAAGATGGATGTGTTTTGGGCACTCACCACTTCCATCTTCAATGTGGAATAGGCACAGAAAAGGTGGCAACCCACGTGGATGATTTAGTAGTGGAGGCAGTTGTAGGGGCACTGGTCGTTGATGTGTTAGAAGATGTTGTCTCTCCACCACTTGTTGTTGACGTGGAAGCTGTAGATGAGGTTGAGGTAGTCGACTGGCCTCCAGTAACTAGTAGCAGCAGCAGTGGAGGAGGGAATACAACTCCATTCATTACCACTTGACCCCACCGACTGCACTGCACTACATGACATACAGTGCATTGGCTCTGACACCCTATGCATGATGGACCACGGCAATGACATCTGCAACCTCGATGCAAAGAACAAGAGATTCAGGGTCAACAATCACCAAGCACCATAAATTCAACACATTAATTACAATCATGTGACATATCAGCTGACTGATTGTGGAAGTGATCGACCAAGTCATGCCTAAGCCAAGAGAAGCCAGTGAACACATACCAATATATGGTAGAGGCACGAAGTGAGTCAATTCGTTAGAGTGATTGGGATGGGATGTATGAGGCAATGATGCTATTTACAACCTCAATCGTCATTGATATTACCATATATGTACAGATATCAGACGGTTGTGTGCGAGTGTGATCGTCTTATTCATGTACCCCTGTATCTAATCTATGTCCAGATTGAATGAGGCATGGGGAGATTTAAGGTAAGTAATAAGTGTGTGTGTATGTGCGCGCTAATAATAGTATCCACAACTTGTCTGACACTCGTGTGGGTGTTGAGTTCATTGATTGTAATTCCAAGTTGACATGACAGTTGGAGTCATGCAAGCCCGACTTCACTTCCAGAATAAGCATAATTGTTCGCTCGCTCTACATCTAATGTGAGATGTATTTACACCTAGATCAGTGAAACAGATCCAAACACTGATCATAGACGATGCATGCATGCATTGCACACACTGCACCACCGATCACAAATCATCCAAATTGAATTTGGTGTGAGTGTTATCAAACACCGTTTGCTTGATTGATCACTTTGTGTTGAGTGGGGTTGGTGGGTGAGTGGGGGTATGAAGGTGAGTGGGTGTGATCCATCACTATCATCATGTTGTTTGTTGTTCTTACTCTCTGTGAGTGGGGAGGTACATACATACATGCATATCATATTTACATTGACCTACATCGAACGCCCTGCACTTGGACATGAGACTTGGACAGTCAATGAAACTGTGATGCCTGGCTTGCATGCATGCAGTGCGACGCTAAAGATAGATACATGCCCATGAGGACCAACTTCCCAAAGTAGTCGCCGAGCGGCGACCATCGGTCAACCAGTCAGTCAGCCAGTCAATCAAACAAACCAATCATATTTAAATGATAGATGGTCCAGCGACAAGTCATTTGCTCAGCGGAATGACTCCAGAGGATCAGATGCTCCAAAGACAAGATCTTAACAAGGCATTGTCCTGATAAGCCAACCAAACATTGACAACATCAACAACATTCAACAACAGAGAATGACATACAACTCCAATCTCACTTCAACAACAATGCCATCCTCATCCCCATCATCATCTTCTTCTTCAAACATCACTGGTACCGGTGATGACATTGCCAGTGATGCATCATCGTCATCAACTCAACTTCACCAACATCAACCTCATCATCAACTTCAACATGTGATCCAGAATACCATGCCACCTCATCAGTTCCCCGTTCCACTACCGCCATACCCTCAAATGTCCGTCCCAACCCATCATCATCATCAAGGTGTTGTCCCAATTCCAATGTTCCCTGCAGGCCAATACCACCATCATCCCTTCCAACATCCACATCCACATCAACATCAACATCAACATCATCCACTGCCACCAACTTCCGTCCACTTCCACCCATATCCACAGCGACATTTGTCTCCCCCGCCAGCAACACCGCCACCTCCGCCACAGCCACCAACCTCCACCGCCCAAGGACAACCACAAGGTGGCGACGACGGATTCTACCATCTACTTTACGGCCTGTTACCATTGTGCGTGGAAATTGATCGCGAACGTGGCGCCACAAAGGAGAAGACGGACAAGATGAATGAGCTACACCATCACATTGACACGATTATAAAGCGAGTGGAGAGGGAGAAGAAAAGATGCAAGATGATGCTGTCCCCGCCAGCACCACCCTTGACCCAGTCCAAGAAGCAGCAGCAAGTGGTAGACCCGACCAGACCACGCAGGAACCGAAAGAGTGCCAGTCCACAGGAGAGCAGAGAGGTGGATCAATGTCAATTGTGTGGATCAATGGAGACACCAGAGTGGCGCAAAGGACCAGATGGCACCAAGTCCCTATGCAACGCGTGTGGTCTACATTTCGCCAAGACCAAGAGGTCACTCAAGGGTCTGGATCAAGAAAACATCAACAACAACAGTAGCAGTGGCAATGATCCATCATCGCCCCTATCATCATCGTCATCAACATCAACAATCTCCAATGCACCATCAATGGATCCGTCATCGCCCCCACCAAACATCATCCTTCCCCAACTTCCACAACATCCACAACTTTCACAACAAATCCAACTCCAGCAACAGCAGACTACGGCACCAGGAGATGGATATTTCTGTTCAACGTCAACTACAACGACCACAACAGTGACAACTACAACAAGACAGGCATCTCCACCACCTAGACCGACCTCTACATCTACAACTTCAACAACGACAACAGCAGCGACCCCTGGACAACCAAGTGGCAGGCCTTCTGGAAGTCTCTGACATTGTACCATCCAAGTACTCAACTTTAGTAAGTAATCAATCTATGTCTTGTTTATCTGTCTGTCTGTCTTTTTGATGTTCCTTGTTAGATCTAAGTTATATCACATGGCACAAGCACACACACATACAATCACAAACACACCCCCACACACTCCATCAAACATTCAATCAGTCAATCAACCCCCTCCAACACACACATCTCACGTCTTCCATGTTCAATCAAACCCCTTCGTGCTCAAGCTCAGACTCAAGCTCGATGTGACCATCCAAACCAAACCTTTGAATCAGCTCCAGTTCAGATGAACGTTGATGTATGATGTATTGGTGTTGGTGTTGGTCACCTGATGAATGGATTGGATTGAATGAATGATTGAATGATTGATTGAAGGATGGATTGATGGATGTTTGGAGATAACATAAGAATAAGTGTTCATCCGTGTGCGTGTGTTGTTGGTTGGTTATTATTATATGTTGTTGTTGATGTTTGATGGATGATTTAAGTGATGCATCATCCACCTCCACACTCCACTAGTGTTCCCATTATCGTCCATAATCAGTTAATCAGTCAATCAATCACATACATAACATACCCACTCATTTACAACAACACAAAAGAGATAATAATATGTATGTATGTAATATAACATTAAGTAACATAGTGCGTGTATTGTTTTGGTTTGTTAATCTTCAATCAATCAAAGTGCCGACACTTCCATCCATGTGCTTGTTGGCTATGCATTGTTTGATTGGATTGATTGGATTGGATTGGATTGAAATGATTGATGGATCGATCATGATTGATCATGGACTGGACTGGACTAGACTGGACTGAACTTGAAACACACTCTAGCATGCAGACAGGCAGACAGACAGACAGGGAAACAGTCAATCAATCAATCAATCAACAGTAGCAGCACCACAAGACGATGACCTTGTCGATTCAATCACATCACACTCAATCAATCAATCATTCATCGTCCATCGTGATATATATTACTTGAGCACTACTCACACTCACTCACTCACTCACACACAATACGTCTGGCTGTCATTTCCCTATCAATCACTTCCCCTCACTCCCCTCCATCCACTCAATCACCTGACAAACTCATTCACACACACATGTACACACAATCATTCGATCCATTCATCCGGCCAGTCAACAAACCAGGCACATTCTATTAATGAATCTTATTGCACCTACTGTTGATTGTTTGATTTATTCAATCCACCCTTTAATGCAGTATAGTCGTCATCATCATCATCAGCTGATCATTATTATTATTTTATATTATATTATCCTTCTCCATTCTAACATTATATAATATATATATTATATTACTCATTTAGTGTTACTTGGATTAATAGATATATATAATATATTTAGACTGTTTAGCAACAACATTTATCATTTATCAAACAACAACAACATCATTGGCGTACCAATCAATCAATCAATCAATCACACTTGGAAGGCGACCATCATAATTGTCTCAATTCATTCACTCTCTTTGGTCCATCATCAATCATTGTGAGCGACAATAAATCCATAACCTTCCACTTCAATCATTCACATCGTCATCATCATAAAGTGATCATCACAAACAATGTTCAACATCAATCCATATAAAGTAAGTTATTCCTTCAAACTTGATTTCAAACTCATGAGTTGGCGCAAACTCCCCCGCTCACTCAATCACTTTACTCCATATCAAGAAAAAATCAGTGAGTCCATTCTCTACATCACCAGCTGCTCAGAAGGAGAAGAAGAAGAGCAAGAAGGATGATAAACAGGTGGTGGCAGTGGCCGCTGCCTCACCCACAATGAGGGAGAATAGTTTGTCACTGACGTCTCTGTCCGAGATCACCAACTCATTGTCCAACACCCACACGGCCACTACAACAGACAACTCCAACACTAATGATGAGACCAGTGAGATTGGCGACGACTATGATCCCTTCCTGTCCATCCTTGAGGAGCCGATCGAGGAGGGCGGCATCGAGAAGGAGACGACCGAGGAGCTGCAGGAGATGCTGGCCGTGCTCAAGGGCGTGCAGAACGAGTGCAACGTGTTGCTGCTGGGCCGCACGGGTGTGGGCAAGTCATCCACATTGAACACGGTATTTGGCATCGACATCCCCGTGCACTCATCAGAGTCGTGCACACAAGAGCCCTTCACGTACAGCCGCAACGTCAATGGCTTCAAGCTGAACATCATCGACACGCCGGGCTTTCTCGACTCGCAGGGTGACCAGGTGGATGCGTCCAACATGGTCAAGATCCAAAAGTATCTCTCGGGCAAGACCATCCACTGCGTGCTGTTCGTGGAGAAGTTCACAGAGACGCGATTTGACGGGGCGCATCAACTTGTGATCAATCAGTTCACTGAGAAGCTGGGTGGCCAGCTGTGGAGGAACGCCGCCGTCGTGCTAACATACGCCAACTCGGTGCTGCCAGACTCGTGCTACGACGGCTTTGACGAGGACGATGAGATTGGACCATGGCGCAAACATCTCGAGGCACGCAGCCAGCAATTCAAACGCTTCTTCAATGAGATCCTGTCGAAGCTGCCGCAGGACGACTACCCACCCAAGTCAATCCCCGTGTTTGCCATGGAGAACTCGCGAAGATGTCAACGTAATGAGCAGGGACAGCGTGTCTTGGTTGACGGCACGCCCTGTCTACATCTGCTGATCAGTGGTTTGCTGAGGATGGTGGACCCAAAGACTGCATTCCTGTTCATGGGGCATCTAAGGGCAAAGAACAAGCCGGGAAAGACGCACAAAGGCGATCAACTAGATCGTGAACGCTCCATCTTTGAGAACCTGGGCGACATTCTCAAACTATTTGTCGTGCCACCTTTCGATCAACTTGGCAAAGGTCAAGTTGCCAAGATCCTCGAGAACTGGGGCAAGAAGCTGGATCGTTATGGAAACCTTCCCAATCTACTTAAGATATAATAACTATATAGTTAGTTTGATCTCCAAGGTCCAATGTCCATGGTTCAATCACTCAATCAATCACACACTCATCTCATGGTCTTAGACTTGGACTTGGCGCGCCAGACCCATAATATATATATGTAGTATGTTATGAATGTAACAGTATAAGTAGTCATTGACTACTACACCATCAACCAACCTCATACACTCTTGGAGGTAGATCAATCCTTCAACCAACCAACCAATCATTCAATCATTCAATCAATCAATCAATCAATCATACAAACTCGCAGTCATCGCCATCACCAGCAATAGGTGGATGTACCATCAACTAAACCCAATGTATAATAATGCCAATAAATAACCCATCACATCCAACTTATCTCCATCAATCACTTATACTCTGATCTCTTAAGTCAAAGACCCAAAAGACGAGTTCCTCTCTGTTTCCAGCAATGTGATCAATGCGAGTCAACATTGATGAATGAATGAATCAATGACATACAGACACTGCAAAGATATTATTTGTTGTAGTGATGTGAATGATTAGCATTACTACTCGCATCACTCACCTAGTCTTGAGGGTTTTGCAAAGATAGACTTAACGCGTGTGGGTGGTGCCCCATGCCCAAAGTATCGAACAAGGGCTTAGTGGGGGATGGGGGTGCGTCTCTTCACCTTGTATTTGCCCATCAAGGTTCTATTCAATCCGATAGCCTTGTGTTGCAATGGTTCATCCATCCATCTTGAATCTGAGCGGCTTCCGACAATTGAATAAACTGAGCAATCCTTGCAGATTCATTCGCAGGTAGCGCAGCTTGTCTCATAAACTAGCTTGCCTCACTCTGCCATAATGAATGAATGAATGATAGGTTGATTGATTGACTTGTGACCTGATGATGTTTGATCAAAGTTGATATCAACCATCCAATCAATCACTTCTAACTCTCCACATATTACCATTTGGATAGAGATATAATTATTTGTATATATATTTATTTATTTATTTATTTATTTATTTATTTATTTAATCAATCAGATAATGATGAATAACAATGAACTTCTTGAATACTTTGTAGAGAAGGAGTTGGAAGGATCATTCTCTGCATCGACATTGTTTAGGAATGACTCGGCTTCGACAGATTTGATCAACTTATTCATGGAGAACACAGAGATTAGACAATACTTTGCAAGGGTGGTCAATGGAGTCATTGCCAGATGTAAGGCCAGTGCGTTGGACACACTGGACCCGCAAGAAGTTGCCCGAGACACACTAAACACAATCTGTCTATGTCATCGCGGCAAGGACGCGGCACCCCTACCCGGAGTGATCACCACCATCGCCAGCACACTACGTCGCATCGTCTCCAAGAAGTACCCCGATCACTGGCCGATCGCTGTGGGAGGCTTCTTCTTTCTGCGCGGACTCTTCCCCGCGGTCGTCTCGCCCAAGAAGGTGGGCATCAAGTTGAAGGACAGCAGTAGCTGTGACGCCAACACCAAGAGGCAACTGGTCAAAGTGACCAAAGCCATGATGGAGATTGTAAATACACAGATAACAAACAACAACATCGAGGAGGACTCCATCGTTCGCTTCCTCGACGATATATCAAGCAGTCAAGCAACAATAGTTGATGTAGCAGGTGCCGATAGTAATGGTAGTAATGTCAGTAGTGTCAGCAGTGGTAGTAGTATCAACATTGGATCATCATCCAGCAGTAGCAGTAGTAGCAGTATCAGCAATAGTAGTAGTAGCAGTAGTAATAGGTTAAAGATACATAGTGGATGTAAACATATATCAACAATACATTTGAAACAATATGTTTGTGATGCCAGTGATGATGATGACCTTGCTGTACTGGACAAGATCAAAGAGACCTTATACACTGCAGAGAAGAAGCCATCAATCTTTCATACAATAAACAAACTACTACATGGCTGAGTCCATCCATTGATTGATCGATTGGAATGATCAATCACTACATTGTACACACAAATGGTCGTTCATTGTTGTTTGGACTTGATTATCCTTCTGACCTCTCTGAATGTGTTGCCCTCTGTAAGGTACCTATGTTGTGGTTGTTTGAGGTTAATGAATGAATGGTCCTGGATATGGACTGATGATCAATCAAACAACAACTTACAATGATATTAATACCAATCCAAAGCATAGTGCACCTGTACCAACATGAATGAGTATGTTTCTGATGGCAACACCAGAGTAGTAGTGTCCAGTGATATTGGTCATGATGAATGATAGTCCAAATAGTAGTAGTGGCAACTTGTTTGGTAGCATAGAGGCTAGACTAAAGCCCTTGCATCCCTTAAAGAAGCCATTCATAAAGTATACGCTATATATGATCCTCGCCAGCATGTCTGTATGGTGTGTGCGGTGTTAGGGAGGTCTGAGTGTGGCCAGCCGGCTTGATGGATGTCGATACATACTGATACAGTTGGCCAGGATGATACCTATTGTGCCCCAGAGTGTGGAGAAGATGTAGGTGAGGAATAGGTAGAGTAGGCCAATGAGAAAGAGTATCCAGTTGAGTGTCTTGAGTTGATCGGTCTTGGATACACTGTGTACGAATGCCTCGGATACTCCATTGACTGCCATGAATCCGACGTAGACACAATAGACTCCGAGGACTAGACCCGCGTCGCCAGTACTGAATCTTGTGTTGGGATATAGTATGTTGAGCAATAGCTCAGAGAATGCTGGTCCGAATGCAATAAAGATAAATGCAACAATCGACATAACCTTCATTAGCAATGTGAGCACTTTGGACGAGTCGGCCCAATCATCCTTGCGAGACTTTGCTCCAAAGAGCTTTGGGAACATTGTGAAGCAGGTCTCTTCGATGGGCTGGAAGAAGAACCTAGCCACGAGCGAGCCCAAGTTGGACACAACCGAGAAGATGGCCTGTGACACCAAGCTCTGTGACAGATAAAGTACAATCTTCTCGCCCTCTGTCAACAGTAGTTTCTGAATTGATTGCCATGTGTACAACATTGTCATGTCGACCAGATCCTTGCCAAAGATGTCTCTGTCTCTCTCCTTATCCTTGCTGGTGCCAGTGCCAATACTCGGTCGTCTTGGTAATAGTTGATTGAAAGAAGTGATCTGGACACCAGACGTAAACTTCCCTGACATGTTTGATCGATCATATTGAAGTATTCCAATGATAAAGTTACCATAATATCCAATCAAGAGTACTACAGAGTATATAATCTGAGCGTATCCAAAGCCTTTGAGTCCATCCTTTGTGTATGATTGTGTGAGTGGCGTGTGTTGAACTCTGAGTTGCTGTAGCATTCGCCTGTCAGCCATATGGCTGACTTACCTTGGTGATTACAACAAAGTAGTATGTGGCTAGAGCTTTGAGAAAGAGTGCAGAGCCTTCGACAAAGGTGCGCACTTTGAAGAGGAGCATGTTCTGTGTGAGGATGTAGACGGGCTCGCTGAGTAGTTCGAGGAAGCTGGCAAGGGTGAATAGGACAAGACCAAGGTCGTGATCGGGTATGAGTCGCTCCTCATCGGTGCTCCAGTGATTGAGTAGTCGCTCGCCACACACCGATAGAACAAGTCCACATGGCACCACCATCCAACTGAGGTTTATGAAGCGTTGTAGTTCGCGTGCACCACCCTGTGACAGATCAGCACGGATACAAGTGCGTCTTATAGCCTCGCGGCTTAGAAACAGCACAAACGATGCCAACAGTTGGTACTTGATTGCAAACACACCCAATACGCTTGGATCGACTGCTGACACCATCCATGTGTTGAGTACAAATGTGAACAGACGACTGGCCATCTGCAAGCCTATCAGATAGAATGCACCTGAAAGGCCTGACTTTAGGACTGATGTTGTTGCTGTTGCTGTTGTTGATGTTGTTGGCTGTGTTGACGTTGCCGTCGACACAGCTTTACTACTACTACTGCTGCTCATACTTTGTGTTCACTCTATATGAATGAATGAATAAACATGAAGTTGAACCCTAGTTTAGGATTCAAGTGTCGCTTGTCAAACTTGAGAGGGTGTGGTCGCTTAACAGGAAAATGATGACTCATTGCAATCAATGTGATGGGTGACTCATTTAGATGATGATGATGATAATGATGATAATAGGTATGTAGGTTATTGTATCCTTTGGATTTCAAAGTTCACTTTATTACAGGTACTTTATAAAGACAGATAATATAATCTGTCCATATGGGTAAATAAATGGAGGAGAGGTTGGGGGATGTGATATGAATGAATGATTGGACATTGGATTACTGCTTGAACTTTCCATCCTTGAGCTCCTGGACAGCGACATCAGCACCTCCTATCAGTTGACCATCACGGAACACTTGTGGGAAAGTTGGGAATCCACTCCACATCTTGATTGCCAATCTCTTGTCTATATATATATGATTGATTGAATTGAATGAGTATGTATAAATGAAAGATGACGATGAATGAACATAAGTGATATAACATACCCCAGCCAGAGAAATAGCTACCATACTCCAGATACTTAAAGTCAATACCAGCAGCGGTCAATTGATTTCTTATCTCCTTGACATGTGGATTGTAGGCCATTCCAACAACGACCACTCTATTGTTCTTTATGCTATCCTCAACCTCTGCAATAACCTCTGGGAAGTAGTTGTTGCTAAAGTTGGTAGCATACTCTGACCTATTAGTCAATATTCTTCTAATGTTCTCCATCTTTTATTATATTATATGTATATATGTATGTATGTATGTATGTATCAAAGTATATTTGATTTGAACGATGCTTGTAATCCTTCATTGACCATCGTCATCCTTTTATGAAGTGAACTCGGACTTTGAATGGATTCTTTTGGATTCACCAAAAGGGGGAACCTTTGCATTCTATGTGACCATGAATTTCGTCATCAATTTTCCAATGGTCATCAAAATTCTAAAGAATCTATTTTTGTTGAGCACTTTACCTTTGTGTATTAGCATCACGACGTTGCCATGATTCCAAAAGGTGTAATGAATATCGATGAGTCACTGGAAATCAAATCAATAGTCACTACCACCTACCATGATCGATCATCTCAACAATAGTTCCTATCGGTCAATGCACGTGTCTTTATTCCAAATGCTTGCGTGTTGATTGATGACCTGTTGCAATCTGTCGATCAATGGCTGCTCTAGTCTCTTTGATACTCTTTCCTCGAATACATTTGTGATGTACAGGAGTTGAAACTTGGTACATCGCCTGATGGATTCGTCGAGAATATCGCCATAATGATTGATCGTCATATCACGATCCATGAAGGATGTTTGCAGGGTGATACAATTAGAGATGGATGAAGACCAACTGATCATATTGACAAAGTGGTATATGGATTCGTTTTGTGTCATTATCAAATGGAGATGACGCACATGGGACAATGAATTGAGAAGATGAACATATCGATCTTGAATCCCAACTGGATTGGTTCGCAGATGTGGACTGGCCAGCGAGGTGTTACCATAGTAGATCTCGTACAGCATTTCCTTGTCTTCAGTGGTATCAATGTAATGGCAATGGTCATGGAATTCGATGGGATCAAGAGTGATCTTGAGCTTGAGCAGGGGACGGCATCCATTTATTGGAAAGCAGCATGCGCATTCATGTATTGTCAGCTTCTGGATGGTGCATGATTCATCTGCGAATAGGTGCTGCAGGAGATGATGGCCATCTACTTCATGGAGAATGATGTTAATCTCCAACTTGTGGAGATGGGTGCTTGGTTTGGTGAGGTAATCATACAACGACTTGACAACATCGTTGGTATTCTCTGGTAACCAGGCATATGATTGGGGGATGTGGATCTTGAGAGTTGACAAGTTGGCAAGCTGCCCGAGTGAGTCAAACAACTCATACTGGGCAAGATGGACATTGATGTCGTTGAATGCCAATGACCGGAGTCTGACACCCAAGGGCTCTTTGATAATGCCACTGATGATTTCTAACGCTAAGTTGCCACTTGATCGGTAGTATTCTGGGTCAGTGGAAAGTGACAGGTGCTCCACTTGATGACACTGGCTCGAGATGCTCTTGTAAATACTTGAAAGACCATGGTTAATGAACAATGAGAGGTGTGTCCATCGGTTGATAATGTCTTGATGCGAACACTGTGAAAGGAGGTCGATTGACAAGGGTTTTTCTATCGTCCATCGAATGTTGATTCTGTCAAAGTAATCAAAATTTCTTGAAAAGTAGTAGAAGTCGTCCTCCGCTGCAAGGCAACCCGAGACACGTATGTCATTTGAAACGACAGAATATAGATTTGCCGCTTGAAGGTGTCGGACAGTGTCTATAAGGGTCGTGAGTGTGTATACATGCAATTTATCGTTCAGACATCTAATGAATAAATGGACTTGCCAACTGACCAGGCCTAGTGACAGCGCCCATTTCCTGCCATATCGTTTGCTTTGTATGCTCCCTTTGAATGCCCAAAGGAGGATGTTCTGCTTAATCAGATAAAATGGTAGAGTAATATCCATTGCAAAAGTTTGTACAAAGAGGTTGTTAACAATTGTTCGTCTTTAAAGTATCTGTGCATGTGACATAAAATAAAGTGCCAAATTTTGATCAATAATCCTGGAAGTTCTGCCTTCTGAATCGTCTACATTGATGTGATACAAACATAGATAACAGTAGCATCAGCAGTGGCGGCAGCAGCATCTTGGGAGGTGGCAACACTTCCACCGATCCTTTAATTTATCATCATCATATTAGCCATATGATCAATCATTATAATAATAACAAGATTAAGTGTGTACAATCTTATCTGATTAATTCAAAGTCGATTGTGTGTATGTATGAAATGTCATACATAAGAAATGCTTGAAATCACAAGTAAGTTACGCTAGAGCCCATAAACAAATACTTGGACTTTGGAAACTCGAACAAATAATATTGTTGTTGGAGATAGGTATCTAAGTATGGTGATGGACTGACCAAGGATGAGCCAACAACGCTCTTCATTCGCAATCCACACACCCCCGCACTCCCACCCAATCAATCACTCAAGTCAATCAATCATCGTGTTACAGCTGATGATTAACGAATACGACGAAACGAAACCATCATCAGATTCCTAGGTGATGATCTGTTATGATGTGTGTTGTTTGATTGGTTGATTGATTGATTGATTGATTGGTTGGATGAATGTGGAAATGTGGGTGTATGTGTATGTATTATCAATAGTGAGAAGACATATGCATGAATGAAGAGCTCTTAAAAGATGGTTGTAGTGGGAACTCTCTTCATAGGTCGTGTAGTACATCGTATCCCCACGAACGAGCCACCACCCACCATCAATCAATCCATCATCACACTGCAACCCACCACTGGCTCATGGACGTCCGTCGATCGTCGGATGCGCGCTCCCACACATCTGATCACACACACTTACCATCCAACCACTCAATCATCATTCCAATCAGTCACTCTCATGTTTAAGAGGTGGAAAGGAAAGTGGATCGCCACCTACAAACCGATCGTCAATGTGGCAGGTAGAGGCGCGCCTGGACATCACATGTGATGTACATCACTGCATACCATTGGTAGTTTGGGTGTGATGGGATCAGGCATGGATCACACCAACACTCTAACACCATCACACACACACATCAACGTGTTGATTAGATGAGTGAGTGAATGAATGGATGTGAATGATGTGTGTGTTGAGTTAGTAAGTATATGCAAGTAAGTAAGTATGAGGTATGCGATGATGAAGATGGATGGTCACCTTGGTTTGGCCTGTTTGATTATCACGACATTAAAACAACAACCTCAACATCAACATCAACATCAACAATCAGTCATTCAATCATTCATCAAACAAACAAACAAACAACCGACCATTATCCAATAAATTATTAATAGCTCAAGCAAGCTCCCTTCATCCATCTTAATCTTGGCAACAAGTTGGTAGTTGGTTGATGTAATTGCAGGGCCATCCAATCCAACAAACTTACTTAACTTAATAATAGATAGAGATAGAGAGAGTTAATAAACTTTAACTTTCTGCCCAACCCAACTCAACCTTTCATCACACCTACCTCAAGCCAACTAGTTGTTGTACTTACTTACGACATTGGCTTGGTAGATTAAATATACATACTTATAAAAGTGATATATATAGATAGATAGATAGAATAGAATGATTTACCGACCTCCTAGGAGTAGACTTTCAAGGTTCCTCAAACAATTGACAGTATTCAAATGTTTCACGGGAAGTACCAGTAAACAAAGGAATTATAGATGACTAAGAACATCAACCATATATAAGAAGGTTTATAATATAAATAGAATAATGGAAAGATAATCAATTGTATGTACCTATCATCAATTATTATAATATATTGGCAAATGAAACTAACATTAATAATAATTAATTAGATAGATAGGTAGTTTGTTTACTTTGAGGAGCACTTTAGTTAGATCTGCTCTCTATGTTTAAACTATTCTTTCGTTTGATTATCCACGCCAACTGCCTATCCACCTCAAACCAAAACATATCAAACCAAGGTCAAGAAGGTCAAGGATATTATTTACCAAGACTGACTGACTGGACTGGACAATCAGTCTGTTATGTTAATATTGATCAATAATTACTGGTCAATATTTGAACAAACAATACTGAATGTCACCACAATATATCATATATAATGTTGGGTTTTGAGCCAAACGACATTTTAATTATATATAAAATTATATATATTATTTATTAAATTAACTACTAAAATAGATATATTTGTACTTGTAATTATCTCTTTCCATCAAAATGTTGAAGTTTTGTAGACTGAGTCCCAGGGCATCAATCCCCTCCTTAATCTCAAGGGAAGGTGCAAGTGGGGGTGGCTTGTGTGAAAGTGGTGCAATAATATTGATGTGCATGAGTGTATTAGATGCGAGAATGAGTGAACGGATGAAGCACTACTACAACTTGATAGGGGTATGATGTTGACAAGCCACAGGGGCACATGTGAAGGCAGCTTGAATGTGGGTACTCTACTCTCTCCTGCTCTTTCTCACACCATATTCATACTTACTCATCCATCCCATCACAAACAAAGTATAACAAATATAACAAGTATAACAAACAGATAAACAGGATTTATAGATAACTTGACTTGTTCAAACAATGAGTTACAATCAACATGAGGATGGTAATCCCTTCTCAACTGAAGAGGTACCTTTGAATAGTACACCTCCACCTTCACAACAGCAGCCTCAACAACAACAACATCATTCACAACCACAAGCTATATTCACAAATACCAACATCAACTATGATACCTACACTAGACAGCCTACACCTCAACAACAACTCCCTCCCTCAACAGTGCCATCGACAAGCACTCAATCTACAGCCTATCAACCTGATCTCCAATTCCAGAGTATGTGTTAATCGACTTCCATAGACCCAAGGACTACTCAACTAACTTCGCTGGGTACAGACTTCAATCATACATCAATAGATATAGATAAGACTACATCACCAAAGAACAACAATATCAATTATAATAATAATAGTAATAATAATTCAGATAGGATTGGAGGAGTACCTCCAGTAGATGCTGATTATTCAACAGCATCTTCGAGTAACTTGAATGAATATGAACCGGATACCAAGACATACAGCTTCTATCAACCTCAATACTACCGATTCCTATTCAATGTGGACACGGTCGAAGTTGGACATCGCCTTGTCCGATCAATGATGCCATTCAAGTTCTCATTCTTCCATCACATTCGAGAGAATCCCGACCTGTATGGACCATGGTGGACGACCATCACATTGATCTTTGTCATCTCTGTCACTGCCAACCTCAATGAATATATTGGCTCTAATCATTCATGTATGTTGTCAATGTCATGATGATCGTCCAGTCCATTCCCGAACACATACTAACTTGTACTTGTTACCATTAATAGCATGGGAGGTTGACTTTAAGAAGTTGGTCTACAGTACAATTGCCATTCTTGGATATGCCTTTGCCATTCCTCTCATACTTTGGGCGTTGTTCAAGTGGATGAAGCTCCAGTTGCGTCTGTTGGACATGGTCTGCATTTATGGCTACGCTCTTTTCATCTTTATTCCAGCGTCGGTACTTTGTGTCGTGCCAATTGGTATCTTCCAATGGGTGATCGTCGGTCTGTGTACATTGGTCTCTGGCGCATTCCTTGTCACCAACATCTTCACTCCACTCAAAGAGGACTTTACCAAGAGAGGTCTGATCATATGTGCTGGCATTGCGGCATTACATCTAGGTTTGGGACTGCTCCTCAAGCTCTATTTCTTTGCCAACAACACTGATGGCAAACTCGTACCAACTCCATCACCAACTCCAACTCCTACACCATCACTCACTCCAACTCCTACCAACATGACAACAACTGCCTAAATGATCATGGCTTCATAATGTACACTCAATCAACCATTCAATCAATCATTCAATCAAATCAATTAATAAATCCAATCAATCTTGTGCGCTCACTCATATAAGGTCAACCAACGATCAACCTTTTAAATGACTGTTGTATTGACTCTTGATCCAGGTCTTCGCCAATGAATACTAGCTTGTTCTCTCTTGGTTCGCCAGCTGTCCATTGAATGCCACTTGCTTGCGTGTCAAATGTTTCATAGACACCTTGAAGGATGTACTTCTCCGCCTCATCCTTTACCGACACTAGTCCCTTCATACGGAACACTCTGTCCTTGCAATCCTCCCATACCAATGCACCTATCCACCTGTTTAGCTCGACCAAGTCCACTGATCCCATCTCCTTGATGCATACTGTGTTTACATGACTTGAATGTCCACTTGTGATAGCCTTGCCATGGCCATGGTGATGTCCATCATGTTGACAGTCACTCGTGCATTCTGAATCAGTTTGTTTGTCCTGATCCAGGTAGTCCTTCAACAAATCCAGGTTGGGCGTGTAGCATTTGGTGTCGAGTACGCGACCCAAGTCAACTACCGATCGCTCAGTGTGAATGATGCTGGCCAATGGATTGATCTGCTTGATCTTGGTATGTATCTGCTCGATCTGTTGCTTGTCGTTCACCAGATCGATCTTATTAAGCAGTATAACATCAGCGAATGCAATCTGACGTTCGGCCTCTGTTGTAAACGTCGTCTTCTTATCAGTCATCTGTGGATGTTTCTCATCCACCTGTCTAAGTATATTCTTTGCATCAACAATAGTAACAATGCTATCCAGATATATTGGTGACTCCAACTCATCATCTACCCATAGTGAAGCACTAATCTGTCCTGGATCGCCCTGCATCGTATGTTTGATTGAGTGAGTGAGCGAATGTGTCTGACTCCCGTCATATGAGCGCGTCGTTCACTCTCTCTCGATACATACCATACCAGTTGATTCGATCAATATGTAATCGAATCGATCACTCTTCTTTAGTAACTCCTCGATTGAACGAACAAAGTCGTCTTTGACTGTACAACATATACATCCATTGGGGAACTCTAACCATTCAGACACCTTTGAACCATCTTTACCGACAACCATTGCAGTCTCAATTCCAATCTCTTGACCATACTCATTCTGTATCACTGCTATCTTCTTTCCATGTTGTTCATTCAATATATAATTGAGGAATGTTGTCTGATTGATCAAGCTATGTTAGTTCACAACATTGATTGATTGATTGATTGTGATTGATTGAGAGGACGAGTGAACATACCTTTCCAGCACCTAAGAAGCCAGATATCAATGTTATTGGTACTTTAGACATATTATCTGTTATTATATTGTTTGATTATATGTTCGTCAATTAAACTAATGGTTCAAGAATTACCAAATATGGTTATTTATTTGACAAACTTGTCGTCTTGTTTTCCGACCATACCCTCAACCCTTACCCTATACCCTAAACCCTTAAGAATGAGATAAGTATATATATAATTTATATAAGTTAACTTAAGCAGTTGACTCAAAGTTGCCAACCAACTCTGGAACATCATCAGATGATGTCTCTGATGCAACGGCTCTGGAGGAGGTGACGAATTGCTCGGCCAATCTCTTCAGGCCGTCCGAACCGAGGTGTGAGATAATGCCTGGCAAGAGCTCTTGAAGAGTCTTGGTCTGGGCATGGCCAGAGACGACAAAGGTCTTTGGGGCGTTTTGTACGTGTGGATTGTCAAAGTGGATGATGGTACCATCGGACTTGAACATGTTGACCTCCTCAATGCCAGCGATTGGTCTGATTCCGAGCGACTGGAACTTGGCAAGGAGCTGTCTGTCATCAGCAGCACCACCAGACTTGTGGACGACTCTCTTCTTTCTGCGAACAGATCCTGGACCTCCAGTGCGAACTTGTGCTGCCAATTTGTTCAACTTCTCAATGTTGATGTCCATTTCCTAATTTGTTTGTTTAGTTGATTGATTGAGGGGAGATGTTAGCAACTCCTATGTTATGCTTTGTTGTTGTGATCCAAGTCTGTGAATCATTCGTTCATTTCGTTCATTCATTCATTCATTGGTCATGATAAAGTCATGTCCTGCTGTCAAGTCATAACATCAATCCATGTTTCCAATATGACTGATAATGATTAATATCTATCTTTGGCATTCAATTATATTCGCAATGAATGTCACTGTTTGTTGTTGTTTGTTGATCGATTTAAACATGGCATATTCAATATATGTCCATTGTTCGTTCAATGCAAAGCTGTGATAAGAATGAATGAATGAATGAATGAAATAATAATAGACATACTTTAATATATGTTTAAGGTGATGTAGTTTATAAAAGGAAAGAATGAGATTGTTGACTTCGTTCTTCTTCATGGTCCATGCAGCAGCTCGAACCCCCAACCCTCCTGATGGATGGTATGTAACAATCAACTTGAGATTGAAAAATTAATTCAAAATAAAATGAACAAAAATGAAAAGAAATCCTCGTTAATCGTTCAGGAAGTTCGTTTCAAAGATCATGTGAGTTGTTGGTAGATTGGATGGATGAACGGATGTATTGATGTATTGATGTGGAGGTAAAGATGGTTGGTCGGCTTGGAATCCAAACCATCTTAATGAGTGTTGTTGTTGTTGGTTTGTTGATTGATTGATTGATTGTTGTTGGGACAACCTCAAGGTAGACATTGAGTCACGTGACGTGTTGTTGGTCTTGACTGACCCACTACCGACTGTGTCGTTCCAAAGGTAGCCAGACTACTTGATTATCCTGGAGGCCTATAAAGACTTGTGATGGCAAGGGTAGAGCATGGTAAGGGCAGAACCACTCGACCTTTGAACTGGCGTGGGTGTTGGTGAACCAAGTTTGCATGCCAAAGGATTGGATTGGATTGGGTTGGATTGGATTGCTTGTGTCTTTGGACCTTAAGTGTTTTGACTGGCCAGTCTCAATACATTCCTCTTGTTCTCCTGTACATTCCTCTCTTCCTCCTCTTGTGCCTGCTTGATCTGAGCCACAAATGAGAAGTCTTCCGATATCTCAATGTTCTTTTGCTACAACGTTTAGGATAGAAGTTAGTGATTGAGTGATTGAACCGATGGATGAATGGATATTTACAATTGGCTTGTTTCCTCTCTTTAGTAGTAGTTTGAACTGTACTCTCTCTGGTTGATCACCACCACCATTCGATTGAGTAGTTGTAGTTGTAGTGGGTATCTGTGGCAATTGCAACTGCTGTGTGGGCTGAGGTGATAGTTGTTGTGTGACAGGTGGAGGTGAAGTTGGTGCTGTTGTAACTGTTGATGGCAATGGTGATGTGCCTGATGTCGATGGTATGGTCTCATTGGAGAGGAGTGGCGGGGAGGTGGCAGGGAATGTGACTGACTTGGCAGCCAGCTGGACAGAGGGCAGAACAAGTTTACCAACATTGGGCCTGTCAGACTTTCTTGCCTCTGTGCTCTCTTGCATGGCCCTCTTGAACTCCATGAGCAATGCCATGTCCTCCTCGGTCTCCTCCTGAGTGCGTCTCTTAATGTCCACGGCTGAGCGATGATTGGTCTCCTGTCTCTGTGTATCGTTTGCCGCGTCGTTGTGCCTGTTCAAATCCTTGCGTCTGGTGTGACCAACGCCACCTGCACTGCTGGTCGCGCCGCCACCCATGCCTCCGACAGCAAGGTCATTATCATTCTCTGCACTCTGTTGTTGTTGCTGTTGTTGCATCATCTCCTCTTCGGTTGGGAATTGAAGCTTTGAGGCATTCTTTGAGCACTCCTCATTGGCCTCCTCCCATGTCTTGAACACCTTGATCTTTGGAACGATTGCCAAGCACTCTGACAACATAAACTCCAACTCTAGTGACAGCTGCTTGGTCAATGCATAGCGTTGCAAGAACAACAAGTATGGCTGGAGGTGGCTTGTAATGTCCTTGTCTGAGAAGCAATCCTTGCAGACGAGGATAAGGCTGCATATCTATGGTGAGGGTAAGGTCAAGGGTTAGGGTCATCTGGAATGTGACTTGTGTGCTGGTCCCATGGGACAATGCTTACAAATCGAATGCGGAAGGTATCATTGATTGGATCAAAGTCATTGATGTTGGGCTTGTAGCGCTGCTTGAGGAATTCCTTCTCGCGATCGGGATTGACGGGGAGAAGATGCATGGTTGAGTATCCATACTCGAGTGCACCCTTGAGCAGTGCAAACACGTGGAATGAGTTGAGCAGACAGGCATTGTACAGCTCGCCAAACAATGTGACGGCCATGATACGCTTCTGATTGCGCGTAAAGTCGTTGCGCTCAAAGCCGCTGGTGATGTCTTCGATCAGCTGCCAGATGACATGTCGAACGAATGTGGGATAGTACCGGCGCAGCGCGTAGAGGATATCTGCCACCGGGTAGATGTTGCCAAACTTTCCCTTGTGGACAGCCAGCAGATACTTCTTGAGATAGGGCTGGCACTGGGGCCATGGCAACTGAAGCAGCTTGTCCACCACCTTCTTAGTCGTCTCCTCGCACAAGTACTTAAAGATCAACCACTTTGTAAACTGACGCACTGGATCCACGACCTTCTTCTTGACCTGCATTGGTCGGCAAGACAGATAAGCATTGTCAATCAATCCCTCATGTCTTGGTTCCATCACCTTGGCATTCTTGTTCCTGATCAATATATCCAGCTTGTTGGTCACGAGGGAGTGAGGGAGGTGAAGGTAAGTATACAATCGTTCAATGACACGCGCGCGGCAACAACATCAACATACCATGTTCTTCAACCTGAACTGAGTCTCTGGCAACTTGTAGAGATAGCGGCCACACACTTCGAGTAGGGTGCAGGCAATGTCGATGTTGTGATGGGTAAAGTCGTCAAAACAGAGTTTGAGGTAGTTGAAGGCAACGGGGTTGGGCAACACTCTAAACTTGACGAGCTCTCCAATGATCTTGACATTCTTGATCTGAATGGTGAGGTGCACCTGCTCCTTCTTCTCAATGAGTCCAGTGAGCTCGTCCTCCACCGACTGACAGATGTTGGACACAAACTCCTTGTGCTGTGCAGATTGATTGAGCGACGCAATGAAGCGACAGTAGAAGGGTATCTGGTCGGCCCTGCACTGTGAGAGATCGGCGATAAAGTCCTTCTTCTTTGATGCCTTGATGTTGATCTTGACGAAATCCAATACAATGTTGTCCACAATCGATGGCTTTAGAGTTGCCGTGCGCAACTGTTGCAGACACTCCTTGTAGATCTGATTGGCCTTTGCCTTGGCCGCCTTCTCCTCTGGGTCCTTTGTGTGTTTCTTGGTTGGAGTTGGTGTTGAGGTGGTGGCTGGTACTGGAGTTGATGGGGATGTGGCTGTAGTGGTGGTTGTGGTGGCACTGTCACCACCTGAAGCAGCGGCGGCAGTGGCGGCCTGCTGTTGTTGCACCTTGGCCTTGGGGATGGGAAGGGCGACGAGGTTGTCATAAAAGTGTCGCTGCTCATCGTTCTCCCAGGGCGAGTCAAACAGCTCCAATTGATCCTTTGATTCATTGGCCTCTGTCTCCATCTTGGTGGAGTAGTCACTGCTTGGCACCGTCTCGCCAATGATCTCGGCAAACGACGAGATGACAGTGGTGAGCTTCTCGTAGTTCTTGCGCAATGCCTCGTAGGACGAGGCGATCTGCTCCGACACCTCACCTTTTGTCAACTTTGCACTCTTGATCTCCTTCTCCTTCTCTCGAAGTGTCTGTTGTTCGCGCTGCAAGTAGTCAATGGCAGTCTTGTAATACGTCTCGGCCAACTCCCTTGTCGATGTCTGCTCCTCAGTCGTCAAGATGTTGTTGTAAAAGTCTGGAAGATCTGGGCACTTGATTGATTGAGTGATGTTAGTCATGTCTTCAGGCCTGCCGTCCTCGCCAACATCGCCCACTCATACATACCTTGTCCTTTGAATAACCAATCAATGGCGCACAGGCTCGCAAGAAGCTGATAAAGATGTGCATCACGGGATATCCACAATCGCGCTCGGGTTCATATGAGCTGCCAGTAATCATCTTGTTGATCAACTTGGAAATGGGAGCGTATCCATGTAGGATATCCACGCAATACAGCTCGACAATGAGGCGAATGGCATTCCTGCGCTTGGTGATCTTGGCGTTGCGCTCAGCCTCTGACTCGGAGGGCATGATGGGCAGTGGCTCAAAGAGTTGGAATAGCGACTCAGTGGCAGCCGAGTCGATTCCATCATAGCGCTGATGCAGCACGCAAAGAAGCCTGACGATGATTGGTACGTCATTGTTCTTGAACGATGACTTGACAATTGACGGGATGATCTCTGTTGTGTACTTTGATAGATTGAGCTGCTGTATCTCTGTCAACAGGTTCTCCTTGTGGTCCACGTCCGAGATGGACTTGAGCTTCTTGAGGAAGTTTGTGATGCGCTTAAAGCCCGAGTCCAGATTGTGTAGTTCCTCTTCCGCAGCAGCGCGACTCTTGGCATTGGCCTTTGTGTTGTTTGCTCGAAGCTGTGACAATACCAATAGTTCCTCCTTGAGCTTGGCAAGTCGTTCGCGCTACATATGAGGTGAGTGAGTGAGCGTTCATGATGTCGATGCAATCTCGTCCTCCACGATGATGATAACATACTGCTTGTTGCTCTTGTACAAGTCTCTCCTTCTCCAGACGCTCTTGTTCCAATCGTCTTTCTTCTTCCTCTCTGCGCAGTGCTTCCAGACGCTCTTCTTCCTTCTTACGCTCCTCTTCTTTAAGTCGCTCGGCAGCAATACGCTGTTCCTCTTCCTTTCGCTTGGCCTCTTGTTCTCTCCTCTCTTGCTCTTCCTTTGGATTCTTTGCTTGAGCAGGTGCTGCTTTCTTTCCACCGGCTGTACCTGTTGCTGCTCCTCCCTTGCCAGTGTTGGGGGTCTTGCCGCCTCCTTGCTTTGGTTGATTGACACCCTTGTTGGCACCGCCTGCAGGTTGTTGTGGTGCACCACCGGCAGCAGCTGCTGCAGGCTGCTTTGGAGGAGCCTTGGCCCTTGGTTCCTTGGGAGGTCGCGGCTCCCTTGGAGCACCCTTTGGCTCTTTGGAACCTGCGGGTTGATCCTTTGGCTCGCGAGGCTGTCTGGGCTCCTTTGGAGCTGGGGGTTGCTTCTGTTCGCCATCTTTCTTCTGCACAGCATCCTTCTGTTCCTTTGGCTGTCTTGGCTCTCTTGGAGCTTTTGGTTGTCTTGCTGCTGGTTTGGATTGGGCTGCACCCTTTGCAACAGGTTGTTCGGGTGGTCCTCCAGCACCTCCAACAGCAGCTTCAGGTTGCTGTTGTTGTGGTTGTTGATCAGGTTGTTGTGGTTTCTTTGGTCGCTCTCTATGTTCTCTTGGTGGTTGTGGCTTCTTCTCTTTCTTTGTTGTCGCTGTTGCTGCTGGTGTTGCCGATGTAGATGATGTTGAAGTTGTAGAAGTAGTTGATGATCCTGATGCTACATCTCCATTTTGAACTGGTGTCGTTGATGTTATAGCAGGTTGTGAAGTAGTAGTTGATGTTGTCGATGTTGATGTTGTAGACGTTGTTGAGGTTGATGTTGTTGATGATGGCTCTGCCTGTTTATTAACCTTTGGTACATAGACAGGAGGTGATTGTTGTTGTTGCTTTGGAGGTGGTGGCTTACTACTCATGTCTATCTGTCTGTATGTCCCCTGTACATATATATTTATATTACAAGTGTACAATGGACATTGGATTGATTACACAATGGAATGAAGTGAATGAATGAATGAGTTCAACCTTTTTCACCAAGTCCACCAACCCTCACAGACATACCCTCGCGGACATACCCTCTCGGACATACCCTCATATTACATCATACCTATGACCAATCAATCAATCAATCATATCCGTATATATATATATATATTATATTGAGTTTAATACTATTGATTTGTTGCGTCGACAATGATAATTAAGCTGTGGCGACATTGGTTCCGTCTTGTTGCTGCTGTTGCTGTGACTCTGCCAACTCGAGTTGCTCGATCACCTTTTGCTGCATAGTGGTCTTCATTAGTATCTTGAGATCTGAACCCAACTCTGATTGTAGATCCTTGTCCTTGGTGTATAAGATATAATTGTCGAATGAGCCTGCCTTGTCGATGCATCTAATCGTGTAAGTTGTGACGTTGACCCTCAGATCAGTGCCTAGTACATCGCTGTGATAAGTCTTCATCTGTGCATTGGGCAACCAATTCCTGCGAGTCCTATAAAGTTGTTATGGTTGTTGTCGCGCCAAGTATATTATGTTATAGTGTCCGCGAATGATTATGTCAATACATGTACATCATGATCGATTGGATTGAATGATTGAATGATTGAATGATTGATTGATCGATTGATTGATTGAATGAATCGTACTTTCTATGAGAGAATGATATGGTGTTGCCATATTGGATTAGACGACCGCCGTATAGTCCTCTTTGGGCACGCTTCATCAGATGAGCGGCATGTGGATTGGTTCGATTGAACATTGTAGATATTGCGCTGTTGATCATCGACATCTTTGTATTGTTTGTTTGTTTGTTTGTTATATATGATGTAGATATGATACAATGCAAGAGATAATGATTTGAATGTACAAGACTAAACTCTGATCAAACTTTGTTGTAGACCAAAAAGACGAAAAATGTGATTGTCCACTGTTTGTTGGAACTTGCCAAACATTTAATGATGGACAATAGTAACTTGAAAATCATACATTATATATAATCAGTAACATAAGATATATATTAAGTTATATTTGTGATCACATATGGAATTATTCCATTGATGGACTAACTTCCAAATTTGGAAGTAAACTTGTTGATGATAAAAGTGTGTGTCAATCAATAAAACGAACGATTGTTGGGCTGTGAATGAGTTCATTCAATTTACCGAATCAACCAAACATAGTGATAATATATATAATATAAGAGAGATGAACTTTGTCAATAGAGTTATCTCACTTCGTACATTACATCGAGGGATGTTATTGGCTCGTACTAGCCTCAACATAGTGACCAAGTCTCCAACATCCTCACTCCTATTCCCATTCTCACATAATCGCCATCATCATAACTATACAACATCAACAATAACATCATCAATAGACAATACAATACCAACCGATAATCAACAACAAGATATACTTGTTGACAACAAGAAACAAAGATTGAATGAGCGAAAGAAAGAACGAAGAGCTGTTAAACAAGTTCATGAAGGTCAAGAGAATAAGGATGTAGCAAAAGAGGAAGAAGTAGAAGAAGAAGAGGAGAAGTTTATCAAACGATTGAACAAGACAAGATGTACAGGTTGTGGATGTATAATGCAATGTGATCATCCTAATGAGCTTGGTTTCATACCAAAGTCAGTGGCAATGCGTCTAATGAAGACACACGAATCGATCAAACAACAAAGGAAGCAGAAGCAACAGAGGAAGGATAACCCTAATGCCGCTGCTTCTGTTGATGGTGATCAACAACAAAGCGACACAATTATAGACTATGAGACACACTTGGAGAATGAAGCAAAGAGGAATGTAAGTACCCTTGGTCGATCATGCATGCTGTCATCATTCAACACTCAGACACTCACTCATTCAATCACTCATTCAATCAATCAATCTCTATCCAAACGAAAACGAACTCACCTGGATCACTCTTGGAACTATCCCACTCCACGCTAAATCACACCATCATTCAATCAATCAATCAAGTTTGAGAAGTTCAGATCACAATCTAGTGGAGCAAAGAAGATTGGAGAGAAGGAGATATGCCAGAGATGTCATATGCTCAAACATTATGGCAAGGTGGCACCGATCAAGATTCCAATTGAGGACTTTAAGAACAAGTTGGCAGCGATCAAGGATATGAACTGCGTGGTTATAAAGGTGGTCGATATCATGGACTTCCACGGCACCTTCATTCCAGACTTTAGACGTATCATTGGCAATAACCCTGTGGTGTTGGTCGGTAACAAGATGGATGTGTTGCCAGCGGACATCCATAAGAATCGTATCGAGGACTGGTTGCGCCACGAGTGCAAGCTGCACGGCATGGTGGTGTCGCACGTCAAGCTTCTGTCGAGCGCCAGTCGCGATGGTCTGGCCAGCTTCATCGTCGAGCTGGAACAACTCCGACGTGGACGCGATGTCTTTGTCGTAGGTTGCTCTAACGTGGGCAAGTCCACATTCATCAACTCATTGGTAGACGAGTATAAACAAAAGGTTGTCTTTACACAAGATGGCCAACAAGGTGATGATGAGGCGACAGCGGCCGCCAAGGAGAAGCCAACTGTTATGGATCGCGCCACAACATCCATCTTCCCAGGCACAACGCTCAACATTATATCCGTGCCACTTTGGCACAATGCATCATTGTTTGATACCCCAGGCATTGACAACCCGCATCAGATCATCAAGTTGTTGCGACCTGACGAGCTCAAGATGGTCATCCCCACCAAGCGTATCAAGCCCACCGTGGTCCACATGATTGGTGGCAAATCATTGTATCTTGGCGGACTGGCACGCATCGACTATGATGGAGGATTGGCCACGTTCACCATCTACACGTCCACCCATCTACCACTACATTTGTGTAGAACGGACAAGGCTGACGACCTGTTGACGAGACAGCGCGGCAAGATGTTGTCGCCGCCACTGGGCGATGCAGAGAGATTAGCCGAGGAGAGCATCCAACTGAGTCAGGCCAAGCGATTCACAATCATACCCGAGAAGGTTGACTTTAGACATACATGCACCGACATTATCATTTCTGGACTTGGTTGGGTGGCCGTCAAGTCACTGTCCAAGACCATCACGCCAATGCGAGTGATCGTCCACACGCCCACCAACATTGACGTGTCCATTCGTGACCCTCTAGTACCCTACACAACAACATATAATACATTGTAGTAGTAGCATAGTATCTTGATTCATTTATTATGTTGATTAATTATATGATTTACTTGGTATCAAGGAGCATGGTGTTTGGAGTCTCGATGTAGGCCTTGAGGAGGTTGGAGAAGTTGGCCATGGTGGCACCATCGATCACACGGTGATCGGCCGACCAACTGATCTGCATTACGTTGACTGGGACGATGTTGTCGTCGTCGTCGTATCTGGGCACCTTCTGGATCTTGCCAATGGCACCGATGGCCACCTCGGGCAACAGCAGGACGGGTGAGGCGTAAGTGCCACCAATCGTGCCAATGTTGGAAAGGGAGAACGTGCCGCCCGACATATCAGCTGGTGTCAGCTGACCCGCCAATCCGACCTTTTGTAACCTGTTCAACTCTTGTGCAATCTCGAATATCGACTTATTCTGTACGTCCTTAATATTTGGAACCAATAGTCCTTGTGGAGTATCCATTGCCACTCCAATGTTGTGGTAGTTCTAAGTAAGTTTGATTGTGATTGAGTTAGTATGAGTGTCTGTAAGGCACCGCCTAGCCCTCGCCCTCTACCAAAGTCATACCTTATAAATGATCTCAGTCTCGTTAGGGGACATGCTAGAGTTGAGCACTGGATACTTGAGAAGGGCCAAAGAGGTGGCCTTGATAAGGAATGGGAGATAGCTGAGCTTGATGCCACGGTTAGATGCAACAGACTTGAGTTGTTTCCTCAAGGCCATGAGTGCGTCCATTGTGTATTCGTCGCAGTAACCAAAGTGTGGCACCAAGGCTGCGGCGTTCATAGTCTTGACCATCACCTTCTTGATTCCAGTGATTGGTACACGTCTCTCGCGCTCTGTCTGTGACACTGGTGTGGTGGCTGTGGCGGCAGCGGCTGCTGGGGCAGCAGCAGCAGCAGCAGGCTTTTGTTGTTGCTGTTGTACAGGTTGTTGCTTTCCATTGATAAAGTCCAAGAGGTTCTCCTTTAATACACGACCATCCTTGCCTGATCCTCTGACGCTGGACAGCTTGACATTGTTCACCTTGGCCAAGTGTCTCACGGCTGGTGTGGCCAGCACCTTGAAAGTCTTACCATCGACGATGATCTCGTTATATTCGTGGTCGCCATCGTTGGTCGAATCCAATGGGCAGGCGGAGGCTGCAGCAGTTGGTGCTGCGGCAGGCTTAGCAGCAGCGGCAGCTGGTGCTGGTGCGGCTACGGCATCTGAACCCTCTGGTGTGATATCACATAGTGGTGAGCCTACCTTGGCCATATCACCAACATTGTAATAGAGTTTGGTGAGAACACCATCGTATCTGCTTGTAATCTGTGATTGGATATGAGTTAGTGATTGAAGGAATGAATGAGTCTTGAGTCCAATCATTCAAACAAAGCAACATACCTCTACAGTAGCCTTGTCAGATTGCACCTCGCACAGAGCATCAAACTCCTTGATAGAGTCGCCGACCTTGAAGTGCCACTTGAGGACCTCACACTCGGCAATACCCTCACCAATATCTGCCAGCTTGAACTGGATGGCGCTGGAGTAGTTGCGAACAGAGTTGTTGTTGTACATCACTGATGAATCTCTGAACAGTTGCTGCTGGAAGAGTGGAGTCGCCGAGTACGATGACAAAGTCATACCGCTGGACATCATCATCTTGATCGAGTTGTTGGAGGCAGATCGCATCACTGATGACGAAGCGAGTCTGATGTTCAAGACATTGCGCAATAGTTGTCTAGACATTATATTATAAGTTATGTATAGTATAGTTATCTCTTTCAACCTTTGTGTGAATCTGAATGAAATCAAGTTGTTGTTGTTGTTGTTGTTGATGTCGTCGGTGGATGAATAAGGTAGAGAGGGGAAGTGTTGGGAACTGATCAGACGAGGAAGGGGTCTGACACACTGCTATCACTACATTTGCAAAAAAAGAAAGTACATGCCCAATCTAAGTTATAAAGTTTGGGACGCGAAAAATTTAAAAAAAGGATATTTCAAAGAGGAAATTTCAATCGGACCAATTTAATGGCATTTGAATTTAAAAATAATTAATAGGTTAATCCAAAAATTCGGAAGAGACTTTTATTTAATGACTGAGGGCGTGCGCATGCTGAGAATAAGAGGGGAGTAAAAAGAAAAACCAGGAAGTTTTAGACATAAAATAATAAATAATTGAATTGGCAACTCATCAGTACACTTGGCCGAGTTGGTCTAAGGCGTTAGTTTAAGGCACTAATTTCTTCGGAAGCGTGAGTTCAAATCTCACAGTGTACAAAATTTTTGACTTTTGTTTTAAATTAAATATGTAACATGAGGAACTTCCAGAGTCGAATGATTCGTTTTCCATCTCAGCCCCCAAGACCACCGCCTACGGCTCCAGCTTCATCAACACGATGGCACTGGACCGCGCCAGCTTCCATTGGGATCAAGGTGGCCTCAACCTCTGGGACATTGGGCTCAGATCAATTGCCTACAAGGTATGGGTGTTCAATCGTTTCCTCAACACCCCAGCCCATCTCACCCATGGCTACCTGGACTCGTGGAGAACTCAACACCGCAACGCCAGGAAGCGCCTGGGAGGCAAGTTCACTGGCCTCTTCCGCAAGTTCCACACACCTTGGATGGAGTTCCGCTCCGCCCACCTCTCCAGCCATAGCGACAAGGTACCTCTCTTGGATAGC